CCCTGCGCAGTCCTCCTCGACTGAAAAATGATATTTAAGACTGTTGTATTCGAAAAACTGAAATAAGCGCCCTGCGCAGTCCTCCTCGACTGAAAAATGATATTTAAGACTGTTGTATTCGAAAAACTGAAATAAGCGCCCTGCGCAGTCCTCCTCGACTGAAAAATGATATTTAAGACTGTTGTATTCGAAAAACTGAAATAAGCGCCCTGCGCAGTCCTCCTCGACTGAAAAATGATATTTAAGACTGTTGTATTCGAAAAACTGAAATAAGCGAGTAACTACTTAATATAGAGTCGAGATACTGATGAGAAGGAAGAGTAGCCCTGTCAAAGCTACCTCCCTTATTTCAGTCAGTAACTCGGTTATTTTCAGTTTTCGAGTATCTAATTCTCACCATAACTAACCAACTCTCGTCCGGCAGCTCCTTCTTTTTGGCCGCTTCGTCTTTCTTGAAGAGGTTGGCTAGATTTTGCTCCTTCTTCTTGGCTGGAGGTGTCGGAGAGTGGCCTGGTGCCGGTTCTTCCTCCTCTTTCACCCATGCTGCGGCTTCTGTTGCCTGGAGGGGATCATCCGGATGGGGATGATCGTCAAATGGCTATGCTCTAGTTGAAGCTAGTGAAAGATTTGAATTTTTTGATTTACTTAGAAGACAGAGGAAGATGCAGCAAATCATTAATATAAGAGTAAGTAGTACCAAATCATCTTCGTTATTTGCGATTGCGGCGTGTAACTTCTTGCAGAGACCGTGGCTATCACTATCTTTCTTTCCACTACACGCAGTTCTCAGCACCTGTAGTTGTAATGCTGAGAAAGAGGAAAAACCCCCGTCGGCGTGATCCTTAGAGCTACCGCGTTCGCAACAACCCTGACAACTGCATCCTTGGCCGCGCCTCGCTCTTCCCCTTAGGAAAATAGTCAAGGAAGATCCCCCCTCAATAAGGTACTAGCATGTGTGCTGTTGAAGAGATTTTTTCCCTCCTGTTGCAGAGGAAGTAACTAGCCGCACCGCCACCAAGCCAAGGATGATGTTGAGGGTCCTCCATCGGGTGCCTTAAGACCATCCTGCTCCATTTCTTTGGCGTCCTTGTCATCGCCCTTGTCCTTATCTCCTTCTTATTAGAAGAACAGCAAGGCTAGGAACATCATAGTCGCTGCGGCCACCATAGCACAAAACACACGAAGAAAGAAGAAAACCGGCGTGATCGTACGCGTTGCCCGGAGCCGGAGCGCATCAAGACAAACAAACAAGAATAGGTGGTCATGGTCTAGTACTCAAAAACGAAAATCGCCGCAAGTATTTATAAAGATACTGATATATAATTACATTTTTGTTTCTGAGAAATCCAGCTGGCTCATCTACCTGGCTGCGACTAGTACGTGAAGAGTTAGTAAAAGCACTATAATGATCCCTTCACGTTCTTGTTCTCTTTCACTTGTTGTGTTTTTACCTTTCTTCATGTCCTCTGAGTGTTAGTTGAAGACGCTTTGCGGTTCGGCGGGACACACGATTTGTTCCCTGAAACTTCTGTGATCTTCTGTGAGTGTAGTTAGTGGTTACTCATGATACTCCTATAATTTCTGTGCAAAAGAAATATTGACCATAATTTTCCATTTCGAATAGAACATCCGCGCATTTTTTGTTCCACATCTCTAGATCCCAAAAATCGCTTCTCGCGCCAGTCTTCTTGCCCTCATCCCCCACCTCCTTCATGCCATGCTCATTCTTAGACGTGGCATGAACTAGTACTTCTAGATGATACTTCGAGTTGATTACTCTGCTCCCTGGTCTAGATTTCTAGTTGAATACTTTCGATGATACTTCGAGTTGAATACTCTGCTCCCTGGTCTAGATTTCTAGTTGAATACTTTCGATGATACTTCGAGTTGAGTACTCTGCTCCTCGGTCTAGAGGAGCATACGAGGACTGAATTGAAATCATCTACTCAATAGATTAAAGTCTAGATTCTATTGTGGACACAATGTTAATATCTATCATGAATACAACGACTAATGCTGCTCCTGGTATTATTGAGAATTCTAATATCAGGAGCAGCATTAGTCGTTGTTCTGTCTCACTACAACAAAATTGATTGATTGATGTGCCTCTTCGTGAGGTATAGGGGCTACCTGTGTGCATGAGGTCTCACTACAGCAAAAGATCAAGATGATTAAGGGCTATCACGGTCCAAGATAGGGAGTCTGCAAGGTATAATAGAATGTTCGTAACGCCAACAAATGACCTTCGATTCCTTAACATTACTCCGACATTGCTTGAAGATCTCCAGACACGACGCTGTCTTCAACTTCGTGGTCATATCTCCCAGTCTCTTTGCGGCATCTGAGGGAAAATGAAGATTGATATTCATATGCTAAATATATATTATTCTTCTTTTTCAACATCTTGTGACACTTTAATCTACAGTCTTGACGTTCGACTTCGATGAAGACGGCTCTATTTCTATTCTTCAGATTGCAGCATAAGCGCAAGCTTTGAGCTCGTAGACTGTCTTCAGATCCTCAGACTTCTTGGGACATGTTGACGCTGGTCCCGCGTCCGCTGCCGCCTCTTCCTTCTTTTCTTCCTTCTCCTCTTCTGCTGCCTCTTCCTTTTTCTCTTCTGCTGCCTCTTCTTTTTTCTCTTCTGCTGCCTCTTCTTTTTTCTCCTCCTTAGACGCCTCTTCCTTTTTCTCTTCTGCCGTACCCTCCAGCGTGAGTGATACTCCCTCGGGTACCCCTACGAAGAGTTTTTTGTGCATGTTGCTTTCCTCAATCGCCTTCCTCAATGCAGCGAAGGCGGAGGCGGTTAGAGGAGAAAGGACGAGCATTTTCTTGTTATTTACGGAAAATAATAACGTGATTTACATATAAGTGATGAGAAGTCTAGATTTTTGGGATCAATTAGGGACAAGGAATAGCTTTGCCTGTAGAAGACTGATAGAGTGATGTCCACCACCTAGTTGTCCCAGATAAAAGTTGTGATATTAAAGAAAAATTGAAAAAATACTTCATCAAATTCATCTCAGTCGGAACCGATACAACTACGTAGGTACATTTGTTTAAGAACGCTTAAGGCGAGACATTCATTGCATCCCTCGAAAAGAACTGCGGAGGTCTTCTTCGAGCAAGCATCGTGGACTTTCTCATCGTCGTCGTCGTCTTCATCGTCTGGCCCTTCGTCATCGGCGTCTTTCTTCGTGTCGTCGGATAAAGTTAGAAGATCAAGATGAAGATCAAGAGCTGTTCGTCTGTGATACACCATATGAAGATCTTTTGTACTTGTAGTATGAACGATCAGGTTAGGTTAGGTTAGGTTAGGTTGGGATCTACCATCCGATAGGAATGTGTTTGTACTTTCTTAATGCGCCCAAAAAGATAAAGACTACCTTATTATTGTTCTCTAATAGATCAAAAAGCTCAAACATCAATTATGTTATGTACGTGCACCTGTACCACTGGTCTTGAAGAGCTGACTTAGAGTCTTCTAAGTCAGCAGACGGAAACGCTCACTCGTCCTCTAAGGGCAGCAGATCGCCCTGACGAGCAACGGCTTAAACTTTTAGTTTATTTGTAAGTAGAAGTCGTGTATGTAGTAGTTTGTACTTGTGTCTAGGAGATACTATAGACAAAAAACGAAGCGCACCTGGAGTTGAAATTGAACCACAACTTTTCCTCTCCCTCGGTGTCTTCGTCTTCCTCCGCTTCCTCTTGGTTATGAAGGGATCAAAGCAAAGCTCCTTGTATCAACAAATCATTATATGACAAAGACAATCGACCCAAATTGTCATTATGTGGAGTAGTGGTGTTTTGCTGTAGAGTTGCAGTGCTGGTGTACTTATCTCAGCTTAGTGCTTACTCCTTTTAGCATTACCAGATTTACAATTCAAATTCTAGATCTCGGCTACTTCACAACCAGAAAAAGTTTCCATTTTCTCCAAAAGAACGCTTTCTTCTCTGGAATAGTTCTGGTATTTGGTAGCCTGATTTTGATCATAAGGAAAACGAGAAGAGAATCCTTGTGATCAAATTCAAGCTACCAAATACCGGAACCATTCATCTCTCCAAAAGAACGTTTTCAATTTTTCCATAGTCTTCACCCTCATCACTATCGTCATCTTCTTCTGTCATGTCGCCGACCTTCGTAAGGCCGCTCAGCCTCCCTCCCTGAGTCAGACCCGGGATCGTTTTCGGACACTGTGTAGCACTAACCAAATGTTAGAGGAGCAGTGTTGAATGTTGACACATGGCGTTCTTGGGGCGCGGGCGGGATTGATGCGGCAAATCAAACTTCAGAAAGTAAGAAGTAGGACATGAGAGAGCTGACATCGAGAAGAGATAGAAGAGCCAGCAGCTCTTACAGAAGAAGGTACTACTGAAAAAGATTGTAGTTGCAGGTAAAGGTAATATTACCTAGTAGGACCAGCAAATGATACCTAGCAGGACCTGATAGAAGAAGTTCGCTGCTGCAAGGACAGGACGCACCTAACAGTATGAAGTAGGTGCCTGCTAGTAATAGTCGTGGGTACCAGATCAAAAGTCCGCTCGCTGTTATTTCATAAAATACGACCCCTAGTGCATCGTCTTCGGGTTCACGCTTCGGCGGCTCTTCCCACTTTTCCCTGCCCAAGCCTTCAGCGAGCCCCTTATCATTAAAGGTCAGCAGTCAGTGGTCACTGATTCTGAAAGAAAAGGGCCCCGCCATGCTTCATTCCTTGTTTTCCCTGCATTTCCCCCTGTTCTCTCAAGGGGGTTCCTCTTCGGCGTCACCAGTGACCCCAGGCAGTCTAATGATGATGGCCAATGAAGGCTGAGCCTTAATATCCGGCACCACACGCCGATAACAGACTGCCGTTGCCAGTTGTTCTACTAGTCCGGCTTTATCGTCATTGTTCGATGAACCGCCAGGGACATGAACAGAAGTCAGTCTTTTTCGATATCTAATCATCGTCACGCGACAAAATTACTATCAAAATCAAACTGCTACGACAATCCCAATCTTCATAACCACGAAAGACTCGGTCAGCGATGGCGATTAGGATGACGTCTTCTGGCGGGTAATTGCGTTTTTCGTAGTGTTGCGAGCCAGCCCCAACTTCTTTCTTAGGAAAGATTGACATGTCTCTTTTTTAGAAGCAGTACTGAGTAACAGACTCACTCACAAATTCTGTGCTCACAAAAGATCTGCGTTGACTCCACAAAGTGGGCGCTGTTGACGCTGAGTTTTAATCTTTCTCTCGCTTGTCCTCGACCGCGTTAGGTGGCATGAGAATCATTTACTACAAGGAGAAGGATCCTTCTAGTCTTTCCCACGACATAGACATTCCTGATGCATCTTCTTCTAGTAGCAAAGACGTTCTAGGTCTACCCTCCATCATGTTGGTTCAGCCTAAGTTTCGTACTGCGCTCGACCTGCGTCCCCAGCATATTTTGTTGGGTCTGCAATCAACTTTTGCGCCCAACCACTCAGTTTCTCAGAGGACTCCTTTTGTTGTAGGAAGTTTTGATCAGTAGAACTACTCCTGCAAAATTCTGCATTGTCATTTCTACTTCATCAATTCATAGAAATGAGTAGGGACTACAACATGACATTTAGAAAGTATTGGTATTCCATTTCTATCTACATGATTATAGTACCATCACCACGCCAGTAGCTTTACCTTCAGTACCTGGATAAGCCGTCTGATGTGCGTCTCTGGGCAGTACTCGTATGGGAGAAGTTTGAGTTGTCCACGCCCGGCATCCCTAGTCTTTCTATGCACCGCCTCAAGCAGGGCAAGCTGGCTGGGACAGGGGTTAGAGGATGAGAGAGGGAGGAAGAGTAAAAAGATGGAGAGTAGAGAGAGAGGGAGTAGAGAAGGAGGGAGAGTAGAGGGAGGGACAGGGGTTAGAGGATGAACGAGGAGACAGAGGGGGAGTAGAGAGAGAGGGAGTAGAGAAAGAGGGAGTAGAGAGAGAGGGAGGAGAGAAAGAGGGAGTAGAGAAGGAGGGAGTAGAGAAAGAGGGAGTAGAGAAAGAGGGAGAGTAGAGGGAGGGACAGGGGTTAGAGGATGAGCGAGGAGACAGAGGGAGAGGAGACAGAGGGGGAGTAGAGAGAGAGGGAGAGTAGAGAGAAAGGCAGGGGGAGATGGGGAGAGAGAGAAAGGCAGGGGAGAGATAGGGAGAGAAAGAGGTAAGTCGAGAAATAAGGAGAGACAGTGGTACGTAATAGGAGGAGGGAGAGACGTAGTCGTAGTAAAAGAACTAGTTAGAAAGTAGCGAAGGAGGTAGTAAAGGAATAGCACAATTTAACAAAAATGTCATACGTGAAAAGGAAGCAATTCCAACGCAACAGTAATCCTAGTTTCTACCTATTACAGAAGTTCCTAGCAACCTGAAAAACGTTTAGAAAGTGAGCAAGAGCAGGAGTTCGTTTGTAGTAGTAGTGGTAGTAGTAGTAATAGTGTACCCAATCGGGGAGTATAGAAGAATATGAACAAACTTAATTAGCAGCTTTTCTTCCTTGTTACTCTTCTTCCCCTTTGGAAAGTACAACATGCGACATAAGAAAAAACGCGTGTGTGCGATGCACCGCGTTGCAAATTTCCAGTGCATTCATCTGGTCCGCCGCGTCTTTGCATTCATTAGATGGATGCATGATGTTGAGACGCTTATCACCATCAATCTGAATGATGAATCCTGAGATGCCTTATCACAATGGTGGATTATCACAATCAATCTGAATGATGAATGACAATGAGTCCGTCGTATATGGACGAGGCACCTAAATTTGGCATCTTTCTCCGTCTTACCCTGGCCGCAATTATTGTCGTACACCCTTCGATCGAAAGCATCATACAATTGACGGCAATGAATCCCACCTTTGTGTTTGTCCACCTTGTCGTGTCCACCGAGATATTTCCTGTAGTTTCGCGTGGAAGAAGAGAACAGATTGTTTTAATACAACGTGGAGCCAACTATTACTATACCTAGAACTACTGCTATTTTCATGACGTGTGCGTATCTACAAGTCTAGAAATGGTATGTCATGTCATATCATGATGCCTCGTGTCACGTTTTTCCTAACGTTATTAAGGCCTTTCAGCCTCCCTGCACCTTCTAAAATAAAAGAAGAGCAAGGAGACCGAGTGATAGACTAGCAAGTATAACCAAAAGTTGCCACGGCAAAGTGATTGAGTAATAGTACACAGAGCTATTAGTTTTCATCGTCACCATCACGTATCTTCTAGCAATCATTCGGATAGTATGGTCGTCTTCTAGTTCCTGCAATGAGACCCAATCAACTCAAGATTTATTCGTTCTACAAAGTACTGATGTTGTTCTGCTATAATTTATAGTAAGAACAAGTAGCTTACTTCTTGTAAAGTATAGAATAAACAGAAATATAGTTGTGACCCCTTTATTAATGATCTTTATGTGTTATAATTACACATGAGCTTGATTAAAGTATGCGTACTGTATCTTTATGTGTTAGAATTACACATAAGCTTGATCAAAGTAGGAGTACAGAATCTTTTTCTCCATCGCTGTAGCTTTGCTCTTGTCCTCCTGGTCGTCTTCTTCTCTCACTACCTGTGAAGAATCATCCGACGTCGAATCGTCATCGCTATCGCCGGATGAGTGTAGATGATTAGAAAAGACGAGGTCTCTCTTGAAGACGCCGTCAGGGAGGTAGTTGGTTAGGTGTCAGTAACTGCGCAGGTGGACAACATCGCATAAGGGAGGTGGCGGAACTAGAAAAAACTCTAAAATACATCAAGAAGCATGATTATCCTTAGGTCCATTAGAGTATCCAGAGGAATACAGGCTAAGAATACAACATCCTAGAAACAAAATGTAGCTACGAGAACTAGACTCCTCTAATGAATGGATCTGCCATAGAAGACTCCTCATCCTCATCGTCGTCCCAACTCGAATGCCACACGTCATCCTTATCCGAAGTATACTCTTCCTCTCCGTCGCCTTACCTTAGATATAAGAATTAGTTCATGAAGTCAAAGACTATAGTTCATGAGGTCATGGTGTGCTTCACCATATCCCTATAGTTCATGAAGTCATGGTGTCCTTCTATAAGAAATCAACAAATCAAGGTCACAAATCAAGGTCAAGAACAAGATGATGAGAGATCGTACTCACACAGGAGGAGAAGCAGAAAGGCTGAAGATACTAAAAAGCGAAGCTTAATTTTACTATTTATACTATAGTCGTACTAAACATCATAAAAGACAGGTCAAAGAATTTACACCCTTTCGGGCTTAATCAGTGATGGTGAAACACCTTTGTTCAAATCATCCTGTGATCTTAAACTCTTGTCTTCTCCCTCTTTCGGCTTCTCCTTTGGTTTTTCTTCAGGCTCAAGGCCTACAAAAGATGACCCCTTGACTCCAGTAGCATCCCGATCCTCGTCGAGAGCTCTATAATTATCTTGCCGCTTTTTCCTAGAACCGGCACCACTACCACTTGTTGCTCTTGATGATCCAACAACAACATCTTGTTCATCCTTCTCTCCCTCCTGCAGATGTAGTGCGCCTACAGCATCCACTTTTTCTTCGTCCTCGTCTTTCGTGCTCTGTCCCGGTCGATCTAAATGTACTTCCTGCGCGTCTCTAAGTCCATCTAAATGTACAACTTTCTGCGCGTCTCTAAGACTCCTGTGCTTGTTGTTCCCATCGGCAGCACCTTGTGCAGCATCATCGTCGTCTAATAGATGAAGTGCTTGTTTCGAATCTAATAGCTGCGACGAAGAGGAAGAAGAGGTGGGTCTCCAATTTGGTGAAGATGGTACTGCTGCCGATGGCGACGAAGAGGACCGCGACGAAGATGTTGACACCAGTGGCAGGTAGTTCGGCAGAACCCGGACGAAGATGGTCGTCGCGGCATCCGCGATGTAGAGGAAGAGCCAAAAAGCACATGGTAAGACAACGAACCTCCTGAAAAACTTCCAGTGAGGGTCTACGAAGTTTTCGACTACACCACTGTCGTTGGGGACGCCGTTCCTGTTTTTAGAGCTCACCCTTACTCATCTTGAGCCCCTTCCTACATCTTGAAACAGCCTTGAAACAGAGCTCACCCTTACTCATCTTGAGCCCCTTCCTACATCTTGAAACAGCCTTGTTTCCCCTCATGGAACTACAGTAGTTCAACTTCGATAGATGCTTGCCTCTGAAGCCCGAAGTAGAGGGATTAGGGGAAGCCTTAATCGTGGGCCGTGATAACGACCGCTGCCGTGAAGAAGCTCTCGTCCCTGGCTCCCCATGTGCAGGAGCGCCACCGTCGAAAGAGTGCATTTCTTGGCTTAGCGTGTGCTAGAATGCATCTCGGTCCGTCCCCCTTTTCTTGGAGTCCCTTTATTAGAGGTAGGTTTTTGGTGCTCGCTTACCCCGCTTGTTATGCCTTTCTCCCTTAGGAGAGGCATAAAAAGCGGTAAGAAAAGCACCTTTAACCTACCCTTAACTTTACTACCCTTGCAGCATGATTTCATAGGAATAATACAAGGGAACAAAAGGGGACCAAGATGCCGAGAATGATGGACACTAAATGTTGACCATAATTGGACTTCGTTTCACCTTAGTCACAAGGTCCACAACGAGAAGGACAGTACTAGACTAAAGGCAGCTGGACCACGATCAGGTGGAGAAGGTTCATAGTTGTTAGTTGAACATAGTGTGTGTATGTTTCTCATTTCATTTTGAATCATGTGAGGATGTCATGATCCTTTTTCAGTTCTTTTAGACCTAGAGTAGTTTCTCTGTATTTTCTAATAATCTCATATGGGTGCACTTCTACAAAACACCGGTGACCCTCCTCCACAAACTCATAGTACTGTCCCTTTTGCAGTCACTGTAGGTTCTTCATTTGATTTGAAGACTGTCTGTACAAAACATCGTTGACTCGACCCTCCTCCACAAACTCTAACTATAATTGCAGATTCATCCTTTGACTTCAAATCAAATGAAGAATCTTCATACTGAAACATCGGAAGACTCCTACTTTGCAGTTACTTTAGATTCTCTACACTCTAAACATCGGACAGATTCCAACTCGTCTTACAGACCGTCGTATTAACAGATTGAATTTATTAACTACGGACGGATACTCACCTCTCGCATTTCAAAGACCCACTCCCTACGGTGCTCTCTGGTATCAAGGAAGGCTCTCTCGCTCCACGCGCTTTCTGCACTCTTTTCCCTCCTCCACCAATACTAGTACGCCTTTGCACTTGATTGTTGCCGTTCATCTTCCACACCTTTGTTGACTTTTCGGTCAAGCATGTCCTTCGCCAGTTGGAGGTTATGGCTTTCCCAATTCAGGATGGAAAAGGGGCTTTCTTTTTGCTGCTTCTTCTTGCATACAACTAGAACTACCTAGTCTTGGGATGAAGGGATTATGATGCAGTTTGATTTATCAACATAGCTCACTATCAGCGGCACAAGATCATCACTATTGTCTGTCTACTTGAGATTTTTTGGTGATATAATAGAGTTGTTCAGGACTCATAATTTTCTTAGGAATAGGATATTGTTGCTTCTTGGAATATTAAGATGCAGAAATCTTTGATACCTTAAATACGTTTCACTATACTGGGATGAAAATGATTGCAGCTCGTAGTTGCAAAGTGAGCCTTGCGCAGCAGGGCTGTACGTCGCGGGGAGAGCAGTCTTAATTTCATGGATCTTGACAGGGAGGGGTCACCAGCATATGCAGCTTCTCCAAGCATTGAGGCTCATCATGTATCTTCCATTGCAAGAATGCATTAACCCATGTTGCGTTGTACCGTATAAGCTATTTCTACGCAAGATCTTACATATATGTTTTTTTCCAGGCAAGATTCTGATTGTTCATTTCAATAGTTCTGAGTGGTTCGAGGCCATGGATCATGTGAAAAGAAAAACGAGTTCAAGAATTGTATACTAAGCATTGATTTACAACTTCATCTTGGTGTCTACTCCTTGCTCTAGGATCATAGTACTAGCTTCATAGTACTATAAGCAAGTCGTCTATAATTCTTGAAAGAAAAGTTCTGGAGTCACGAATTTTGGAGTTTATCATTGTGTTCTTGGTTCATTTGAGTTTCTTTGAAGTTCTTGCAGTGTTTAGTTTTGTTCATTTTTAACGCATAGCGTTCGCGCTCCACAAAGGAACCACAGATATAGCTCTGCTCATGCACGTGGACAGGACAAGGTATGACATTTCAAGCAGTTGTTAGAAAGACAATATCGAGATTTTAATGAGATGGCTATGACACAAGAAAATCAGAATGTCTATCATAAACACTTTTCTTTACAGAGGTTAGCTATGACAACACATGCATTGGTGATGATCATGATAGCCTTGACGGCCTCGCTTCATCGAACACTAGTAATCATCCTAAAATTTCCCAGGTCGTTGTCGTTCATTTACGAGTACTTGAAAATCGTTCTATTTCCCCCGTTGCGACCCTGGCGTTTGCGCACGCATGATATCCATATCCATCTTCTCGGGAAAGTCTTGGTATCGTTGGACAGTTCCCGGAGCAGCTGGCGGCGCCCCTGGTGGCGGCACTAGTTTTGTCGACAAAGCAGGAGTAGCAGGCTTGTCCGGGATGTTGGGATCTGTGTATTGTGGAGAAAAGAGTGCCTTCGATATAAAAAGGTGCTCAATTTCAAATGCAAAATGATCTAGAAAGCCTCCAACTCCATCAAGGAAATCATCATAATGCGTAAGTATACCCTTCGGCGGTGTCGATAGCTTCCTCTGTTGTTCAGCCAAGTATGATGCGGGTGCGTTGCTGCCAGTGAGACTTTGTAATGCAGACGCTATCTCTTCCGCGTGTTCTGATCTTTGAATTCCGATCGCCTTTATTAGAAAAGCAGTTCCTAGTTAACATGCAATCATAATGATAGATAACGATAATGATTCTTTCAAATAATCGTACTAGCACCTTCTAAGTGGAAGTTCATGAAGATGCATGTAGATGATCCTGTCCGATTTCTAGAACGAAATACATTCCAACCATGCGATTCCTGTTTGATTCAAGAAACCTGCTCTGGACGAGATAAAAGGCCTTTGGGAAACAAGTTATCAAAAATTATATGCCGTAACTTCATCTGTTTCGATAAAACTGCTTTTGCTTTATCCACGTGCTTCTTGATATGACTCTGGTTGTGGACACCGCCAAGCCTCTGGAATTCGTCACGGCGTGGAACGAACTGATTGTGCGAATGGGGTAAAGTGAACAAGTTGAAGTTTGATGTCTAACAACTATGTTCATCTCTATGATCTGACTGATGGACACGACGGTTATGGATCTTTCATGGGATAACTACTAGTTACACAGCGATATCACTGCATAAAACTGCAACCAGTACTAAGATGAACCTTCAACAATGAGGTGGATCGAGGAAGACCGAAGTAGTAACAGATCCACCTCATTATTGGAGGTTCATCTATGGTATCTAGAATACATAGAAATATTCTTTTTACAGCCAACGAAAAAGAGTCCTCCAATAATGATGATGAGAGGACTAGATTGCAGGTCGTTAAGTTGGCTAAGAGCAAGGACTTCTGGGGAGTTCGACGACGGAAGTGGAACAGCAGGAGGCCCCTGCATCTTACACGAAGACGAATCTGCGGAGCAGCAAACGAAAAAGAGTCGTCCAACAAGAGATAGACCGAGGAGGACCAAAGGGTTGACATTCTTTTTACAGCAAGTGAAAAAACAGTCTGAGCCTAGAACTCAGAACTATCTGCTGCCGGAGTTTATATCCAATAATTGAGTTATCTTCCAATACTTAAACTCGAATTACGAATTGAATTAAGTTATACCCCTCGATCATATCCTCGTGTCTGTCCTGATGCCAGTTTGCGGAAGCCGTAGGGGACGCCTCCTCTCGTTGAGTATTCTGGAATAACGTAGAGCTTTTCTTCCGTGTTCACGTTTCTGTCGACGCCAGGTCTGTGGGGGACCATCCTCTGCAGTCGCTTCAAGATCTGGTCCATTTTGTCCACTAAAACGCGTGATGCGTCGAGACACCTGATCAACATGATTAATTAGTCAAGACACCTGATCAACATGATCAATTATCATCTCAAGTAGAAGATGTGGTAGCAACCAACCAACCAACCATGTCGTGGTAGCGTCTTCTAGTACAGATTTAGTACGACTACATCTTCAAGGAAGTATAGCTGAAGAAGAAGATGCTGTAGCGTCTTCTAGTACTACATCTTCAAGGAAGTAAAGCTCCTTCAGGAATTTTAATAAAGTGCCTGCCTCTACCAAAAAATCCAATGGATTACCACGAGTCACATCTCTACTATCCAATTAAAAAATTACCTGTGACATGAAAATCCAATTAATAAAGTGCCTACCTCGTTCCAAATCCAACGAATTTTTACCTTTATCACCTACAAGATGCACAACATCCATGTAAAATAAATCAGTTACCACTCTAATGAGATGTACCTCAAAGATCTCCCAGTCGTTCTGCTGAGGTAGTCTATCTTTTCTGTCAGCTGCACCACCGATAGTTGCACGATAAAACAATCCTTGCTTTTGCCATCACCGGATGTTAGAAGCGACATACTACTTCCTTCTTCATCGAGAACGAGTTGCTAGAATGAATGAACAAACGCTATTGGGCTATCCAAAAGTTTACATGTGGCCATAACTTCAGTCTCATGCATGCGCCAATGAATTCTTCGGTGCCAAGCTCCGTCTCTTCCCCGTCTTCCCCGATTGTACCCAACAATTCGAACAATTCGATTACATCATTAGAGCTAGGTTGCGACATGAAGTTCATCTTCATGTCTATTCAACTGGTGCATCCTTGAAAAATTATCGGTATCTACCGACAGGCAGAAATACTCTCATTTACTCTTACATTTCACGACTTTCAGGGATGCAGGAGTCACAGACGAATTATTATCAGATTGATGAACTATGCTCCTCGAGGATTCCGTAACATCGTCATGCTCAATCTGAGCTATTCTCAATTGGATCTTCACTTGCTCCAATTCGCAGACCTCCATCAACTCTTGCCGACTAATCGTTCCGCTTTCATCCGCGTCCAAACTCCTAAAAATCGCACCTAGTTTCGCCAGAGCGATTTGATGTTCTGTTTAGAGCTCTTCCTTGAGCGCATCTTCCTTGAGCGCACGATCCTTAGGGGGCGCTTCTTTTTCACGTAGAAGAAGAGCCACGGATGACGCTGAAAAAGGAGCGCCCCAGCGGTTGTAGCCTTAATCTTTGTCCGAGATTTCATCTGAAAACTCCCTCTGCTCCGCACTAGTGATAATCGCACGTGCACAGATCTGAGCAATGAGCACGTTCAGCATGCCAAATCGAGCAAAGGCGATGAAAAAGAGGAAAATGATCATGATTCCCATCCCATGCGCCTCTGCCGTTCCACGGGCCATCCGGTCGATGATATTATGCTCCATACTCATGAGGCCCAGAAAGGAATTGAAGCCCCAGACGACATGACCGAAATAGGAACGGAGATCTGGCCGAAAAAGGGTGGAAGTTTATAATATACGACATGACCGAAATAGGACCGGAGATCTGGCCGAAAAAGGGTGGAAGTCTAAGTTAAGGTATTTTTCAAAATGACAGCGGAGATCTACTGGGAGAGAGATTGGAGGGTGAAGAGTTTTCGCAGACAGATCTTGTAGAGAGCACGTAATTCATCGGTCCATCTTTCTGATTCTGACAAAATGATCATGATATTGGAAATAAAAGTATTCGTGAAACAAGGCAAAAAAAAAACTGCACTCGTCTATAGCTATAGACAAAACTGCACTCTAATAAATATACCAGTTCCACTCGTTTTCCTATATTTGAGTGTCTCTTCGACCTCCTGGCCCAAAGTACTGGTAACCAACAACGTCCACATGTAGGTCATCAGAGTGATCAGCAACAGACACCACATGGCTGCTAAAATTAGAAGATGGTGACGCTGCATAAGGGATTGGTGGTGGTGGACGACTGGAATGATATTACTACACGATACTAGTACCGTCTAGCAGCACCTACCACATCACAGATCATGTGTGAAGATCGTACTATCCATATCCTCATGGTCGATGCTCAACATACTCATCATCTTCACAGTCAGTCACCCTATCCAACATCATTCATAACTTAAACACGGTGGCAAAATCGAAAGCGGCCATTCCTTCTGTCACTATTTTCCGAATCCTTGGAAACTGGTAGATGACATCCTTCAATCTGGACAGGTTGACTATGCGGCCGAGTTTTAGAGCTACCGCGTCGCATCCGTGGGTGCATTCCTGAGCCCCCCGTTGATTTTTTCCCCTGTTGAGTAGTAGTAGTAGTAGGAGTAGTAGTAGTAGTAGTGTACCCATTCGTGGGGTATTGAAGAGCTTAATTACTTAGCAGAGGCAAAGACAGGAGCTGAGGATGAGATTGAGAGGTAGCCTTAAGAGTTGCAGGATTTTCGTGGCCTTCAGAATTTCGCCGCCAACCCACAAAGGGTAGGAAGCCTCGAAGACGCCCACCATGAGGAAGAAGAAGTCGTGAGTATAAATGTCGAAGTAGGCGAACCTGGTTTTTGATGATGAGATTGAGAGGTAGTCTAAAGGGTTTAGGGTTGAGAGAGGATTGTGTTGAGGGTGAAAAACCAGCCACTTCTAGTCTAGAGGGTGTATTGAGGGTGTGTTGAGGGTGTGTTGAGGGTGTATTGAGGGTGCGTTGAGGGTGTGTTGAGGGTGAGAAAGAGTTGTAGTTTCTGTTTGATGCTTGTTAACGAACGTGCAACCTTTCGGAATCACTGGTGCTGGGGAGAAAGAACCTCCAGTGAGGAACCTTCAACGAAGAAATCACTACAGATAAGATGAAAATCACAGTACCCCAAAACCTTGAATCTTTGTGAAAATTCGAAGAGGAAGAAGGGGAGGACTAGAGCGATATCCAGTATCGCCCACAGCAGTCGGTTGTCAATCGGATCGCTGTAGCTGATGAATTCTGTAGCGTATCCAACTCACATTAGAAGAGAACTTAAGGACTACTTACTTGTTATCTAAACATCAAGTTTGGTGGGAACGAAAAACTGAGCTTTTCATGCATCTTTCTTGTGGATAACAAGATGAAGATGAAGAAGTGACTAAGTATGTTGTACAGATGTAGAATCGCAGGAGCTCTTGCTGGTTTTATTGCGTACATCAGGAGAAGTGATCGCTGTCGTTGAGCACTGTCGTCGTGGTTTCTGAAGAATTCAAAAAGAGGTGCCTGCGTCAAGTGAGCACTGTCGTTGTGGGTTCAAAAAAAGGTGCCAGCGTCAAGTGAAGACCATAACAAAAAAATCTGTGCCGACACCAAGAAGGCTGCCATTGCTTGGAAGGCTGGTCGCTGGACAAAGTTCCCTTGCTGGAATTCCATCTGCGCTTGCTCCGCCTCTTGCATCACGAACTTCATCACGAATCTGTCCTTTTTACCGCAGGTATTAGAGGAGGGGAAACAACAAGGTCCAGGTCCGGGACGATAACGCCTTCAAACTACTTACATCAAAATCTTTTACTATCTTTCTTCACCCATTAAATGGAGGCATCAAAATCTTTTATCTTTCACTACGGTAGTACCATAACTATCCTGCTCATCATCTGCTTGATATCGTCAAAGTTTAGTTGTAATTCGCCTTTCTTCATCTTGTCCAGTTGGTCTTCCATGCCTCCGCCTCCTCCCATGGCATTCACCGCATTTCTAAAGTAAGACATCTTCTGTCTTCTCCACTCCGCGAAAGAAGGAATTAGAAGAAGGAGATAATGTTGTTTTTTCTAGACGATAGCGGTGGAGAAAAATAACCTCCTAATAGGACCTATAACTTTCTCAACTTAATATATCTAAAGAGAGAAAGATTCAAGTAGGAATAGGACATCTTCTAGTACTAGATAGCGAGGCTGAGGCCGCTCCGTTTTGTATCTATAACAAAATTAGACTACAACTTCAACTTCTTGTTATCTTTTCATCATGTACAGGTACACCGAGAGAGGCTCCTCGCATAACAGTGAATCTTAGATGAAGACTACTTATTTTTCGCAAAATGATGGTGAAAGCCTTAACAAAAATCTTGGCGCTGACGAAAGAGCCTTTGCTCTCTCTTCCTCCGCTCGCTTTGCTTCGGATTGCTGAAGCTTCATCCTGAAAGAATGGTAATGAAGAGAAGAATGCTTCATCGGATTCTTGCTCGTGAAGCAGGCGAAGTTTTTGTTGAAATCTACATCTTCTTCTTTGCGATGAATGTATCACGTAAATCTATGTCAGATGTCTATGTTATGGTTTTAGCATACTACATAGGATTTGGCTCGCCTCGGAGATTAGGATTAGTCTTCACGACTATGAATTGACTCACCGCGGTCCGTTGAGGTATCTATAAAGTATGATCTTAAGAAGTAGGGCACTAATAAATAGTACCTAAAATTCTGCATCCCTTTCTTCTTTTTGGCTGCTTCGGATTCTTCCTCTACTTCCTCCCCTGATAATTCTATGTCACTTGTTAGAAGTCCACTGAAAAACAAAAAAGGTACGTAAAAAGTGGCCATAAACTTTGATGCAGGGAGGAGATGAATCAAGTGAAAAAAAGATATGTAATGCAGGAGGAGATGAATCAACTGAAAAAAAGATACTTATGTAATGCAGGAGGAGATGAATCAACTGAAAAAAGATACTATGCAAAAAGTGGCCATAAACTTTGATGCACCACAATATCTCCGTTCGCTAAGCTCTCCACGTTATCGCACTGTCCTGTCCAATCGTTATTCAGCACGCCGCGTTTACTCACAGCCACCATCTGTCCTCCACTTGGTTTTGGTCGCGCCACTTGTTCGTTTTTTTGAGGCAAGTTTGAGCCCGCTGATCATGTGTTGAGTTAGTAGTTGTGTCGACTAGGTTGTGAATCACTTGTCTTGAGTTGGGAAGATCATTCACATTGTTCGTTATGTATGTGCGACCAGCTACTTCTTTACGATGAGTCTTACGCAGGTTATTGATCATGCATGTAGTACGTGAGTGAGTGTTTTCTATTAGCAGGAGCGAGGTGCTAGCTTGGTTAATATTGGAGCGTGAAAAAATAGAGAAATGCGCGACCAACGTCTTTACAATGAGTCTTACGCAGGTTATAATTAAAAAGAATAGCAAGTGTTCAAGATTCAAGATTCAAGACAAGTGTTCAAGACAAGTGTTCAAGACAAGTGTTCAAGACAAGTGTTCAAGACAAGTGTTCAAGACAAGTGTTCAAGACAAGTGTTCAAGACAAGTGTTCAAGACAAGTGTTCAAGACAAGTGTTCAAGACAAGTGTTCAAGACAAGTGTTCAAGACAAGTGTTCAAGACAAGTGTCCATCGAAGAACAAGTGAAACTATAATATAGGTACAGTGCAACTGTGATTGGCGAATCCTAGTTTCTTTTACCCCTACGCTGTCGACTAATTTGTCTGCAAAGCCACCCCTTCTCCGTTTTGCAGGCGCGTCATATTGCATATCGATCGCAGCTTGATTAGACGAGGAAGTCGTGTGGAGTTACTATGAATAAATCATTCATACTTAGACTATCATTAAATGTCAGTCTAAGTATCTAACTATCTGAAATATCCAGCCTCTCTGAAATACAAATATCCAAGCATCATTCAAATACTTATGTTGCGGTCATTTTCTTCTTCTTAGAATGCAGCTAAGAGCGAGGCAAGGAAGATGGAAGCCAACAAAAGAGAAACGAGGGCGAAATCAATGCGGTGGAGGAGGAAATGATAATGAGCTTTAAAGCGGAGAGAACAGTGCTTGAGATGAGTGATACAATTACATCTGCTTGAGTTGTAGAAGTCACAAGGAAATGATAATGATGAAGTAGAGAAAGTCATGGGTCATTAAATGATGTGCCTTAACTTCTGCTGCAGATATAGGATCGTCTATGCTGATCTTCGATCTATCGAATGGTTCTGGAGGTTTCGATGCGGGTTCACTTCTCTTTGATGATGGTGTTAGCGTGGAGAAACTAGAGACGAGAAACTAGAGAGAGAGAAACTAAAATGCTTTTAGACCATCTTGCTCATCCTCATTATATAACTGTGCCCCACCCCGACCCCCACAATCTACTCGCACAACTACATTTGTAGTACCATTTAGAGGTAGGTTTTTGGTGCTCGCGTACCCCGCTTGTTATGCCTTTCTCATCCTAAGGGAGAGAGGCATAAAAAGCGGTAAGAAAAGCACCTTTAACCTACTCTTAATCATCCTCTACTCCACCTACCACCGCCTCAGTGGATCCTTCTTCCATTTCTATCAGCCCCTCTACTAGTGCCTGACGCAGGAATGCCTCGACCTTGAGTTACAACTGCCTTTCCACTAACCCCACACACACACGACCGACTACGATAGAAGCAGGGACGAAACGCCAAGTTGTAGTACCATTCCACTAACCCCACACGTACACGACCGACTACAGACATAACTTCCCACTTCCTCCTGTTGATGCAGCTCCGCCAGCACCGCTATTTCCGGCACCCAGAGGCTGGTTTTCGTTGCCGAGTTCGACCGCTGCCATGCGAAACTGTTTTTTGACTGGACTCTGTTCTGGCGCGTTGAACTCCTGCACTGCATCTTTACTCGATGTCGTCGGTCCTCGGGTATGAAAGTTCATCATTGGGGAAGTAGTGATAGAATGAAAGAATGAATGGCTAGATGAATTCATCACATTGAAGTCAGACAAAAAAATCAATGCTGACGATTATGATGAGTGGATGATAAGTGGGACTAGTAGTCAATTTCTCGTGGTATCTTTTCTACCTACACATTGACATTGGTTCTCCGCATACATGAGAGCTTGGACCACATAGAATTAGAAAATTCAATTCAAAGTAGAAAATTCAATTCAAAGTTAGTAGTACTAGCTGCAGACAGACATCATGATAAATAAGTTCATCATCTTCACAAGCACAGCTGTAGGTTACAACAACAACAACAACTTACTAATAGTCGATGTATTCGTCCTTACATACAACAACTTACTATTAATCGACGTATAATTCGTCCTTACATACAACAACAAGCAGTACTGAGGTAGACCGTGGAAGACCAAAGGACTTAATATCTTCTCACACGAACAAAATCTATCAGAGCCTAGTCGATGATGTTCGTCTTCCAGCATAATTCTTTTGTTTTGGGGGTTTCGCGTCAGCAGGTTGACTCTCCACGAAAGCCACCCTCTTCCTTTGACTATCTCCATTCCCACCGCTTCCGGGTTCTGGTACCACTGAAGTACCAGGTACTCCACGTGTTGAGTCTGACATTCTTGCTTGTTCTTAGTCCTCGTGTTATGGGAGGATGTGGATGAACAAGAGCAGGTTGAAGTGTACGAGTCCGAGTACTTAGGATTAGGAGGTCGTGGTCGTAAGTTCTTCGAGCGAGGTCCTAGAAACTAGAACTACTTCTAGATCAGCCCCGGGAACTGCTAGGGAGGTGTTGCTAGTGCGGTTGTTGGACGGACAACCAATGATGTCAGTAGAACAGGGTGTTTTTAATAGTGCAGTGGCCGGTGCGGGATGTTGTTAGTGAAGCCTTGACTCTACAACAACTCCCTGAAAAACCAAGAAAGAGAGGTGGTGATAGAGGTAGTTGTCTAGGGTTGGGCTTAGGGTTTAGGGTAATCCCCTTAGGGTTGTGCCAGAAAGAATTGTAGTGGAGATTCTACCTCTCTCCCTGGTTGTTCTGCTCCAGTCCTTGTTCGATGAAAGGGCTTCACAGATGACCTAGTTGAAGGTTGAGTCGGAGTCCTCTTGAGCTCTGCGTCTGCGGAGGGACTTACTAGATCAACTGTCGACGAGCGCTATCACGACAGCTATTAGGTTACTGGATGACGTCCGTCTCTTGGATTTTCTTGATTTGATCGGCAGGTCGTCGAAGACAGTCGCCCGCCAACGGTTTATCCTTCTATCTCCAATTCGCTTCTTCTATCTCCAATTGCTCAGCATGCCCTACAAGAAGAAGCACCAGCACGTAGTACAAGAACTACTGCATGTTATCTACGTTGCTGGCTGCCAGCAACACCGTGACCTCGACATTTTCTTTGCTCTACAGTTTACTTTGTAGCTACAATTCTAGCGAAAAGAAGCACTAAGTACAACCAAGAAAAAGTCACGATCTATTCTTTCTGCTTGAGATAGGGATAGCGGACTATGATCAGCGATCAGCGACAGTGTGGAGAATACGGGATCGGGATCGAGCAAAGTGGTGGGCTCTTACCGAAATAGCGAACCGATGGATTGCATGTAACGACGACTGACGAATGAAGACCGAATGACCACAGATGAAGACCATTTTTTCTCGTACGAATAGACAGCCGAGTTCTATAAGAGGAAACGATCGACGCCGAATCTTCATTTTCTTCCTCGCGTGAAACTGTAGTACGATAAATATTTCTTTCGCACACCCACGAGACGACCGAATTCCTTGCTATATGCTCCGATATATGGTGATGGAAGACGTTTTCTAGACAAGGATCATGAACTATAGACGAGAAATCCGATTTCAACGAACGCCAGCCCATTATTTTGGAGAACAGATCAGAATCAGAATCTTCAATTTATTACGTCCTCAACACATACACTTCGATGATGAGCCTCATCTACGTTTACAACAAAAAGCCATACTATGACTCGATTTTTGCTTATATTTGAAGATTATTCCGGTCGCTGTTCTACTGTAGTACTTTCATCTACTCTTGCATTACTGTGTGCTCATATGAACTACTACTGTAGTTTCATCTACTCTTGCATTAGTACTGTGCTACAGGAAAGACCATCATCTCCATCTTAAAACTCATCTTGCACGACTACTCTTGTCGAGGATGAGACATCTCCTTCTCGCAGCTGGTCAATAGCGTCTCCAAACGTTCTATTTCATCCTTTAGAACTTGAATTCTAGTCGCATTCGCATTCAACTGCCTCGAGGCTTCTGGCATGCTACGGATCAGCATTAGAGCGCAGAGCAAATCTGAGCTCACTTCTTCAGAATCCGAACGAAGGCGGAAACGAAAGAACGATGACCACAGTTGGACGATTTGGATCAAATAAATGAAATGCAAATGGACTGTATCGAGAAGTCTTAACAACAGTTCGCGATCCGGACAGGCTTGAATTAAGCCAGCTACGTCCTCGACTAGTGCTTCTTCAGCGTCCTCTGAGGCAGCAGAACTAGTACTCTCAGTACTACTATTTCTACTACTACAGTCGTGTTCCTCCGAACTACTACTAGAGGAAGCTGATTTACTTCGTCTTTCATCATCCTCGTCATCAATACATGAAGAAGAGGAAGCATTGGACTCGGTGGCACCTCGTGAGAGGAGGGACCCATTTGATGCTGAGGATGTTGGTGAAAGCCTCTCATCTTCATCTCGATTTGACCTCGAGCTACAAGAAGTTTTCTTGTATTTGTTTTGCTTTTTCTTGTCGCGTCTCTTCTTGTCGACGTGTTTCTTCTCTTGTCTATGGGGATGTACAACTTCTTGTCTATCATGGGGTTGTCCTTCCTCCAACCCTACTCCTGCTACTACGATAATAGATGCTCTCGTTTTCCTCAATACCAGCTCTTTTGGAGGTCCTCCTGTTCTTGGACGAGAGCAAGGGCGAGAAGATGTCACTTCATGATCGAGATCATTTCTGATCTTCTCTTTACGAGTAGACGATGAAGCAATCTCCTTTTCTTAGGGCTCATCTCCGATAGAATTCATTCTGGAGCTCGTCCAACATGATCCTAATGTCAACAGGTATTGAATTAGCGTCCGTCGAAGATGAATTTTTCAAAGTGCCATAATTTTTCCTTCGTTCTCTTGCCGCTGCGTCTCTTGCCCTTTTTCTCTGCTGCGATTAGCAGGTAACGACTATTGAAAATCTGACTCTGAGCGAGAACACGGCAGCCTTCCCTTCGACTTCTCTTGTGATCATGTACTTAGTCTACAACATCTAACGATTTTTTACATCTAACAAAAGTTCTTACAGTTTATTAAGTCCTTCTTCCTTAAATCAAAGCAGACTTCTGAGCTCCACGGAGCTTTATCAGATTCGGGAAAAAAATTTCGTACTTTGACCGCACCCCTCTAACCTGCTTCCGGACTGTATCTAGACTCCTTGACGCTGTTGCTTGTTTCCCGGAGATTCGAGCGGGACCGGTACTCTAGCAGTTGTAATTCTTCCATTCGGCATAATTCAGTATTTTTCAATGTAAGCTCATAATTCCAATTCTTCCTAGTCGTACTGCTCTCCTTCTAGTTCACCCGAAGTTGCCGTTCTATTGCCGTGAACAAAAATCCTCATACAACTTCTAATTCTTCCATCTGCTCAGAAGGTCATAATAACCCCAATTCGGTCATAACTCCAAGTCTTCCATCTGTTCTGTATACGTCCGTTCCAGCTCGCTCATCAAGGCCATCATCTCTTGCGGCTGCTCTTTCCTATCAAGCTCCAACTTCTCCCGTGCTTTGCGTAACGATTCTTCTAATTTTTCCACTGCATCTTTTAGAATATCATGAAGGCAACGGATATTCAATTATAGTGTTGAAAGGCGACAGCGTATTAAGCAGTATACCCCACGAGCATGACAAAACAATTGATAGTGTTGAAGAAAGGCCTGTATAATGTACACGAGTAAACAGGAAGCAATTCGTGTAGTTTTTCTGCAAAATAAGCGTTTCACAGAGCGCGACCTGAACGAAATCAGACTAGCATCATCATAGGTAGAGGAGCTCCTAGATTTTCCCTAGTATGTCATGTTCATTCGTTCACTCATTTACCTGTTCTGGAGGTATCTTTTGACGCCATGGCGACAGCGTTTCTAATTGTTGGACTTCTTGCTCTATTTTAAAGCTACTCTAATTCAAGCATTGGACTTCTCTTTTTTCTTCTCTTGTGTAGCTATAATAGTACGTGTCTACCTGTGAAGAGACCTCCTCTTTGTAGACCACAACATACTCAGACACTATGACAAGTGGAGCTGGTGGTAAACAACCAAAAATATAAGCATAAACTCTGCTGCTCCAGTCGTCGTTCGTTCAAGCATTCCCGCAGCCTCTCAAACAAGTCGATAAAGGTTGAGCAGATTAGACAAGCAGAAAAAGGTTGAGCAGATTAGACAAGCAGAAAAAGGTTGAGCAGATTAGACAAGCAGAAAAAGGTTGAGCAGATTAGACAAGCGGGTGAAGACATATGTTAGATATAGATTGACTATCTACTTCTAAGACAGGAGTTTCAAGCTGTTGCTGAAAACAAGGACATCATCAAGCAGGTAAAGGTTGTATCTGTAATTCTTTTTACAGATGCTGTCCGTGTCCTTCTACTCTAACCTGTGAATAGATCAGGACCTTGATGTCTAGGACGTAAATTTTTTTCCATAAGAAAAAAGATTCAAAGGCGTTTGAACGGGTCAACCGCCTATCTCCCATCTGCTTCCCAAGCTGCCGCATTCCAGTCTCGATCACGGGTAAGGCCGCTAAATAACGCCTCTCTGCTGGTCGGATGTCTGCTGGATGTTAACTTAAAGAGAGGCTTACTTGCAGATGCAGGGTTCTTGCTCTTCATATCAAACTAGTACTTCAGATTTCGTTCTGGAGGCTTTCATTCCCATGAAAGCGGGTTAGTACTTACAACCGCTAATAGCTAAAGCTACAACCAATAAAGTTGGTGGAGCAGGCCTAACTAGAAAAAACAAAAACCGAAAAAAGAAAGGCCAGGCTAAAGCTACAACCAATAAACATTAACGCTAAGCAAGGCAAATCAATGCGAAACGACTAGACTTTTGACGGATTAAGGACAAAAAAATACCTCATGTTGATTGTTCCTTCTCAAGTTCCTCTACGGAGACTACTCCTGTGACGGACAGGAAACAAGTACTAGTCTTCATCGTTAATACGACGTAAGTACTTTTCCCGTAAGCAGCTTGTCTTCAAGGCACGCTGCACCGCACTTTCTAGCCATGCTTCTAAAAACGTGGTGTCCCATCTGGCGGATACGGAGTGTGATAAGTGCTGCCCAGAAACAGATGACAACGCGAGATCGCCTTTGGCATTCTTTAGAAGAACTGCGCTCGGTGTCTTCAGGCTTCTTGAAGCTGAGTAGACGAAGCGAGGAGTGATCTTAGGTTAGGTTGGGATCTACCATCCAATGTGGCAGACTTCGACGGCTGCTGAAGAGCCTAGCAAAGGTGGCACCTAGATCAGAAAACCTACACTATCGTTCGATAATTCCCTACGCTAGTAGACGAAGTGAGCAAGCTAAGTCTCGGAAGTGATGAAAAGATGAATCTCCTATACTTTTCCTTGTTTATTTTGCATATTTATTCTATCTATAATAATTATGTGATAAATATCTAAGCTTCTAAGTAGTTCGACGCGAAAAAGATGCTGAGAGCCTCTAGTCTACTTTTGCCCGATTCTTTTGACGCCTCTACACTATTTTTTTGGATAGATCCTTAAGTTCTGCGAGTCTAGCAAAAATTCAGCATCCCAGTCGTGTCGCTTCGAAGCACAAGTCGCGGACTCGAAGTCCAAAAAGACTCGTTCGGAACCAAGCATCTTTGAGCATTTACTTACCGTATTAACCTATCCACTGAGTTTCCTTACCGTAACCTACCCACTGTTTTCTACTTACCGTATTGTATCCACTGAGCGTTTTCTACTTACCGTATTGTATCCACGACTAAGTGTTTACTTTCCGTAGTGTATCCACGACCAAGTGTTTACTTTCCGTAGTCTATCCACTGAGAAGTGTCTACTTACGACCGTTACTTACCGTCCTCGTAATCATCAGCATCGCCATGGCGTCTTCTATGTTGTAGTAGTAGTAGTAGTAGTAGTAGTAGTAGTAGTAGTAGTAAGCCCAGTCTTGGGGTTCAGTCCAAAGTTGCATGGGAAACGGGAGAATATCTGGAAAGATTTTTACAGTTACACAAGTCACTCGTTCCTCTCGTTTCGCAGACACGGCACATACCTGCTCTTACTCGTTCTCTGTAGCTACAGATTCATCTCACAAAGTCATGACGTGACTCCTCAACGCACGATGGGCAAGAATGTTAACAAACTTGATCTTCATGATATCATTTCCCGAGTGAAAAGCTCTTGTAGTTCTCTCCTTTCATTCTTCACTGATAAATGTTAACTTGCCTTGTTTTAATCTCTATACTTTCCTCCTTCATTGACCACGTCGCACAACAAGGGCAACTAGCAAGGGCACAACAAGGGCCGTGAATGGGCGCACGAACACTTCTACTTCCACCTCCACCAGGTCCCCTTCTCCCAGCAACTTGCTTTTCTCTGCGTACTCACCTAATCGTCATGCCTTTCTCGTTTTTCGAAAGCTTGATGCTTTTGGTTTTTACACTTCCATCTTCCTTTGCGAACAAATAGCATTATAACCATAACGCTAAGTAGGATGAAAGAAGAGACGCGGTTTCTTGAGAAGACGGCCACAAGACTAAGGACGACACCTAGTCTGGCCACATAGTCTCCTCTTTTTGTGTGCTGGTAAAAACAACAGCTACTCTTGCGGGATTAAGTCCCTCCAAATAGATTGCAATTACAACTTATCGGAATCGGACAGGCGCCAGAAGATTCCAACTAATGAAGAACAGCCACCAGGGTACATTAATAAATTAGCATAACAAATGCATGGACAGATTAGCATAACAAATAAAAATTGCCAATGCTAGTAGTATGAGCTGAGGTCACGGCAATGGCATGGCATGAAGCAGAAGAAAACGAGGACGTAGCTAGTCTATGAATGGCGTCCATTCCATCTAGGCAGACCACCACGGCTATTCCTTTGCGCTTAAAAACGTACAGTTGGTCTGATCTAGAGCGAAGAAAAAACATCATCCATAAATGAGTCGACTCAATACTCTAGCAGCACTAGCCCTATAATCATAATTACAAAGATGACTTGCATACCGACCCCCGCGCCAGTTGTAGTAGTATTTAGTGGAGCTGGCACCATAGCTCTTGGCGGGAGGTGGCACCATAGTTCTTGGCAGGCCTCCAAGAAGTTGAATGCGTGGCAACTACAGGCTAAGCAGAATAACGGTAACCTCGAAGCTGACTTCTATGTACTTACTAATTAGCAGAGCAAGAGTAAGAAACGATGAGGAAGAAACTAACTCTCTGCCTCAAAAAGAGACGATGAACGAGAGCCCAAAAAAAAATGTAAGGAAGCTGACCAGCACTTCCTCTTCCCCTCTATCAGTCTTGGGAAAAAAGTATCTTAATATAATTCGGTCTCTTGCTCCAGGTGGAGCAGAGGACATCTTGTTTTAGGATAGGATAGGATAGGATAGGATAGGATGCCGCTGCTCCGCCTCCACACTAGTTTTTTGTTCATCTAAGTACTTATGTTTTTGTTCATCTAAGTACTTATGTTAGTGATCGATGGCGTCAAAAAAAATATGAAACAAACCCATGCAGCTGTGTCCGCATCCTATAGGATAGGATAAGGTGCTTCCTCATCGACGAGCACGAGCATGTTGGAGAGGGAAAAACTATTCGATAAGCTGAAATAACAAAGTAACTAAAAGAAGATCACCGTCCTCGTGACTATTTCAATTTTATTTCAATTACTTAGGTACTCGCATTTATTAACATTTTCACTTTTCGAGTAATGCAGGAACACGGGAAGAACTGTCGAGGCGCCTCATCATCCTTGCCCCTTCTGCAGTCGTTTCATGACTACGGTGGCAGCCTTTGTTTGATCGAAAAGGAAAAAGACTACGCTCGTCATAATTATTGCCTGTGATTTCGCACTGAGCGCCAGTAGGTACTTGCGGTTCCCATCCAAGCTCCGTTTTGAAGGAAAAAAGAACCAAACAAATCATCAAGTGAGAAGTGTTCTAACCTTTAATACTTCTTGTTCTGTTATAAGTTAGCCACCCGATAAACCGAAATAAGCAAGTAACTACTCAGAACGCTCGGGATACTGAACGAAGAACAGCGTAGTCGTGACTCACTATTTCAGTTAGCTCCTCGCTTATTTTCACTTATCGAGAACTTAAGAAGTTATAACTAATAGTCAAAAAGCCAAAGATAGCGCAGAGTACTTCAGTTATAACTATTGGTCAGATTCAGAACAAAGTCAAAGATAGCTCTCTGCACTTTGAAGAATTTCCCTAATCCTGTGATTTTTTGCAAAAGCCTAGCCCCAGCATGGCCTTACCACTTTCCGACCCCTCGTCCCAAAAAAAGACGTTTGTTATTGCCATCATCATAACATCATTATAGCATTCATGATTATTACCATCATTCACCTTCTCCTCATCACTATCATCATCAAATATTTGCCACCGTGTTGCTTCTCATCCAACCTGCATGCGTCATCATAATCCTAATCACCACCATCAATCATAATAGTCACCATCAATCATACACAAGCATCACCATCAATCATAAGCATCCCCATCAATCATAATCATCACCATCCATCATAATCATCACCATCAATCATAATCATCACCATCAATCATAATCACCACCATCAATCATAATCATCACCATCAATCATACATAAGCATCACCATCAATCATAAGCATCACCATCAATCATAATCATCACCATCCAGCATAATCATCACCATCAATCATAATAATCACCATCAATCATAATCATCACCATCAATCATAATAATCACCATCGATCAATCATAATTATCACAATCATCACCATCAATCATAATCATCACCATCAATCATAATCATCACCATCAATCATAATAATCACCATCGATCAATCATAATCATCACCATCAATCATGATAATCATCACCAACCTGCGTCTCTAGTCGTGGTCAACATCCTCTACCACCGGTCTTCTAGAATGCTCCTTCCGGCTTCGTCCTTCTGTAAAAAATAAGAAAGGACGAGTAAGGTCGGCGGTGAAAACAGTCAGAGTCAATCACAACGAACATACAAACTACAAACTTCATATGTTGATGCAGAAAGGAAAATAAGGTCGAAGGTCAAAACAATCACTCAAAGCAAACTAGGGTCAACAAGAAACTCAAACTAACCCAGACAGACGCCTCGCGGGAGGAGGAGGTGCTTTTTCGTCGGCCGGAGGAGGAAACCAGACCTTTTCTCTCATATTTTCGCCGAGAACCACTTCGAACGGACCATTTCCAAACAATTCTTGGAAGTCTTCGCGCTTTCTCATATCGGCTAGATCGTCAAACTCGGTGTGCGCTGCGGCGAACGGAAGGTGCAAGGGGTAGCCAGCAGCCCGCCCCGCGATCCACAGGGGGTTTTTGGGTTCTTTACCTGGAGGAGAATCATACGGATTTCCCTTGTAGAGGAAGAAAAAGCTTGCGTCGATCCACGATTGTCCAGTACGCAAAACAACCGACAGAAAGTACTTGTTATTCTCCAGTTCTTCCCCGCTTGGGAACTCCAGCTGGAAAAAGGAAAATAACTCCTGCGGCCAACAACGGGGGTTGCACTTGCCGGCCGGGTTCAGGTCGAGCTCGTAGCGATGAATCCCCCAACCACCGTCTATATGGGTTTCCGCATGGCGGATTCGCACCCCTAGAGAGGTGTTCTCACTGGCCAAACGCGCTGCATCGATTGTCATTTGTTCACTGGATAACAACTCTTCCAGCTTGTTGTTCTTGTTGAAAAAATTCTCAAACGCCTTGTTGACTGTCGCGTCCTTCGCTAGTAATTTGTCGTTTTCATCAAAGCCCGCAACTCGTGGATCAATGCCTTTCGAACTCATCCAATTGGCATTCGATTTGTCGACGTAAACTTTTTTCATCACGGGGGTCGAGTCTTCGTCCTCTTCCTTTTTGCGGACCTGCATGACACCCGATAACTCGCGGTTGGTACCGCTCGACACAATTACAGCCGAAGCGATCAGATTCGGGTGCGGTTGGGTCAATGCAGCAGCAGCTCCGCCAGCATGCCCCTCGCCAGTAGGTCCTCCAGCCGACCGAAGAGTAAGACCAAGAGCGACAGTGGCAGATGATGCCAAAGGAGCAAGGAGGAACTGCTTCATCTTTTCAGAGACAGGAAATCTCTATACTCGAACTTAACTCGATGTCAGTCTTCAATGGTGCTTGAAGATATCTATAGAGGTAAAAAAAATTCTATCAAATTCAACCCTTTCTTGACGATCTTTTTATGAAGTAAGATTCAATCGACGAACTAGATTGATTACTCTAGGTATTCAGGGAGCTCGTGTTTACGCTTATGGAAAATAGTGACTATATTTAACGCCTTTACAAGATCTTTGCACTTATTGACATTAGTTTCCTTTTGAAGCTTTTGGCAGGTGGCTATTCAATAGTGGCTAGAAAACCAGTTTAAGTGGTAGCTATCTTTGATGTTTTCCGAATATTGTTTTTTGAATTTTAGGTAAACAACGTCATGAATATCTTTGATGTCTTTCGATGAATATCTTTGAGTAATTACGCATTTGGCAAGTACTTAGATGTGAGTATGGTCTTTGACGTTTTTCGGATACTCTTGATCGAGTTCGCTTTTACGCATTAGTACGAGGTAAGTAGATAGTACTTCGTATTTGTTATTGTTAGTGTTAGTCTAGTAGCTTTAATCTCGCCACGACGTCGTGTTTTTACAATCTTTTATTGGGATGAAGGGAGCAAACCTGTTACTCTCTCGATCTCAACTGGCAAATTGGCAAATTTTTTGAGGAACGAAGTAGATAATCCTTTTCTAGGTAGTGAATCACTCGCATGACAGAGCGTTTTTTTACAGAGGTCCACTATCTCACTTCTCTCCTCACAACAACAGAGGTAACGCTTGTACCCATTCCACTCCCCTCCTTACAACCAGAGATGACGCCCTCACAAAAATTAAATATCTGACGCAGGGCCGGACAGCCCCCGCCCTCCCCCCCATGTGGTCTGGTCTGTGGTGGCGCGCGCGCGCGCTTTTCCGCGCGGATTTTTTCGCGGATTCTAGTGGTGGAAGGCGTCAAAACTTGGCGCGGGCCTCCCCTTGGGCCTCTCAGCGCATTCCTGAGGGGCCTCCTGGCCTCTGCCCTCTGCTGACCCTCGCAGGCGGGAGGTCTCCGGGGTAAAAGGCCGCCGAAGGCGGCCACGGTCGCAAGAGCAAGCAAGCCGATGACCAAGGGCCCGGGGGGCACAAGCGGCACGGCTGCGGCGGCGAAGCCTAACGGATGCACTTCGGGCACAGGCAGGCACCTGGACGGGGGCGCAGGCGGTCCCTTGGGCCCCTTTTGAAGCCTCCCACCACCACCAGGGGCCCCTAGGGAACAGCCAGGCAGCTGGAAGGGAGCGGAAGGGGAAGGTCACTGGGCCCCCTTTTGAGGCCTTCCCCCCCGGCAGACGGCTGGAAAAGGGGTCCAGGGCGCCCGGCCCGCTAGGGGGAGGGCGGGGGCCGTCGCCCCGCGCCCTGGAACATATATGAATGTCACGTCGTCCTCACTAGCTGATCATGGTCTCACTTGCAGATGTGGTCCTCACTTGCAGATCATGGTCTCATTAGCAGACCATATTCTCACTTGCAGATGTGGCCCTCACTTGCAGATCATGGTCTCATTAGCAGACCATATTCTGACTTGCAGTCCATATTCTGACTTGCAGATGAGATGTGGTCCTCACTGGCAGATCATGGCCTCATCTGCAGATATTTGACCTCCTCACTCACAGATATCACTCCCACTCCAGATAAACTGCGCAAAGTGTATTTCTCTCTTTAAGGATGTTGATACAGAAAACTAAGAATTTCCCTCTTCAACTTCAAGGGAAGCTCTTAGTTTGAACAGGGAAGACGTTCCTCTGATGCCTCTAGGACATGCTTTACTAGACAGTACGTGATGATTGGTGCCTCAAGAACATAAGTACTAGAAATTCATACCTCAAGAAGCAGCTTCATACCTCAAGAAACAGCTTCATACCTCAAGAAGCAGCTTCAGACCTCAAAAAGCGGCTTCTTACCTCAACACCTGTTTTTGTAGTCGGGAGCATGCATGGAATAAAAATAATCCTCTTACAAACAAGTTAAAAAAATACCATGACAAGGTATCAGACCGCAAAAAGACTATGTTGACTTGTCATGCATGGGTCCCTGATAATGCTGTTCTTCGCATTCGTAGGCGAATTTCTTTTCAATTTAGGTTCATTAACTTGATGCTTCTCTTGTGTAGACGAATTTCTTTTCAATTTAGGTTCATTAACTTGATGTTTCTCTTGAATATATTCCACTCCAACAGAGGACTATTATCCCGGCACAACAACTTATCCGTTGTATGACATTTTTATCTTCAACATGATAATGATCCTTAGTCACTCACTCATTAAAAATATCAATGAATCTACTATAACTTCTCCGGCAATCTCTGTGAAAACATCGTACGCATAGTTCATGTTGACAACTATCGGATCACTTTGTTTTCTGTGATGTTGTATTAGTGGACCATAATAGATCTTCTAGGACAGGACATTCTGACTATCCTCAATCGTGTAAGTAAGTGAGATCAACATTCTTGGAAAAGGTTTCATTCATTCGAACCACGTAGAAGCTATGGGTAACAAAAGTCTCACGAGAGCTGGCAAACTACATGTTCAGGTCCTGTGCTTGCTCTATAGTTCGTTTTGGTCATACGAAAACTACATTGATACAAAAACTCATCATATTTTTACTTACGTGCGTAACACTCTCTCACATTGTGAAAATAAACTTCAACTAACCTCGACGTTAGTCTTCGAAAGCACTGCTATTCCCAGAGGCCCTTCACCTGAATGCTGTTCGCTATCGGTCGACACGTCTCCGGGTTAGAGCTTGCATCGCAGATTGATGGCTTCCTCAGCAAGCAGATTGAGATTCATTTCTGGTGTCCCATTTGTTCACAAGTAAAGACTGATTCTATATGCCACAAAAGTATAAGAAGCCTATGATTAACCTGTATTTAGTCCAACCTGATCCTGTGTGCTATTCATTTTGTATGTAACCTAGTACCAGCAACGATGACATGTCGTCCGGCAACATCCTCCATGCAATAATCAGAACTAGAGACGGCTATTCTCATTTATTCTTACAATCTTCTCATCTTGCTTATCTTTTGGCACTATATTTCTAGATACTTCTATTTTTCTGTGTGCCATAAGATGTCCATATACTGGCATTCGGAACTTCAAGGGTGCTGCCGTCACTTTTCGCGAGGCTGACCCAAAGCGGACGAAGCCTTCTGCCTCTCTCCGCAGTCGTACCACCTTGCCTATACGCGCCGCAACAATATCCACAAAGAGCAAGTGTCGAAAGGTGTCGCTTCCCGTTAGAAAAGCTAGCGTGTCCTAATTGCAGGTCCACCAGCTGGAGAGGATCTTCTCGAGAGGTACTTAAGACTAAAGAAGCCGTCCATTTGCTATTTTTGAATTTGAAAAACGGAATTTGGTTTTTTTGAGTACGAGTCATGTTCTTGACATATCACGTTCACCTTGCTGGCGGTTTGTCTTTTCTTGTTCACCTCAGACGGATACAACTAACAACTCGAGACGCTGTTCGTCATTTCTTGTTCACCTCAGACGGATACAACTAACAACTCGAGATGCTGTTCGTCATTTCTTGTTCACCTCAGACGGATACAACTATCTAACAACTCGAGATGCTTCCGCTACAGCTGTGATCATAAGTAGAAATGAGTCAGTCTACGTCAATCGGAAAAACAACAGCGGTGATTCAAGTAGATTCCTCTACGTCTATAAAATTTGAAAAAAAATCTACGTTGAGATCCATTCACGTAACATCATGATCCCCAGCTTGTCGGACTCTCTGCTCAGCCGTTCACACGCCAGTACCACCGTATAAACGTCTTTCGAACATGATGAAAGCGGGGAGCACAAGCTGACCTAAGTCATAGATAATCATCCCAGAATGAAAGAAAGATGGAGGATCGAGTTTAAAAAAAAATACCTCTCCGTCCTCGTCTCAGTCTAAGAACAGTCATAAATGTACATCGCCATGAAGTCTAGATAGAAAGACCAAAAAAAAACTTTTCCTTATTCGCCATAAATGTACATCGCCATGAAGTCTAGAGCATGCTCCGAGAAACTCCGGCATCACTACTTCGCCTTTTTCTTCCCTGTCTAGCATTTCAAGTAAACTCGTCACCTGATCCAAATCCACTTGGCACCTTTTCAGCACGTCCTGGACACGCTCCGAGTCCTGAGCATGTACGTAGAAACAAATAAAAACTAGCAGAAAAGACATGCAAGCATTTATCTGTAAGTACACGTTGCACTTTTAGAACACGTAGAAACTTACAACAGAAGCATTGCGTGAAGGGATAAGTCTAGGAGTAGAGGGAAAGCTAACCGGTTGCTTTACTTATGTGCTTTGAGCGTCGCTGGTCCCAAGCCCCACCAGAGGCAGAGAGAACAGGGCAAAAATTCATGCCTTATTACGTCTACTTTCAGATTCGCTGGACCCAAGCCCCACCAGAGGCAGAGAGAACAGGGCAAAAATTCATGCTCTATTACGTCTACTTTCAGATTCGCTGGACCCAAGCCCCACCAGAGGCAGAAAGAACAGGGCAAAAATTCATGCTCTATTACGTCTACTTTCAGATTCGCTGGACAAAGCCCCACCAGAGGCAGATGATGATGGTGATGATTGTGCCTATTCTTGAGGTGTTATTATAGAAATTAGCTCTAAGAAGTACATGTAATATCCTCTGCACTTTTTCAACATCGGCCAAGCCGATTTCGGGATCGATAATTGCCTTTTGGAAATCCTGACTGAGTGTCATCACTTCCGCTTGCCGGTTCTTTATGTCTTTCTCGTATGCTACCTGAACAAGATAGATAGATAGATAGATAGATAGATGGATAGATGTACCCACTCGCGGGGTGTAAGATCTTTCATTGCCTATGACATGGAGCAGCCTAGTACCATCATTGCATTGTTCTTAGTACCATCATTGCATTGTTCCTAGTGGTAACAACTAAAAATCGTGTAGTTGTTTTCCTAATAGTTGTTTCAACACCTTCTTATTCGTATCCAGTCCGTAGACGGCATGAGACACGATGCTTCCACCGAGGACTTTGAGGATGCCCATCGTGCCAAAGGCGTAGATGAGGAAAAACGTGTACATCAAAAATGGAATCCGTTCATTAGACTTATTACCAAAGCTATGTATATTCATCTTTTTTATAAGGAAGTGCATCTTTCATGCGTAGTTTTCCCCTTAAAAAAGGGGCCAAAGAAGATGCTTCTTGAGAGGAATTGTTGTGAGCCATAAGTTGAATAATGGGCCTTATGGTGCCATCCATCACGCCCTTGTCCCACACGATGATCATCATCAAACTCGGAGTTAGATGTAAGAAAGGTCGTGGTGTGTTGCCCTGATCAGTATTGATTTCGAAACTGTCGACAGTCTGTTTGCGTCTGTTCGTAGTAAAGTGGCGGTCTGTTTGTGTCTGTTCGTAGTAAAGTTCTGTATCAACAATATTCATCATTCATCTAGTAGTGACGGTCTTGGTTCATCTAATAGTGTGATGTTCGTAGTTCTGTATCAAAAATATTCATCTAGTGATGGTCTTGGTCCCTGTCTGTATCTTGAATAGTATTATTCATCTAAGTAACCACGACCATCGGAGCTTAACTGAAACGTATTTAGCGAAACGCCGAACCACTTACGGTACGCAAATCCGGTAGTCTTCATGCTCTCGTAGAGATCGACGTGGGCTTTCTTGATGATGTCCGTATGAAAAATGCTCATGATATTCGCAAACAAAATGGTCAGGAGTGCGCACCTGGAGGTCGACGTGTTGTGTGGAAATGGAGGTGAGTATATCAATCAATAATATGCGGCCGTCTAACGAGCGGCGGTGCTGGTTAACGGAGGAACAAACAGACCCAGGGCCAACTCTGGACTGTGCGAGCACGTCTGTGTTCCCGCTGAGTCAATCAATCAATCAATTGGCGACGCGCGGTAGCCCGAGCCTAGCGGACCTAATGGAGTTTAGTTGTGTCGTGGATGTAAAGTAGTCAACAGTGAAAGAAATACCTCCACTGCACATTCCTACTACCTGCCATCTTCTACTGTGCTAACAGTACCACTGCACAGTGCTTGCGATTTGCGCTGCCTTGCGGACGAAGAAGTAGCTGCGCATGTGCACTTTCAGTGTCGGGAAGTAGTAGAACATTTCTTTGAGGCTGAAAAAGCGTTTGAACCGGATGAGAAAGCCCATTTACTCTTAGAGGGCTGGCTCCTGGGGAAAGTTTTTAGTTAGTGGAGTATAGGGCTGAGTTCACTAAGCTGTTGTACAACAGTTTCCCCTTCTCCTTAGTGGGGAAGGGGAAACTGTTGTACAACAGCTTAGTCGTAATGAATTTATTACAGACCACGAACGCAGTGAAGATATGAAAGATACATGCATCAAGTACTCAGCTTAACGCCTAAACGGCTAAGTTAGTACCAGCTGGAGGTTGTAAACCAACTATTTTCGGGGGGATAAAAGGAAGCTACGGGAGACAACTTGCAAGTCCTCGGCAGATATGAATTGTAAAAGTAAAAGCGCATATCATCTTTCTGATCATAATTGAGCAATCCGCTATACGCATAGAGACCTTGGTAGATGTCGATCACGTTCATCAACAGGGCACAAAACATCCATTTCTGGTCGTCGAAGTATTGCAGTCCTAGTGCTCGTATCCGACAGCTGAATTCGCCAATAGTTAAAGCTCAGCATTCAATGGTCACTGACTCTGAAAGAAATGGGCCCCATGCCTCTCCCTTTGCTTTTCCTTCATTTTCCCCCCATCTTTCCTCAAGAGGGATCTCAGTGACCAACCCCAATGACCATTGAAAGCTGAGCCTTAAAATAAAGATCAAGACGGTGAGATTTTCCAGAGCGTAAAAGATTATTCTCTGAGAAAGCAGGGGATCCATCACCTCTTTGCCCTTTGACGCAACCATGTCCGCTTCAATACCGACAACGATGATGCTTGCCATTAGAGATGAAAATCAATAGCACACAGGATCAGGTTGGACGGCTTAGGAGTATGTATGCTACCTTTGTATGTATGTATGTATGTCTGTCTGTATGTATGTGCCTAATTAGAGGTGCTGCAGTTCTTGGTAATGAGCAGCTTCGAAATAGTGCTTCTAAAATCCTGCCGAAATACTAGGCGTAAATGATTTCTCACGAAGGTCGCCGCTGCTGATTTCTCCCGAAGATGAGGAAAAACGAGATATTCAAGCCAATAAAAATGACCACTCAAGAACGTGCTGACATAACAGCCTAATCATGTTCATGATCAGCAGCACTAGAACTAGTATGCTGAAGTGAGTGGATGAATGTACCCACACCAGGGGTAAAAAAGACTACTCCACACTACTTCCGTCTACAACGTGCTTCGTGTGACCTCAGTGATTCTTCATAGTAGTTCTAGTACGAAGATTCCTCATCGCCAGGTGTTCAGCACTAGTCAATCAATCGATCAGTTTGCCGCTAGTACGTTCCGAAAACATATCGAAGGAATGATCACAAGTTTCTTCATCGTTACCTAGTAAGTACATTCCAAAAACATAACGAAAGAATGATCACAAGTACTAGTTCCAGTACGAAGATTCTTCATCGCTAGGTGTTCAGCGCTAGATAGTATGTTCCGAAAAGAAATGGTCACAAGTACTAGGAATGATCACAAGTACTAGTTCCAGAGGGTCCATAAGATACTGATGATGACAAGCATGAAGTGGTTGAAAGGCGCTCTGTAGGTCCAGTGAGAGACACCAGCGAAGTCAGAATATTGTGGCCCAACTTCTTCCCGGTCTGCATCCTCGCCCGATCCCATCAGCATTCATTAGAACCATGCATCTAATATGCATAGCCTGACAGACAGACTCATAAGAAATAAAAAGCATAGTCGCGATTATTAACCTTAAAGGAACGAAGAGTATATACGGGTCAATACTATTACTAGCAGCTTGTATAAAAAACTACTGTATTAGCAAAGTAACTACGTTCTTGTGGATGAAAGTAACTTGTCATGTCATGTCATGGTACCTCTTATGTAGCTAAGACTATCCTTAAAGATTGACAAATATTAAAGATGGTCGGTAGCCATAAATCAACTGGGATAATAGCTCATCGTTGCTCACTTCTTCCAGCTTCTCTATGCCTGCAAACTCCCTCCTCGTTTTCGTGACCAGATGCCGCATGTAGCGAGGCGGATTCCATCTGAAAGCAAATAAATTGAGCAATCCACAACTAACATCTAGTACAACTTCTGGTGATGGATGATTATAAGCTCAGGACGACGAATGATAAGAATAAGTAAGTCCAAGCTCAAGACGACGACTTCAGGATGCCAACGAAGTTTTTTTTTGTAGGCCAAGATCTCCAAAAGGGCGACCCCAGTGATATCCGGTGTGCCTGTCGGCGACGGGTGCAGTCCCTTAGCCTCCTTCTACCATTAGTGGCCCAATAATTGCAACTTCTTTTTTTTTTTGCATAGTGAGTCGCGTCGGCTCCTTTTCAATTGGTCATCAAGCCATCATGCGCTGCAATGCAGTGCTCCTCATCTACCCTACAACTTACTACAAACTTAAGCAAGTTACAACTATACCTACATCTTACTACAACTTACTATTCCAAGGCACTTAAGCAAGTTAAATACTTAGTCAGGCTATCTTTTTTTTGTTTCTCAGGCTATACTTTCTCTTGTACGCCTCCTTCTACTAATAGTGGTCCAACCTGTAAGTAATAACTTACCTAGCTGCCACACTCTCTGGGTCCTGATCCTCTAAGGGAACGAGGAAACCACCGTTCGATCTCTTAGCTGGCGCATTTTTCGCTTTTGGCACGTCCTCCATCGTTCTTTCGAGTTTACTCCTAGCCATGTCCTGAACCCCATTAGAGCCTAGTATCATTTTCAAAGGACAACAAGAATGTAGTTAGTAGTCGTAGAGGATCACGTATGAGAAATCAAAAAAATTTTTACATACCTGCTAGTGGAGGATCACGTTATGCGGTAATTGTATCCCTTAACATTATCAGTATCCATCGCACTCGCCGTCACGACTTTACTACGCATCATGATCTGTTGGGAGGGTGGAAGAAGATTCTGGTGTGTTCCGTTGTTTTTGTTCCAAGGTCACGGCTTAAAAATACCTTGAAGATGTCTATCTAATAACCTGAAAGATGTTCGTCTCGCTAATTGTAGTGAGTATCGATAATTGTCGTGGAGCAGACCTAACTAGAAAAAACAAAGTAAGACCAGAGGAAGATAGAAAAACGAAGAGGCTATGGCTATCTGTCAAGAATCTGCTAAAACTAAGTAATGTACAACATGTAGTGAGAAGTATCGATAATACTAAGTATCTTTTTCTTTTGTACCTTATTAATGTCCATGGCCGGTTTATCTTTTTTTCTCGGCTCCGCATCCATGAAGCCAAACGCACTATCGCCTCGATGAAACTGCGATATATCTGTAAATTGAAGTTCATCATGGAGGTGCAAAATCTATCCGATATCTGGGAGATCTTCAAACTAGACGAACCTCAACACGATTTGGATGTCTTTCATTCTCATGGTGTCCCATGTAGTACTCCTAGCCTAAGACCTCCCATTGTAGTACTCCTCCAAAAACTCCTACAAAAACTGCTAGAAAACAAATTTTCATCAACTAGTACCTTCAATCTCTGGCTCTTGAACAACGGGTGGAGGAGGAGGGGGGCCGTCCTCAATTTCATCCTCGTCCTCGCCAAGATCGACCACTTCGCAGGAAATGAAGAAGCAGCTTCCTTCGGTTTTGATAAGTGAACAGGCCAACGCCTAAACCGCTAAGCAAACTGCGCAGTTGGCTTAGTGGTTTAGGCGTTGGCCTGTTCACTTATCAGGTTTTGTGTACTACAGGTTTTCTGTTTTTCCGACTAGTGAGTTACGAGGACTATATCTAAATAAAGCGCTAATATCATTTCTTCCATTTACAAGTTTTTTAACATGATAATGAAGTTTAAGTTTTTTTAACAACAGTAAGCAAAACTAGTTTTCCCACCTCAGCCATACCATCTTCTCTTTCTCTTTCTATATCGCGTCTCGGATTAAAGTTTTTAGTGCGATCATCCGGATACCAGGCGTCGCTGTGTTCTATTACTTCCTCGTCGTACTCTTCTCGTGTCGGCTCGTCCTCATTTCGAAAAACACTACCAAGTGTCTGTTCTCTGTGGTAGCCAGATGCTTAGACGAGCGATGAGGTTGAGGTAGCTAAACAAGAAACTGTTTGTTATTTGTGTTGTTGATTATTTCACTGTCTAATCATGTCTAGGTGTAGTACTAGGTCTAGAGACATACAATGAATAGACTGAAGATACTTATAGATACTAGTATAGATACCTTATTCTAATTCATCTTCGTTTGTATCCTTTTGAAAATTGAACATCCATAAGCTTGTCCGTGTTCTCCACCATCGGTTTTCTTTCCCTTTTTTCTCATGAAAAAAAAATCCCCCATCTTGGATGATGCACCATTCTCTCCCGCACTGCCAGAAGCGTTGGCTCGTCCTTCTTAGAGAAAATAGGCGAACTGAGAAGTTATGAAAATCATTAAGAGCAAACTCACCTAGTAGTAAACTACCTGGAATAGAAACAGAGTTCTGGAAGCTGAAATAGCAAATATTGTTGAAATAGCAAATACGGACAAAACCGTAGTACAAGAACAAATTTATCAAGTTGAAAAGTTTAAGCTTACTTATTAAACTCACAAGTTTAAGCTTGCTTAAACTCACCTAAGTGAAAAAATAAGTTCTTAACTTCCAGCACCATGATGTTCCCGTTTGTTTTCTCTGATGACCCTGTCTTTCCGTCTAAGCTCTTCTGCTGAATGGTCGTTCGACTGTCGAAGCCCACCCGTTGGCTCGTCATAACTCTCCTCGCGGACTTCTAAAAACAAGCCGGCCCCATTGTCTTCCTGCGTCAGTTTTGGCCTTTCATAGGCTGACTTTTGCTGCGCAGTCTTTGGTCTAGTGAGGGCTATGGACTGGCGCACGCTTCTCTTCGTGGCAGCAGCCGGACTGCCAGGCCCAGCACGTGGCCGACTGCTAACGTGATATTAGAAGTTCTGAAAAATTTTCACACTAGTACTAGCAGTAACAGTAACATCATCTTAGCTTAGACCACGAGGACCGAAACAGCTGCTCGACATCAATTTTACTTATACAACAAACACGCCAAGAATGCTCAACAACAACTTCTATGTATACAGCGGCGCTACTTCATAATGATAGTAACAATCGGAAAATTCGTCTTGCTCTGGCGGTGCTTGAAAAACAGCTGGGCTTTTCCTTTTCAACTTCTTCTTTTTCGGCAATACTACCGCTCCACCTGGGACGACAGCAGCAGAAGCCGGCCTACCAAGTGGGGTAAGGGTTGCTCCTGGAACGACACCAGCAGAAGCTGTGGCTGTGGCAGGTCTACCAAGTGGTGCTCCTGCGGCAGGAGGTCCTGTGGCTGTGGCTGAGTCCCCATTCTTTGAGGAGAGTTGTATACTCGGTTCTGTTGTATTTTAAAGGTAGTACAAGATCACTATCCGCGGTGGAGCGAGTTGCAGCTCGGTCTTTATTGCCCTTGTTGATTAGTGCGATATTTATACAAAAAAATTATTCAACGGGGATGGCAGCACTCAGGATCGATACCCTGGGTAGTTTAGTGCTGTAATCAATCAAGAGGGGAACAGCTAATCCTAACACCAGACCTCCAGACAGTGATCTTCTATCTATGAGACATAAGTATTCAAACTCTTTTGATGCACCCCCTCCCATGCAGCATGTTGGTCTAGGTCGGCGAAAGCGGGTGCTATCTTCGTCTTATTAATAGCTAAAGTAGTTCTGCCGGAACCAGGAAGCTGCTTCTTGTCTCTCCAGTCCGGTCTATCTCTACTGGTACGTTGTTGTCTCGGAAGATCTCCACCGGCACCTCCTGCTGTATCTTCTGCAGAGAATTAGACGTGGCACTGTAATATTAATCAAATAGGCTAATAGGCAAGTATTCCTATGTATTGCTCTCTCAACATTCATGGTTCATGGTCATGCTCATGGTCTATTCACTTCTCTAGTCAGTTTGAATTTTGATTTTCATCATCCTGATCACAAACACAAACCACAGAAATTATTATGAGTTGGGACTTGTAAATGAATTAAGGCGAAAAGAGAGCCTAATTCTCACAAACACAAACATAATCAGCAACTCCTGTCCGTCGACTTGCTGGTGCAGTTGTAGGTCTAGACGCTGCTGACATGGACTCCACCCTCTCTGCTAAACGGCCCGCTCGAGCCACTTGGTCCTCAGCCGGTCGGGCTTTCCTAGAGGTCTTTGGCCTCTGCTTAGTCTTACAACCCTTCGAAGATGAAGCTGAGGATGAAGAAGCATAGTCAGCTAGTACTAGCTTTTTTTGTGGTGGATCTGCTTCATCAGGGTAGTTGAAACTATCTTCTGGACCAACACTAACACTTTTTCTGGGCCTATGCTCGGCCTCAGCTCCACCACCACCTACGCTCACTCCTCCAAGTCCATGTCCAATAGTAGACTCTTTAGTACTTGCACTACTTTGGTTTTTCCTATCATGATTCTGACCACCTTCGTCGGTCCACGCTTGATTCTTTGACTTGGGCGTCGTTGAGACACTCTCTGGCAAATAGTAGTCACTAGCATTGAGCTTTTTCTTCTTGTCGTCAGGGTCTTCGACATGTGGAGCAGCGTGGGAGGAAGAGGCATTATTTTAGAGCAGAAGCGGCTGTACGGGAGTTGATGAGAGAGAAAAACGGGAGTTGCGTATGCGTTGAGCTCCGTAGAAGAAGTAGGTAACGCGACGCTCGCCATTCAAATCCAATATTGTCGTCTCAATCAATGGAAAAAAGGCATCAAAAGCGGTAAAACAAAAAAGAAATTCTCTAAAAAATCCAGGTCATAACCATGTGACCATCCTCTGCGAGGAGCTGCTTTGCGTTCCTTCTTGTGTTTCTCCTTTTTGGTAGAGCTACTGCTTCCTCCAGTCTGGAACCCAGGTGGCAGTGGCGGTGGTTATGACAGGAAAAAGTATACTCGTGGTAAGTACTCAGAAAAGTGGCTCCTGGTTGTGGTTTCCCACTGAAATTAATCCGACTTTCTTAGCCAAGAATTTCTTGAGTATCTATAAGTACACTTTCTGCTTTCATAGTGGTTGCACTTCTGTCATACCAGGAGGCAAGGATCGCGACAGGGTGCTTTGCGATAGCGTGACGGAAATCCTGGATCTGTCTAGTTCAGATGCTGGGCGATTCACAGCACCAGAGTTGGAAGTTTCATGGTTCCCTCCATGATGGGTCTCGCTAGCTTCTTTCTGCATTTTGCCGCTTTCGAAAGTTAGAGAAGGACTAAGACATCTATTAAACTCAAAAGGTCACTAGACCTCGTCTTCTATTAGACTCGTCTAACATTTTCACTCCATTCGTTCCATAATCTTTTCACGCTTGTATTTCTACGTGAGAATTCCAGAGGCTCATGCTCTTTACTTGGACCCCCTCCTTTTGCAGCTTGTCCAGGAGCCATCTTGATATCTGACACGTCCTCGCTGTCGACGTCATTGGCCGGACGCTCATGATTGAGGTCCACCATGTTATTTTCGGTGGTACCCCGTTGCCGCTGGTTTGTCGGTACGGACTAGCGAAAGACCATTTTTACATTGAGGTGGCACTTGCTCATAGGGACAAAAGGACTTAATGTCGCGGTTGGTTCTACTGTCCTATGGCTTGTTTTCGTTATAGGCCATTCAAAAACCTTAACCTTCCTTACAGGACGCATTCTAATCTTGGGTTACTATATTTTTCTATCGTAGTATATGATTTCTTTTTCTTTTGATTTTGGATTTTGCTTAGATGAGCCGCAAGTTTTCGCTCCGATACTGAGGTCTTCCTTTTCACGCATGGTAAAAGTCTGACCAAGCGATCGCTATTCAATGCGACCCAACTCTGTCTCACCCTAGGCCACTTTCGATATGCCTGTTCCCAGTGCCACAGAGCTCGTCGCCGTCGCTGCTCGGCAGCAATCCCAGTTGCCATCTTTCAAATGAAGCTACTCTATCAAGCCGCACAGTGCTAGTGCAACGAGTCTCAGAAATACTGGATCTTTTTTATCCGTATTAAACCTCTCCGTACACGAACCGAAGTAGAAAAAACGTCGCGAATCCAACATCAATGAATCCTCGGACATCGCACGTTGAAAAAAAAAACTCAGTATTCACATCATCGTAAAAGCTCAGCATTCATTGGTCACTGATGCTGAAAGAAAAGGGCCCTTTACCCCTCTACTTGTTCTCCCTGTGTTTTGCCCTGTTTTCTAAGGAGAGCCTCGCTGCGATCCCAGTGACCAACCCCAATGACCATTGAAAGTTGAGCTTTAATATCGACTTCATTCCGAAACCCATATCTAACAACCGCGTCTATACTTAGTTCCAAGTCTGCTCGAATCTAATGCTGTTTACCCGCTCAAAACTTTGAGTTACCATTCGAATTCTTTAGCTCCTAGAGCATGCCCTATTGTTCAAACAGCACCTTTATCTCCCAATATCCTATATTAATGTAGTAGAGCTTACTACGAACAACACAAATTCCAAATTCAAGAGCAAAACAAAGAGCAGCCGCGCCACAAGCACTTAGTAGTCCCAAGAGCTTCCATCTTCTTCACCATCTTCCCCCAACTGACCAGGCACGTCATCGTATCTACTTCGCCGCTGTACCTCTTGCTGCTTAATGTTTTTTCTCTTTCCACCGCCTATTACCTTCCTCGTCCTAGCATCCGCTACAGCACGAAGTTGCCTGAGTATATCCACTCCCTCATCTATATCATCTTCTGAAGATGCTTGCTCTTGTCGCAGAGATGAGGACCTCATGTCAACTTGCTTGTGGAGGGGACTCGCTGCCTCCTCCTCCTCACTTCTACCCGATGACCGCCTTGTCCTTGTCTTCGTCTTGTGGTCACCTCTAGAAGCTGTACTCGTCCTCTCGTTTCTTCTAGTTTCAACATGTTGATCTCCTGATCCAGCACTGCTTTTCCTCCTCGAAGGCTGCGTTCTAGAATTTGGCGAAAAGGCCACAGACTTGGAACACTTCTGACTCTGAAAACTCGTTCCACAACTATCCTCTCCTCCTCTATCCTCTCCTCCTGCTTTATTCATCTTCCGTCTAGGATCTCTACTAGCCAATTCCGCCATCTCCTCTAGGATTGCATCATGACTCCCAAAAAAAGACCCGTTTAGTTGCGGTCTCTCCGAGAGGCCCGAAGAAGCGCGGCGTGTTCTCCTGTTTCGGTTTTTGTTGGGACTTCGGGAACCCGTCGAGGATGCTGAAAATCTAGCGCTTGATGTTTCATCCTTGAACTCAACCCATTGCTCTTTCCTTTTTTGATCAGCACTTCCTCGTCGTCCCTTTCTATCTCCTGTTACTTCACCTTCTTCGCCCTTCCTTCCAGCTTCTTTCTCTTCCTCCCCCTCGCTAGCAACCAAGCCGTAGCCTGGAGTCCGCAAGTTTTCCAGTCCTAGGATATCTGTCTTAGAATCCGCCACATCCACGCTTCTTTGCGCTTTCGTCCGTCTCCTCTCTATTGCTTCTAATTCTTCTTCATCTTGGTAGCCAAAGCGTTCCCAAAATTTTCGCTGAGTGGCTTGCATCGAGGTTTCGCTGCTAATCGAGGAATCGTGTTGATCTAACGGAAGAGCGCTTTGATGCTTTTCAGGCTCAGAAGTTCTAGATGATTCTTCTTCTCCATCTTCAAACACAAATCTCGTGGATTGAGATGGCCTGCGCGCCTTAGTGGAAGACGAGGATGCAAGTAAGGATCTCTGTTTCAGCATTGCATTAGAAGTTGCTGACGAAGAGAGTGACGACTGTGATTTGACTTTCTTGCGGGAAGTGGGTGAAGTCGCAGCTGTTTTTTTCTGCTGCTCGATGTCGTTCCTGGAAGAAGAAGAAGCTCCTGTTGTTGGTGCATTAGTAGCTTTCATGTCTTGCACACGCCCTCGTGTCCTACCCCTAGTAGCACTACTAGTACTAGACGAAGCCGGTGTACGTCCTATGCTAGTCTGTTTCTGACGAGCACTCGCAATGAAGCTCTCAGCAGCACCTTCATCTTCTCCCGATGTAAGTGCAACTACTTCTTCTTGGCCTCGTTTTTTAGAACTTTTTCTATCGGCACTGCTTCTTCTATCCCGACTGCTTCGTCTCCCTGACCCTGACCTCGCTGAACTCTCCCTAGTTGTACCAGCACTGGGCGTTGTTGATACTCTTTGTTCTGTGATGCTGATCTTCGCATCCCTTTTGCTAATGGTCGCGGCAAGATGATGTTGATCAGCAGCACTTGTAGTTCTAGTAGTGGTGCCCCCGGCAGGAGACTCCTCTAATTTACCAGTCTTCTCATTCTTCTTCATCATCAGATACTTTGAGACAGCGAAAGCGCCAGTTTTTGTCGGAGCAGGTGAAAGGGGTCGCTCGTGGAAAAACATAAACCGGCTTTGCGTATACTGTCTAGCAGAAGTGAAACTGGTCGTACTAGTAGAAGATTTAGATGCGCCACTCGTAGCGGAAGGACCTCCTTGATCATTTTTGATGCCGTTCGTGTTGTTATTACCCTTAGCAGCTCCTTTTGTACCAATCGTGCCGTCTGCTTCTCCCGTAGCACTACTGGCACCACTGAATGTTGGCGCTGAAGTCTTATTCTTTGGACCCTTCCCTCCAGCACTACTTCTTATCACTGTCGTGCCCTTTGGCGCAGACACAACTCTACTAGAAGAAAACGACACCACTTGTTCGGCTCCATCTGCACTCAACACAAGCGGCGGCCTTCCTTGAGCCGATGCGTGGTCTTCTTCTTGTTCTATGTGTGAGCTTGTTGTGGCAGCTGGTTGCGTCTTCGTGCGTTTGCCTCCAGCTGAAGAAGATGACGAAGAAGAAGATTTCGCGTCCTCTGCTAAAGCGCTGATGTTGTTGTTCGCATCCTGCACATCAGACTTCTTTTTCAGTTCTTTCCTTCTCCTGCTGATGTCTGTGTATTTCTTCTGATGCCTTCTGGCAGCACTAAACGCCTTCAAGTGCTTCCTAGAAGAAGCACGACCTAGCTCGTTCTTGGTAGTGCCAGAACCTGTACTTGTAGCCGACGAGCGAGAGGCCGCGAAACTCACGCTCAATTCCTCGACGAAACTCGCACCTAGACGATCAGCTAATGGCGTGCTCCGAACAGTTTTGTTCATCGTCGAAAGGGTCTTGTTTTTCTGGGTTGTACCGGATGTAGATGAAGGAGAAGTAGTTGCTTTTGTTAAAGGTCAGCACTCAGTGGTCACTGATTCTGAAAGAAAAGGGACCCACGCCTCTCCCTTTGTTTTCCCTTCATTTTCCCCCCATCTTTCCTCAAGGGGTCTCCTGTTCGATCTCAGTGCCTAACCTCAGTGACCAATGAAAGTTGAGCCTTAATTTTGGAGTGTAATCTGCATTCAGTCGCCCATCAGCCTCCGCTTCATCTTCAACCTTATCAGCAGCAGGATAAACTTCGTCGTCATGATCCTCACCTTCCTCAACTCTGAAAGACTGGTTCTCTCCTTCGGCATGAACATGATCAGTCTGTTTGTTCTTGCTTGAGCTTGTCGCCGGAGCAAGTTCGCCAGCAATAACCTCTGCCGTCTGGTCAGACCATCTAGCTCTTGCTGGGGGTCTCACTTGTGATGCTTCCTTCTGCCGACCAACCAGTTTGGACAATGCTTTGTCTTTCCGCCACTCGTATTGCTCTCGATACCTGCGGTCTGGCGACCCTGACATACGACGTTGTTCTGGCGACCCTGACATAAGACGTTGTTCTGGCGACCCTGACATACGACGTTGTTCCGGTGATCTAGATGAGCACTTTCGTCTTGGACGTGCTCTCCCATGTTCTCCATCTATCGAGGTTCTCGAAGAGGTATCTAATAGTTTGGAGAACGAAGAAGTGCGGTCTCGAATTTCAAACGACAAGTCCGCAATTACTTGTGAGGGAAGTGTGCCAATAGAGCCGTCAGCAGGGAAGTCAAACCTAAACGAAGCTCCACTCTGCCGTCCACAACCTGAAGTTGGAGTTCTGTTAAGCGAGAAGCTGTCCTGGCTCATGCCGCGTAGCGAACGTCTGGAAGCTCGCAGTTCCTTATCCATCAAGTCAGCAGCTGATTGTGGTACCCCTGAGCTTCTGACCATCGCTATCACGTCTGACTGTTGCTCTCCGAAACTGAGTGGTTCCTCCGAACGGACTGCGAGAAGGTGAGGTAATGAAGGTGGGAAAGGAAAACGAAAAGTTTTGTTTATCAAAAAATGCATTTTTACAACTAGGGCAAAGTCAGTTCTTGTGCACGAGCCAGTTTGACTATGATGCAGACGACCTCAAGATTGACTTGTGACGAAAGCATTTGTTCCCATGCGCTTCAATAATGAGGTAGACCGTGGAAGACCAAAGGACGTAATATCTTCTCAAACGAACAAAATCTTTTTGAGCCTAGAACTCAGAACTGCCATGCGCTTCAATGAATTACACAGTCATAACTCCCTCTCCCTTTCCCTCAGCGCGGTCTTCTCCAACGTCCATTTCAGCAAAGCATTCAAAGCTCTACGCATCCTATCTCTTTTCAACGTTTCCAAAACGTACACAAGAATCTCCAAACATCCACCTCGTAGACGCATGGACCATGGCAAATCCTGTGGCCAAAACGGCTTTGGTGACTCTGCTTGCAGACTCTGAAAATCTTTTCGGACGCAGAATTTCAAGCGTAGTTTCATCAACGCTGCTGATTGTGCTTCTAGATTCCTCAAAGGACGTAAGGCTTGCTTTGCTACCGCGGCAGAGGGCGAAGAGACTAAGGACGGACTTTTCTTGCGATTTCTCCCCGGTGATGATGATGACCCACGTAGTTTTGAGGAGCTCTTTCTCCCAGAAGAAGAAGTTGTTGTCCTTCTGTGTGACATCTTACCCTTACTAAGCAACGATGAAGATGAAGAGCCAACGTCTGCGATAGAAGGCGAACGATCACCATCTACTCCAACTGCGTCTCCATCTTCGAGACCATCATCTTCTTCATATTAGACGTTGAAAGTTGGCATCTCTAGCTCTCACATCTATCCCTTTCCTACTTGAGATAGCCATAGAGACGCTCGTAGATGATAGGTCAACTCCCAAGCCTTATTCATAATCGATCTCCTCCTCAATATCGATCTCCTCCTCGTCGTCCTCTCCACCTTGATCGTCCACGTATTCCCCTTGGTTAGCACCACCGCCCTCTCCACCTTCACCGTCCACGTATTCCCCTTGGTGCTTCCGCTTTCGTATTCTTCCCTGATTTGCTAGATGTGTCCTCAATGCGCGTCTCCTATTTTCCAGTGGGAAGAAATTACTGTGCATTTGTAGTTTCTGCCAACCGAAAGCTAACTGAGCTGAGCGGTTTCGCTCCAAAGCCTTGTCCATATGAGCGATTCCGTGCTGAAAAATCGTACGCATGCGATCTTGAGAGATGAAGCTCCCTATTCTTTCGTCCATCTTGTTTAGAACCAACTAAGTAGCAACAATGATCCATCTCCAGTACTAGTTATCTTGTTATTGGTCCCTCTATCTTGTTATCTTGTTATCTTGTTAACTGGCAACAATGATCCATCTTCTATCTTGTTATTGATCCCCGTTGCATTCCCCGCTGAACATCAACGAGAGGACCAAGCAGACCATCATGTGGAAGATGAATTTCTCGATCAACGAGAGGACCAAGCAGACCATCATGTGGAAGATGAATTTCTCGATCATGCCTTAACTTCTGCACCTCATCAAGGTAGACGCCAACTTCTTCCCTTTCAATCTGCAAAGTGTCCTTGAGGAGAGAAATCTTGACGTCCTTTTTCTGCAGTTTGCTAGCAAGCTTCTCGTCTCGTTTTTCGGCTGCACGCGAAGCCACCACGTTGCGAGCGAAAGCGATGAAATGAAGCCAGAGTGTTGTGCTTGTGAGGTGACGAGGGAGAGGTCATATTCACTACCGTGTCTGTTAGTACGGAAACCGAAGATGGTCGCTCACTTCTAGCAACTTAAACGCAATTTCTTTTCTTCTACGAGCTACGACAAACAACTGTTTTCCATATGTCCTACTGAAAGACCTGCGATGCTCGCTGAAGCACATGCGCCGAAAGCACGCGGCCCAACGTCAACACAAAAATCTGTCGCAAATTTTGCACCCTCACCTGCTCTGAGAATTTCGCGTCGTCCATCCTTAGAGCCTGAACTAGTTGGAGCTCGTCTCGCTGGTTTGCATTCAGCTTTTCCTCGGACTCTAGTAGCTCTTGGATGGTGGATACCTGGTGGGTTCGGATTTTGGTATCTTCTCATCTTCGAAAAACGACATGGACGAAAAGCTTACTTAATATAAGCTTCATCAATCTCCATGCGCAAGCAGCGCATTGGCATTACTAGCCCAAACTCAAATATCAGCAGTAAGTACACTTGTGCAGAGCATTCGCTGAGTGACGTGTGAAAACCGAGATCGAACCACGCGACCTAAGGCCCTTCCTAACTGCTGCGCGCCAAGTATACGTGTTCTCAGGTCCCTTGCTACGTCACTGGGTGTTGGAGGATCCTGAGAGGTGTTGCAGTAGTAGATAAAAACTTCGAACATTATAAACCTGAAAAAACAGAATTACCTGTCCACCACCACCGCCGAAAGTAGACCCCCTAGAGGGCATTCCGATTCCCTCTCCTGAAGGTAACAGCTCTGCTGAGGTATGCGCCCCCTCAAATTGGGAGCTAGATTGACGCCGAGACATCGCTCTTCCAACACTAGCACTTCGAACCCTCGGATCATAACGTTGTGCGTGCGAGATGCTAGACCGTATCAAAGAGGAACTGCCGCCAGCATTCTTGAGAGATGGAGTACTAGGTCCGCGAGAGCTTGGTCTGGATTGGCGGGTGGACTTCTTAGAAGGGACTTTCATTCTCACCGACTACTTGCACTAAAAAATGGTCGTGGTCATGCTGCACGAAGAAATAATAAACATCTCTCTACAACTATGTATTCGATCGAGGGACCAACCTGGGATACATGAAGAAAAACTACTAACCGGCTGTCTTACTCTAATATGTAAACAGACAGTCATGTCTTACTATATGAATGTATACAGACATATCCATACATCCATACAAGTATTCAACCCACCAGCAACAGTCGAAACGTCTGCTTCCGACACAGGATAAGCGACGCTCTCGACTCGGGATATGTCTCGACCCGTTCCTGAGCCTCCTGGGGAACTCTGTCTGTTGAAGACGGCACTTGTCTCTCTCTCGTCAAAGGAAGATGGAAGACCTCCGCTTAACTCTGGGTACACCGCACTGCCTTCCTGTCTTCCTCTCGCGGCAGCGGCAGGAGTCAAAAAAGCAGAACCACCATTCTGCTGTTGTCCATGAAATTTAGAGGTAGGTTTTTGGTGCTCGCTTTCCCCGCTTGTTATGCCTTTCTCCCTTAGGAGAGGCATAAAAAGCGGTAAGAAAAGCACCTTTAACCTACCCTTAAGAAATGCTCTAGTCATGCTTTGCTGCCTCCTAACACGCGCTCTCACTTCATCCATTGCTGAAGTTCGTCTTTTGGGAGGTGAGGTTCTACTCGAGCGCTCCTGCTCGTCGAACCTTGAAGTTGAGTCACGACCTGCGCCTGACATCAATTCTTCATGGATGCTAGGTTTCCCACTACTGCCTCGAGCATGCTGCTGATCACATTAGAGCCCACCCTAATCCAGCGCGGGTGGGACATTCATCTAGTTAAACTATGTATTTTCCCCTTCATATGGGACAGGCCTAAGCTGCTTCACCAAATGGATTAGGCCAAGCCTTAATCATACTTGCTTTTGTCTATGCTCAATTTCAACCGGACTGGTGAAGTCGCAGATTCTTCAGTGCGAAGTATCCTAGCTGTGCCCGCGTTGTACTGTCGAACAGCCGCGAAAGCATTCGTCGTTCCTGTCTCCTCTGACGCGTAGTATATCGAGCTTCCTCTTGGATATTAGAGCTCGAGACAATTCATTTCTTGCTGACATTTCTTCAAAGTCCCACGAAAAAACCGTTGGCGATGTCTTGTAGAAATGACGTTGTTAACGACGGACCTTAGATAAATGTCTTGAAAAAATGAATTGTATTGAGCCTTAAGGATGTGCACTAGGCCTTTCGTGGTTCTTGAACATGTTCAAATGCGCTAAACCTGGTATTTGGACCTCCTTGAGGATCTTCTTTCTGCTAGTACTTTCTTGTCCTACTACTTGCGGGTCATCGTCTTCTAGTCCTGCTCCAGGCGAGGTAGACGCTTCACCATTGTCACGTCCTGGCGATACCAAGTACGACAGCCCCTGCTCTCCTGGTGTAGGACTTCCTCCACCACTGCCTATTAAAGCTCAGCAGTCAGTGGTCATCATGACTCGGAACGGCAGAGGCGCCCTGCAAAGCTCTCCCCACCTTTTCCTTAGTTTATTTCCCCTGTTGGTTCTCTCAAGAAGGGATCGCCTCTTCGATCTCAGTGACTCCAATCTCAATGGTGACCAGTGAAAGTTGAGCCTTAAGCCTACGACACCCAGTTGTAAAGTCGTACCAGTCGTTGATGTCCCAGAAATAAGTCCAGGCTGAATCATTTGGCGCGTAGCTCTTTCGACGTCATCACTCACAACTCCATTGTTTTCAAGTACTGCAGAAGAGTCTCGTACTGAGGAGTCTTCCTTTCCATCCGTCCTCTCCACGGGATGGCGTGGACTCTTTCTTTAGAGCTATTTACCAATTCAAATCTACGACGTACCATAATTTTCATGAGCTTCCCTGTAAAGACTGTGAATGATGTGCTGAATGAGTAGTATGTATCCCTCAACAAAAATATCCTGTGTGAAGATTGTGAATGTGCTGAATGAGTAGTATCCCTCAACAAAAATATCCTGAGTACTTATGTGGAAAAGGGATCCCTGAAGCGGTGAATTAGATGAGGTACAGTCTTAACTCTTTCCGCTGAGTTGTACTCTCTTTTTGTTTTCTCCCAGCTGCACTCCATCTACATCCTCCACGTGATGTTGTTGGCTGCCTTCTCCTCTCACGCCAGCAGTGTTAGGTTTCTTCAGGATCCCTGATCGAACTTCTAGTGCCTGTGTTGACATGGAAGTAGTGAAAGAAGAATTCCTGACTTCCATACTAGTCGTTCTTGTAGTATCGCCGTCTATGGAGGAGGTTACATCTTTTCGTATCATTGCACTTGCAGCTCTTGCATTTGACCCACGCCCAGCAGTTCTTGTAACATCATTGTTTACAACTCTACGTCGCAACACAGTTTCCTCAGCACTGCCACGTCGAACCGGTGATTGATCTGTCCTATTCTCCACACCACGCGCGGAGGCAATCAGGCTAGCTGTGAGCGTCTCATTTCTACCTCCATCAGCATTCAAAACCACTACTTTGGAAATGGGTCCAACTGAAGCACCTTCCTCATGATTTCGATCACTTCTCCTTTTTGGCCTAGAAGAAGAAGCACTACCACTAGAAGTACGACCACGTCTCCTACTATCTTCATTCTTCGCATGCTCTTCATCTTCTGAAGTAAAAATCTCTTCTGTTTTTGGAGGCACCTCAGAAGCAAGTGTCCCAGAAGTGAGTGAGTGCAGGTCAGAAATGACCTCTGTGATTTTTTCAACACCTACAGGAGTTTCTTTGGACAGTTGTTGCCGATGGATGTGCTCTCCGTCTTTCTTTTCTTCAGTCATAGTCGGGTGAGAAGCGACAGGGTGGTCTCCACTTCTTGCCCCTGTAGTTGTATCATCCTCTACAGCACAAGCTGTTGCTGCTGCTCCTTCTCCTACATTTTGAGAGCTCGCTGATCCTCGTCCAAGAACATGATTAGTACTACCCCTAGCACCGCGTTTCGAGGTTCTATTTGATTTCCTACTACTAGATGCAGCATTTTTCAGCAAAGGCACCGTATCTTTTTGTCCGCCAAATGCAGGCCTCGCTTGCACCCAACTGTTCAGATCAGAATCTGAGTTAGTCTCGTCTTCCTCCTGCTGCTCTTCTCCGATCATTTCTTGAACTTGCTCACTACTTTCCTTATTTTTGTTGTTGTTATCTATATCCGGATCTGCACCACCAACTATTTCTGCCTCTTCTGCTTCTTCGCCACGTCCAGGCGATGCCTCCTCCTCATCAAAATGAGAGGAGTAGCCTGGGGACGACCCATCCTCGTTGTCTTGACCATCTCGTAATTGGACCATGCGCGATTTTAAGGGTAGTTCGTCCTCTGAGGAGGCAGAAGAAGATGAAAATGCAGATGAATGCCGTTTCCTATTGTCCTCCTGCTGCTTCAGTTTCCTCTCTTGTTGCTCAACAGTTCTCTTGACTTGAAGATGTTCTCCAACACTGCTGTTGTGCAATCCATCAACTCCCTCTAACCCCAATCCTTCCGTGATCGAGTCAATATCAACGCTAGTAGCCGAGCAATCCTTAGCACCTACGATGCGCCTCCAGCCGCGGAAAGTAGAGCTGACAAGAAAAGCGCAGCGAAGAACTCTGGCGCTCTCGGCTTCTTGAGCTTCTAGGATACTACCATGGGACACATAGACCTGACCTTCTTCGTCGTGTACTTCTCCGGTGTTATCACCTGGAGAAGAAGAAGCCCTTGCTCGTCTAGGTACTGAATCCTTCTTCTCAAGAAGGTCAACAGCAGGAAAGGATTTCACTAAAACATCAGCAGCATCTTGCGCGTCGGTATTTGAGACAGCAAGTAGATCTAGTTTGTTTCGCAGCCACTCCCTATGCCGCAAATGCTCATTGGCTGCTGCGTGTAAGTGGTTCCCTGATGTTGTTTTTCCCTGCGACGTAGGCTTTCTCTTATCGTTTGTCTTTTTCTCCTCGTGAAGAAGATGATGACTCGCCTGCACTCCACCTGAACCTAGTACGTTGTTTTCCGAAGCTCTGATAATGGTCTCGTGTCCTTCTTCAGTAGATTTCTCACCGTCTGGAACAAGTCTCTTTACGCTAATCCTCGAATTCCTCCTTTTACTGCTACTTCTTGACGCCGGATCAGCGGTCTGCTCTTGAGGGAATCGGAACAAGGCAGCCTGCGATAAATACTGTCGCTGCATCGGAGGACCATGATATTTTAGTAGGTGTGGTGCCCTCGACTGATGTCACCAGTCTGTCCTTTTGAAGATGTATATATAGAAAGTTGTGCCAGAAACCCAATGTTGAAAATCTCTTTGTTAAATTATTGATCATTCATGATGAGTTCTTCTACTTACTTAGAAGCAGTACTGATGTGGCTACGAACTTTTGAATTTTCTTCCATGCCCGGTGAAGGTAATCTTTTCGCTACGTCATGCTTGGAGCGAACGCTTTTTGTCCTCCATGCTTTTCTTCGGTTCTCTCAACACCAGCACAGACACAGACATGTGATACACAGAGACAGACCACATGTGATATTTATTATCATAACAGCATGTGATATTATCATACTACGCGTCAACGACAGGAGTTCAGCGGCACTCTCAGTGCAGGCGGTACTCAACGGCCTTTTGCGTTGTATATTGCATTGAAAGAAATGTTTATGGGGGTGGAATAACCATCATGGGACCACATCAGAATCATACTTGTTATTGTTTGATGCACACTAGTACTGTGCTATAACAGGTCTTGAGACGTCGAGTTTTGGCTAGAGTTTCTCATAGGCGATGAACCTCCTCATCTGATTCAGTACAACCAGTAGCGGTCATCAGCATCCTCCTTGAGATTTTAGAGGTTCTCAATAGAGTGATATATGAGCATCATAATGAGCATCATCATGCATGTTGAAGGAAGGATGAGCCTGACGGATTAGAGCTGGAACCCACATTTGCTGGAGCAAGGAACTCCTACATCTCGATAAGATAGGATATTCTACTTATCTTCCTAGTACATCTCGATAAGATAGGATATTCTACTTATCTTCCTAGGACATCTCGATAAGATAGGATATTCTACATATCTTCCTAGTACATCTCGATAAGATAGAATATTCTACTTATGATCTTCCAAAATCAGAAATTCGTCACCCAGAAACCATCGTTGACGCCAGTTTCGTAGGCGTCGCCTCGTTCTACTATCTTATGAAGCAAGTGTTGGACCTCAACACTCTCAAATCCACCCAACGCCGACTCCGATTCGGTCATCAAGTCTGCGACAGGGAATTAGAGGAAGCCGCTTGAAGATAGCTGGCGATCATTTTTCAAGGGAGGATGGGATTAAAGTCCTCGGATGCGACCATTCTCTTTAATCTCTGCTGGGAACAACGTCATGTCGTTCATACATGTAGTTGCGAGATGATATATATTAGCTTTTTTTTTCAAGATACTATATTGTTGCACGGGATAAGTCTAATAGTGTCGAGGTGAAAACTAGCAGGCTGTTTTACTTAGTGCTTTGAGCGCCGCTGGGCCTAAACCTTCACCAAAAGGTGAAAGCCAATCAAGATTTGCGGCACACCTCTAAAAGAAAATGATGGGGAATCATTCAGAGGCCTGCTAGGGGAGGAGGTTAATTACATAAGAAAATAATTACCATCAAAAGAGTCTAAATTTAGTATTCTTTTAATCAAAAGTGTCTTAACTGATGCTTTCAATAGCAGGATTTTCACGTCGCTTCTTGGCGCACAACTCCCGTAATGCCTGAGCAATCATGTCCATTGGCTGCTGTTCTTCCACAACAGGTGGACCTGGGATTTGACCATTTCCCTGTGGCGAAACATTTTGCTGCCCTTGCTCCTGCTTTACAGGCGGAAATCCAGTCTGTGGTGCGTTCGGTTGCTGTTGCCTTTGTTGTTGCATATCTTAGAAACTTCCTCCATCAAGGAATTTGCTTCGGCAGAGCGACGAGAGAAGTTGTTATCACTATGATGTTGCTAGAGGTAAGTCGTGTAATGATGATGATTGGGAATACACCTCAGTTCGCTTCTATAATTTTTATACACGAAGATTGAACAAGAAACTGTAGTTTAGTAAAAATGAAACCGTAAATCGCCTGATTCTGCATCATACTCATGGCAGTCACTTGGCCTCCCGCTGCGCTCATTTGGTTCCCTCCTGCTGCCATTTGATTCCCGTGTAACCGTCCGAAAGCTCCAATGTTGGCCTGGCCGCCACCTCCACCACCAGCGACATTCGTGGCGCCGTTGGCGGCTGCTAGGAGGCTTAGAATGGAAGATACAAGGGGTTGTAGTAGGATGGAGAAACTCAAAGTGGCAGTGCTCCTCGAAGAATTTGCCTTTTTACTTTCGTTTCAAAGTCTGGCTTTTATTCATTCGTCTTATTGTTCACTAGCAGCCAGTGCTCCTCAAAGAATTTGCCTTTTTACTTTCGTCATCTTCTTCCTAAATCAATAGTACATACCATCCGTTGTTTCTAACAACGAAAAAACCTTTCCTCGTCTGTTCTTCATAAGATTTTCGCATTATGCTCCCTCACGCGCTTCGCAATCGCTTTTTTGTGCTCGATACACCGCATAGAGTGCAAGAATATATCGGATGGATGCGTCACTTTTGCTATCTGCAACACCGAAATCCAAAAACCGCAGGGATTAGAAATAGTGTCCGATGGAGGTTCTTGGACTAAATTGATTTTGAAGTAAGAAAAATCAGAGTACTTACGCATGCTGCAACTGCAACATAAGTAAGTACCTATGTGAATTTTTAGAAATCAGCTACAAAAGTTCTGCTCTACAACCAAAAAGTGTTTTCACTCTAGACCATTTCAACTAAAAAAGTTGAAAGTGGAAACGTATGTTCAACACAGCGTAAGAGTAGACAGTAAGATCTTAGTACTCACTGAGAACGTTCGTGTTCATGTACTATCATAATCTGGTGTAGATGCAATCGACCGGTCAAGGTTACGAAGCTTCCCAACTGGATCTGCCGACCCAAGAAATTCTGGTGAAATTTAACAGTTTCATCTTCAGTCAGATCAGCAGGCATCACGTCTTGCAGAAACTCTCTGTGGTTGGGGGATAGGAGAGCGGAGAATGTTGCAGGAAGATATACTGCTCTGTGGTTGGAAGATAGGTATGAACTCTCTGTTGTCGATAGGAGAGGAGCAAGACATCTTGCAGAAACTCTCTATGGAGTTGGAGCATAGAATGGATTGAATCTTTTCATCACGACTAAGTTTTTAGATTATTATTTAGCAAGAAAAATCATGACATCAAGAACTACAAGAAACAATTTATTTAATATAACAACAATACGGTCCTCGAAATAGTGCGATGTCCCTCGGCGATGAATTGTCGAAGAATTTGCGGCACCATATTTGCGCTGTCCCATCATCAATCTTCAATTTGCAGGCCTGTTGCTGTTCCCCCACATTTGGCATCTCAAATTTTGTGATCTGGCCTGCTCCGATTAGAACTTCTATCTACTTTAGAAAAAGGGCTACTTGAACTTTCTATCTACTAACTTTAGAATAAAAAGTTCAAGCATTAAGCGAGGGTGCTTGTTGAACTTTAGAATAAAAAGTTCAAGCATTAAGCGAGGGTGCTTGTTGAACTTTCTATCTACTTTAGAATAAAAAGTTCAAGCATTAAGCGAGGCTGCTTGTTGAACTTTCTATCTACTTTAGAAAATAAATAAGAGGAGAAGTGGTCAGAAGTAATTCTCTATTAATCTGGAACTCTTTAAGGATTACGAAAAGATACTTGTTTCAGGTGCGATACACCTCGGAGGTGGACTAGAACGACTTGAAGTAGCCAGTACTTACAGGGACGGTGGCTACTTCTTCTACTAAAAAGTAGACTAGATGATTTACAATATAATGAGTTTGTCTCTTTCTATCTCCTCTCCATAAAAATGTTGTTGAAACAGCCTACAAAGTCTATTACTTCTACAAAGCTTAAGGGATCCCAGCCTCCATAAAATACACATATTCTTGACTTCCTCTCCGTAAAGCTCTGGCTTCGCATCCCCACCAGCCTCGCGCATTTTTTTCAAAATTTTGTGGATCTGATAAATCGTTACAGGGGTATACGAGATGCCCCCTCCTGCGCCTGCTGCTCCGCGATTGTTTGCATTATTGGTGCCACCTGCATTGTTGGTATTGGTGCCAGGGCCACCTGCGGCTGCAGCGCCTCCTCCTGAAGTAAGTAAATAAGTTACAGTGATTTACATTTACTTTCATGCGGGCAAATAATGACGAAGGTGTGTAGAGGTACCACCTTGTTGAAAAAGGCGACGATAATGATGAGGCGATGCACCAGCTGGCTGGCAGCACCATCGAAAGAGTCTAAATTTACAAAAGAAAGTATTTTTCGATAAACTGAAAATAACCGAGTTACTGACTGAAATAAGGGAGGTAGCTTAACATCAAGGCTACTCTTCCTTCTCATGAGTATCTCGCTTATTTTCAGTACTTACTCGCTTATTTCAGTACTTACTCGCTTATTTGCACATTGTTACCAAAACCCATCGCATCCTGGTTTTGCGACTGCGTTGGCGCTAAGAACCCGACGCCTCCGCCTTGGCCGAAACCCCCATTCTGAGTGCCAAACTGTGCCGCGAATGCATTACCTCCGACATTCTCCGCGCCGAACATTTTGGTGATCGTTGTGGCTTTACTTAATACTCGAAATGGTAGAAGTAGTTGTTGTGGATGTAGTATTTTTCGCGTGGAAGTGTGGTGAAAGCTATAGTGATTTGAAAACTCAGTACTATGGCGACTATAATGTTGTAGTTGTGATCAAGACGAGCGGTATGGTGATATACGTCTGGATGATCTCTTCACTAGTTCATCGTTGCATACAACTTACTGTATCGGTCGTGTAAAAAGAAAAGTTTGTAGCTGACCACCAGTTAGAAGTGACCGCGAAACCTGCTGTAAAACCGAAAAACGGATAGCAGCTATCTTCAGAAATACCGAACGCAACAACTACGATCCTTTGAAAGGGCTAACCCTCTTGTTTATCAGCTTAGATGTGGATGGATGCTCCACCTCTTGTAGTAGCTTCATTGGATGATGTGCATTTCCATGTGATGTAGTAAACCAGGGTCATCATTAGGCTGGAAAATCAGACTGGAAATAGAAGCCAGAGCTGGAAGAAAAACGGAAGCGCATCTAGCACCAAGACAAAAGGAGGGAGGCGTAGACGTCGTCTACAGGAGACATCGACAATTATGACATACTTTCTTTCTTATAGTTTCTCGTGAGGAGTGTAGTTAAGATGGCAAGTGACCACGCCATAACAGTCGCCGTTGTTCAAAAACTACTAGGAAAATTGTGAAATTTTTGACAAGCAATCCTCGTCATGTCCTGTGTGTGGACGAACTCCCCAACTCGTCCTCTGTCTATTCCTCCGTTTTTTTGGCAAACGCGTCAAGAACAGTGAAGTCCCAATCTGCGTACTCCTTCATGGTTCCAACTACTGTGTATTTCTTCGTAAAATGGTCTAACCAGCTTTTGAGACCTGAGGATGAGATTCGTACTGTGCAAGGAACTTTTCCAAATGCAAGACGCGGTGGAAAGCACTTTCATTTCTGGGCGTAATATACGGGTGGAGCCAAGCTAACTAGGAAGAAAAAATAAGGTTAGGTAAAGGGTATATAAGTACAGAATTATAGTAAAGGCCAAGTTAGAGGTCGTAAAGAGTGGAGGACGCCAAAGCTTCTATTCTATTTTAAGTATCAGAAAATAGAATCAGGTCGTCTTGAGTACTTTCCTTATTCTGGTCCGGGAGGTCGTCAATTTTCCAGTCTAGTTTTGCAGCGTCCTCTGGCTTTAGAGATAGCATGGCTAACGAGTACGTCGCATCCCTACCACCCCATAATTTGCCGTAGCCTGTACGTAGGACGGTAGGAAAGATGAAAATCGTGATTCTTTTCATCTTGATGATCGCCTCTTCATCATGGAATTGGTACAGCATAACTAGCGGATGAAATAAACTATGAATACAGGAGTAATAAAGACAAAGACTTTTAAGTCTAGTATCATAGCAAGCAACTTCAAGTTGTACCAAAATCACATCGAAAGTTGTCGCTATCCTGCACGTCGAAAACTTTGCCACATACTGCAATGTACATCCGATCCTTGTCTCCATCATAATTGCGTAAGGTTTCGAAAGTCGGGTATTAGAGAGGCGAGTCGAAGATTTGAGTTTGATGCTTGACATAACAAGGATAAGAACTGATGCAATAGATAGGCAATACATAAGAAGAATAAGAACAATAAATGGCCTTGCTATCGTCTTCTATGACCGATGGATAGAACCAACACGTCATGCCAGCGGAACAACCACAAGGGCAATAGACATAGAGTAGCCAGAGCAATTTATAAGGTTTCACAGCTCGCATGGCATGGAGTGCATGGATCACATGGAGTAGCATGGAGCTAAAGGGCGAGCTTCTTGCGCCCCTTAAAGCTCTGCGCTCCATGCCCTCCATGCTACTCCATGCACCATGCGTGCTATAAACTACTCTGCTATAAGTACAGCAAAAGCCCTCCTCATTACCTCGTGAACGCTCACTCTTCATTACTTACTTGAATAACTTTTCTGCTAACATGCTGCAGTAGAATAAACTACTCTGGCAGTACGTATGACGATGAGTAATGTCCTGTTCGTCGGCTCTTCATAACATTCTTTCGTCACATCTCTATCTGGCGGTGGCGGCCCGAACTCCTTCTTTGGTGGTCTCTCCTCGTCTGCTGCGTCTAGTGCTGGTTTTGCGGCATCCGCCTTTTGGCGGAGATTGGCGTCCAAAGTGTTGCCCATGTGTTTTTTGTACGAAAGAAGTAGGTAGGCGATGAAGATGAGCGTGATGGCCACCTTCAGCCAAAACTTATCCCACTCCTCGTGCTGCGGTCCTTTCGTCGATGGGGTGGTGGAATTAGAAGGTAGCCCATAAGGTTTGGAGGAAGTCAAAAAAATTAATACAAGAAAAGAAGTAAGTAAGTAGTTAGTAGTATGTTGTCTTTTTCGTCTATGAAAAAGTAGAGTAGAAGTACAAATTCTACTTCTTCTATGCAAGGAATTTATTCTAAAGAACGTCTTCTCTGTATAACTATAATCTTCCGATAAACTGTAAAATAAGCGAGTAACGACTTAGAATAACCGAGATACTTCTGAAGAGCAAAGAGTAGCCTTTAAAAGCTACGTGCCTTATTTCAATCACTAACTCGCTACATATTTCAAGAAGTTTTCGAGTGCTTATATCTGATCGTTCGCCATAACTGAAACACCCTCGTCTGCGCCACTTGTCGCTGTACTAGTAGCGTGACCGGTTGCGTCGGCTGCCGCTGTTGCTCGAACTTCACTAGTCGCGCAGCTGCCTAAGAGCAGGAGAGCAGAGGGACCAAGCGAAGTCAGGTCAAAGAACCGCGTGGAGGTAGCAGCAGCACGAGATGAGGCACTATATTTGATGTTATTCCTTCTAGTAGACATAGAAGGGCCGTTTGATGAAGAACAACTACTATCGTGAACAGTAGAGATAAAGGGGGTAGAAGAAGTTCTTGTGATAGTACTAGTAGTGGCTGCCTTAATATCGGAAGGAGGCGAACTCACTTCACCTCCCTCTAGTGAAAAGGTAGTTGAAAGAACTGACACCTCAAACATTGTGACGACTGAAAAAGTGAGAAATTTTACCTCCAGTTACTAGAAACAAACTGGAACTAGGTGCTGGGGTCAAAGAGAATCGAAAAAAGAAAGACGATCTCACACTGTTTGTTGATATTATTTTTGGGAAATAGAAGCATTAAGATAGGGAAGATAACCACGTCCACTACTCCCAAGAATTTAGAGAAAAACCGTAATGGACGCTATAAACGATGCCGTTTGTTATTTGGAGGCTTCAAGAATTATCATTCATGTTTTCACTGCTCAGCACCTCCCATCAGGTGTGTTGAAGTACTTATCTTGATTATAAGCTCGGATTGCTCATTACTTAGCAGTTCCTCCACTCATTTGCAGATTGACGTGAAAAGGAGAACACGAGTACGAAAACAGTGCTCGTCTTCGTGATGATATGAATCTATTCGGCAATCTTCCTAGGATTTCCCCCATTCTATTCGGCAATCTGCCTAAACAATGCTCGTCATATCTGGAACCTTTTTCTCAACAACATCTCTGAGAATGGGCTTCTTCTGGTGATGATTTCCGTTGCACGACATCTTTTTTGCAGAGACAAATCAACGCAAGCTCGTTCGTTAAATTGGAAAGACAATTTTGAGATACAGAGATTGAGAAGTCGAAACGCATAGATTTAGATAGTTCTAGTCATTACATTACATTACACGGGCGCAACTTCGTCTCCCCGTAAAAAGCCACAGAGAACGGCACACCAGTCATAGAAGTAAACGCATTTATAAATGAACATCAAAAGGGCAAAACAAGTGGAAGGATCTCTCATTTCACCTGCTGGTTCAACCTAAGATGCTAAGCCTGAGTATCAGTCAGTGATCTTAACACTTGTAGTTCCTGTTCCTGCCCTGCCTACCTAAGATAATGATAAGGCATTCGTTATTCTCTGTTTTAGGTACCTCCTATGCAATCACCTGTACTATATGTAGGCCTACTCATCGTTCCTGCCAGAGAAAACAATTTTGGTTTCAATCTTGATCTTCCTTCCTTATTAATCAAAAACAATTTTGGATGAGTTTTTTTTAAGTACTAAAGAGACACTAGAAGAGAGAAGTGAGTCAGTGTGTCTTCAGTCTCTAATCTTCATGAACTCCACCTGCGTCCATCTTATGCTGCTCCTTCGTCGGAACCCGCCAAATCTAATTTTCATGCTATCGGGGACAATTCTAATTTCCATGCTCAGGAACAATTCGATACGACCAATCTCGATTGCAAGAAGATGCAACCGACTTATAATTAGACAAGTTCCGCGGGTTAGCATCAATCGTCTTTGTCCCTCGATGGAACAAGTCGACCCCTTCGTGATCGTGAGCACTCGTCTGGTGAGACTCGGCAGGAGCGGGAGCACGACCACCTTTAGCATCTTGATTCTTACACTCTCCTCCCACTCGACGTACCACATGAGCCCCCGTCGACACCACGTGGTTGCTCACCAAACCGACAATCCTTGCAAAAAGCGCTGGCGCTGAAGTGTTTTAGGGAGGGAAAGGAGTCTCGTCATCTCTAGTAAGTAAGCTTACTAGTACGTACACCTTACTACATCCACCCGAGTTTGATTGGATGCCATTATTCAGGTACACTTACTCGGATAGAACCCTTGAGTTGAGTACTTGGAGGATGCATTCAAGGAAGAAGATGCTTACCGAACCGACAATCCTTGCGACAAAATCGCAAAAAAAAGGGAGGGGAACTTCCAAATGCGTTTGAAGGAGTAGAAGTAGAAATTGAGGAAATCGTAGGAGTTGAAAAAATGAGCCACAGCGGCTAAGCTGTGAAGCAGAGCGAACAGTCGCGCAAGATGACCCTTCCATGGAGTCTATCACTGACTAGCATACACGAGATCTGAATGTGCAAGATGACCCTACACGAGATCTCTATGTAAACAATTGAATAGAGAATGTGCTTGCGCCTCAGACTATTAAATATACATCAATTCAACCATGATGATAGGGAAGTTAATACTTTTTTCTTCCACTTCCACAGCGTTAGCCTTGGCAGTCAACATTTGTTGTTTTGTCAACGCCTCGTCGTGCATCCCCAGTACGGCCGCACCTTCTACCCAACCAGTTGAAGATTTCGAAGTCTCAATTTCAATTTCACCAAACAACTTCGCAGTCAGACTGCCGTCATCGTCGCTAGAAGAGGCTTTAGTCATAGCGCTCAATGCCTCTTCCACCGTGAGTGTAGGAATGATCGCGTCAGCCATCGTGTGAGCCATGCACGTTTTCGTTATGGTACTAGGGTGGAATCGGTGCTCGCTAATCAGCTCTTCTTGCGACATTGCACAGGCATGCTCCGGATGGTGCGGGTGTCGTAGGATATCTAAGTGGCCTCCTGCGCCTAGTCGTGCTCCGGCTAGTGCTTGCTGCTCCAGAACCACGTGGGACAGGGCACCAGCAACAACAAATTTGTTGAGGCCTCGCAAAGAAGCCAATAGAGTGGCAAATGCACCACTTCTCTGGGAAGAGGATCCTTTCGCAGAAGAAGAACCGCCTTCCGTGGACAAAAGGCTCTCCTGTTCACCAGAGGTCGCATCCGCCAACAGCTGCGACACCGTTTTCGCCACTTCAGCAAGCTGGTTTTTGGCGTCCTTGATAATTTTTCCAGTCTCCCCTGAGCTCCCCGCAGGAATCGGCATATTCAACTTGTCAGCAAGGTCCCTCCCTGCCTTGAACAATCCTTCAACGGCCGCTTTACACTGCGCCTTGAGTCCTTGCCCGTGTGGACCCTGGCAAGGGTGGTCCATTGCAGTGACAGTAGTGGCAATACTGGAAATAGGACCATGTTTTCCACCCGCTGAAGCACCTGTAGAGCCGACGTCTCTGGAAACGCTTTGCAACAGCTTCTGTGTCGTTGCCGTCAATGATTTCGTTTGCTCGTCAGTAGGGTCTAGAACAACTACGTGCTTAGTGCTTTCGCCAATCAGTGCTTTTTCAATGGTATCCATTCCACCTGGTAGTGCAGAACTGCAGGTTATATGCGCATTTACATCCACCGTTAAGCCCACGATGCTGCGTATGATACCTTGAGACAGCGTATGCAAGTGTAACGTAAAGACATAATAATTACGTGCATCATTACTAACCCTATTCTTGATGTGGATGTACAGGTTGAGCAGCGTCACGTGGAGGAGCTAATTGAGGTGAGATCTGCGGCAGTTTCGGCGGATGGATCCTCTATATTTCCTTTGAACCAACGTCATGCAACCGAGTGTTGATCTTAGCACATTTAGGAAACCATTTTTGTGATTGTGTTACATCCACCGTTAAGCCCACGATGCTGCGTATGATACCTTGAGACAGCGTATGCAAATACTTAATCACGTTAGTGATAAACACTGCATCACCTCTACTAGTTAGGCAAATTCTAACTTCATTCATTCAACAAACAAGTACCGCTCTTCGTGTCCTTCGCTTCTTTCAATCTGTCCAATCCAAGGCTAAACAAACAGGCTTGCAAACTCGCACCTCCTACTTCGAGGAAAGTCTGCGGTATCGTATTTGTGAGGTAGATCAGGTTTCCGGTCTGCGTGTCAAATCCAATGAGCCCAGCACTATACATAGCAGCAACAAAGCCGTAGATTCCTTCTTCAATACCAGGAATAGTCCGCGCAGCATTTACTGCAATATTCTGCAACTTCTGAGCCATAGTGTCCCCGAGTTTTTTCATCACGTTTTGTGTTTTTGAGGAGGACAAAACCCATCCGTTGAATTTCTCTTTGACAACTTGAGGTAGTTTTTTTCTGAGTTCGCTGTACCAACGTCCTTGGGCAGCCTCCGACACCTGCCGCATTCCTGCTGTCGCCATCATTAGAGCTATCGCGATCGCATCCTTGACTGCATCCTTGGGGGGCTAATTTTCTAGTAGATGATGCTGACAATGCTTTAGAAGTGGTAGCCGTAACATTACGTCGAATTCAAGCTCGCGATCGAAATCATCTGGGTTCTTAGCGATCAGTTCCAAAGCCTTTTGTATGGCTTTCGGCAAGCCTTCCTTGCCGAATGGAGACTCCTCACTCAAAAAACGATCGACTTGCTCTGCAGTAGTTAGACCTCTCCGCAGTTCTTCATCCTGAAGTGCATCTTTGATGGCCTCTCTTTTCCCCTTGAAAAGGCGTTGTCAAAGATTATACACTACTTCGGAAGATGAATAATAGGTCATAAAGTAGTTTTTTCATCCGTGCCCATCTTGGCGTAGTCCGACATGCCACCAGGGATCTTCATGATGCTTTCGATACTTTTGATCGTTTTCGTGGAGCGGTCTTTCACCAGCAGATAGATCCGAGAACCAGAACTGCCAGCATCGACAAACAGGGACACTTTATACCGACGTGGTGTCCGTGCTTCTGCCTGCTTGTGGGTCCTACCTTCTCGTCCTGGCTCTGCTTCTACGTGGTCTATAATCTGCTCATCTTCCATGGTCGCACTGGTTGTAGCCGTAGAAGGATGATCAGGTTCACCAAGAACAGGCTTTTTCTCTTCTACCTTAACCTTCTTCCTTTTCTCCACTTCTTCATCAGAGAAGCGCAAGAAATTATTGAAAACCCACGTTAGGATTTGATCCACCCCAGTTCCAATCAACACGCCACCGACCATCCCAGCGCCAGCAGTTTGTAGAAGACGATCTTCTTTAGCATCGTCTCCGTCTCGTGGAGGGCTGGAAGTTGAGGAAGAGGCAGCAGCAGGAGCCCATTGAGTTTCTTGTTCTGGTCCTTCTTTTTCTGGTGGTCCTCCTCCTGGTCCATGTTCTGGCCCGCCACTCTTCACCCTGAGCATCAAGGGTGACGCTGTCGGGAGAGACGAGGCTAGCAACGCAGAAAGCAACCGCATTTTCATTGCCATTTTCTTGTTCATTTCGTAGATGTTAGATCTTGGATCTAGGGACTAACCTAGGATACTTAGACCAGGATTTTTCTCGTAGTTAGATGTTGGATCTAGGAACTAACCTAGGATACGATATGAGGCCCTTAGAAGACTTACTCAGAAGTAGAACCATGAAGATACTTGTACAACTTAGGTACTGAAATACTCTTTGATCCTCCTCGACTTATTTTTAGGTATAGTGCCTCTGTTCAAGTAGAAATTTTGCTATGCTAGCTAGCTTCTAAAGGAGTCCAGTAGTCGTGTTTACAGTGAATCTCTAACTATGTATTTGAAATTTTCAATAAGAAACGTTGAAAATAAGGGGTCTTCAGTAACAATATCACAGAGAGGGAGGGTGTCAAAAAAAACAAAAGTTGAAAATTGAGAGAGTTTCAGCAAAAAAAACAATGCTAAGGAAGAGAGCGCTATCCTTCCTGTCCAAAACTGTTCGCATTTTTAATAGGGTGCTGATATTATTTTAGAGGGATGTAATTTTTTGAATCTTCGTCTAAGTAGAAGTACCTACTTATGCAGCCAGAAGGGGAACGACAGAATCATCGAGGCTCTCAATGAGAGACGGTTTTCATCACGAACTCTTGTTACTCGAGCCAACACAGCTTTAGTTGAATATCTTCATGATCAAAATCAGTTCTCTTCCGACCAGGACCACCTTCTACAGATCTTGATCTTCTACTCATTTAAGCTTGATCTTTGCACATTCGTTTCTTTTTTTTGTCTGTGTTTCTACTTATTCTTTTCTTCCTCCCAAAATTATTTAGACCTACAAATATTATATAAGGAGAAGGCCCAGAATGAAATTAAAACCTTGAGATGTGGCCACGACTAAGTGGCAATCGCAAGAATTAGAGTACGACCTTCAGCCCCCATCCATGTATCTCGGATGCTCCCTGTTTCTTTGTTTTGCATCGCGACACAATGTGAATATCCCCTAATGACTTCACTATTAATTTTTCATCATCACGTCAATAAAAAATGTTACATCAAAAAATATTAATAGGATAAATGTGCCTCCAATTGAGTAAATACCGAACTAATCACTCAAGAACTCAACTCGATTCAACTATAATGTTTATGTTTTAAATACCTAGAAATTCATACATAGTTGAAATCTACCACTTCAGGATAGGCCGCCCTGTTCTCCCATAGCCTCTTGCAGCTCGATTTTGTGTACATTTCCATCTTTTTTGACAGATTTGACGTGCAATTTGGTTCCAGGTTTGAGAACCCACTCGTCCTCACCATGGTACTGCGAAAGATGCTTGATGGGTACTGCACGGTGTTTTCCAAGGATCGTGAACAACGTCGATTTCGAGCCACCACCGAACCCGGTTGCAACCGAAAGCGTGGGCGTACAGCTCGACACACCCCACCACGTAACGGTTGTGCCCAGCTTGTAATCTTTGCTGAGGTCGACATTGCGAATCCCGCGATACAAACGGGGGCAACTTGTATCTTGTTTTATTTTTTTCATTGCGTTCGACGTGCCAGTTGTACTTGTACAACTAGTAGGGTCCACTTTCGTCAGGGCCTGCATCAAGAGACGGAGATACTTGAGATAGGTCTTGACTGCGCTGCGGTCGGCATTGCGGAGCGCCTGGTTCAGTTTGTGGTAGAGAGAATTGCCAGTGTACAAATGGATTGCAGCTTTTTCGTCCGTGGTAAGTTTCGCGGCCTCCTTCGGATTCGCGTCTTCCGCCCAGGAGCGGCTGTTTTTCGCGCTGCTCTTCAAGTACGCGTCAACAAACGCCTTGTCGATCGTCACAAGAGGTTGTTGAAATACACCGTCGATTGGAGCCAGCGTGTCATTGCCCGTGCTCAACTTGAGACCATCCTGCAACCGTTCCAGGTACATCTTGTGCAGGTCTAAAGTGGATTGCAAAAACACCCCCATGTTTTGTAAGGAAGCCGCACCCAGCAGATCAGCTCCACCTCCACCTCCCTTGGACGAAGTAGTACATTCCATCATTTTTTGTTCGAAACTTTGCACAGTCGGTAGCCAGTCCACCGGTGTCTCCTTTACCTTCACGAGCGCGTCATTCAGACGCTGCATCATAAGCGGTGGATCGCAGAACTTGTCGAAGTACGCAAAGGGGCCCACACCCTCAACGTGCTCGATCGGAAATCCCGAGTTTACATACTTTTGGAAAAGCGGAGCAAGCTGTGCTTTACTCTGCAAACTGGTGGCTCCCCACCACGCGAAAACGACCCCCTTCTTCTTCCCCTTCTTGCAACTACGGGCGTGAAGGATTGCGTCGACCACCTTAGCGATGGTTTCGCGCCAAAAGGCTGCGTGGGGCCCGACGGTCGCGTTGGCACTCTGTTTTTTATTGTCCTTCGTCTCTTGGTGCATGGTCATGGCTGCGTTGATGAACAAAACCCCCTGGCTCAGGCAGTACTGGAACCAGTCTTTTGGCGTCTTGATAATATTCTTGTCGGCAAGCAACTTGCGCAGGTCATTCACGGGTGTGTTTTGGGGCACAGCGCTGATGCCAAATTTCTGCATTGCGCAAGCTTTGAGCAAACAGCGCAGGGTCGTTGACGCCCCGAATTTCTTGTCGTTCCAATCGCTCACATCGGCGTCGAAGTGCGCAATCCCCGTCGCGGATTCGAGTCGAGGAAAAGGCGACTGCCCGATCACGATCAGCTTCCAGTCTTCCGGCGCGTGTGGCTTCAACGCCTGAAATGTCAGTTCGCGGACCGGGATGATGGCTGGGTCTCGATTCGGTCCGATGTATTTCTCAGCGCTAGGCAAATTCGCTTCCAATACGGGCTTCAGAATGTCAAGCCAGGTGCGTCCGAAATCTGGACTGGCCTGCTTCTTGCTGACATTTCCCTCGCCGGTGAGAAAAAGCGGCTTCAGCTTCAAAGGATCGCTGGGGTCATTGGCTTTCTTCTTCATCGTCGCGGTCGTCTCGTTGCTATTCGAAGGCGACGAGGGCGGGAAGGACGCACCAGAAAAGGCAGGAGCATTTCCGCAGGTCTCATTGGGCCCGAGACCCGCAGGCTTATTGCTTACGCGGCGAATGTTCCTCTTTTTGCTCGTGTTCGCGTTTACTTGCGTCATTGCTTTGAAGTCGACCTTATAAGTGTAGGCCAAGGTCCCACTTTTCACATAGCGGACATTGAAGGAAGGATTGGTCATGAATTGCGCAAAATACCGCTCCATAAACGGTTTGGCGTTCGCTGTATACTTGTACCAGCCGTTTTTTTTGCCATCCACGCCATCGGTCACTTCATACTCCCACACGGCCGAAAAGTCAACCGCAACCCGACGATGCAGAGCCTGGAAGTAATTTTTCATCGCCGCGGTGGCCCCTGCGGAAAATTGGATGTTTGTCCGCTCTTTATACCTCGACCGGAACACCTTGCGAGCATCTTCGACATCGTCGAACGGGCCCAGAAGCTTCTTGCTCCCGGCGAGCCCCGCCTGCCCCGAGTGCTCGAAAACAAAATATTTTTGCAGCGTGCTCTCGGAAGGCGTTTTCCTTTTCATCGAAGAAGTAGAACCTCCGTTCATCTTCACAACCAAAAGCTGTAGGTCGCAGAACAAGTCCTCCTTTGCCTGGGGGTTTTGTTTCAGAAGTTCGGCGTCGTAGCTCGTAGCTTTGTCGTCATTCGGTACAAGCACCACCACGTTCTTTCCCGCCTGTAAATTTCCAGAGACAACTATGAAAGGGAAAAGCGCGCTCACACTCCGAAAAGTGGCGACTTTACCACTTGAATCTTAGCCAATTCCCTGAGTGTGAGTGCACTTTTTCCTTTCATAACAACTTTTTTCAATGCCGGCATGCTCAAAGCTTCCTCGTTCACAATGGGGCCCCCATTGAGTGAGGTGTCGCGCCAAGCGAAGAAGCTTCCGTCGGCTTCCGCCTCCTTCGTGGTTTTTGCTTCGTTGCTGGCAACTTTCTGCTTCTTCATCGGCAGCCCTCCTGTGGAATTGGATCCTATCTTGACTTTCTTCATTTTTTGAAATATGCTGTAGTCCTCGGGGGCTCTTGTGTCTGTGTAAACAACAAACGCTGCGTGTGCTGATCGATATCTCAAAAAAACGGACAGAAGTTTCTAGTAACAACACCCGCACCAGCTAAAAAACATACACTCAAATCAAATACTACTACTTACAATAATTACAATACGATACACGAGGACTCGAAAATGCTGAAACAGCAAATAGCAGTGGTCATCTCGTTCTTTTTCCTGCGGGAAAGTGCTAGTACCCATAAAGAATAAAGACGAATGCGGAATACAGTATATACCCAAGCACATTATCCAATTAATCAACTAATCTCTCAGGCAAAACAGATCACGGATTCTTTTCTCATGCAAAAAACCGAAAAAGCCAAAACAGACACGCCGCCACCGGCACACGAGGCCGCTGGAGGCAATACTGAACTGATCACTCAAGTTGTATCTCAGTCATGAAGAGATCCCTCATCGGAAACACAGAACTCGGATGCAAATAAATTTAGCAACAGAATCGTATGTCTAATAACAGGCGCCCTCTCACGGTTCGCCATTCATCTCATAGACCAGAATTGTACATGATCCATATGAAAAAGTAGCTGTTTTTCATCAGAAGATTGTACATCAACGTAGTTTCTGAAGGTTTAGTGGCTCGACCACGACAACTCTATAAATCACAGTCTGTTCTTCCCTGATCCTTGTTTCTCAATATTCTTGTCCTGATTGCCTATCAGACCGAAAGTGCAACAATTAGCTTAAGCCTGCGACGGTATGGGTCAGGTAGTAGCGCCTTCGTCTCCCCGTAGACGGGCGTAGTCGACAAAAGCCACAGAGAACGGCACACCAGGTGGGCAAGCCTACCACATGGAACCGCGTTTGACACCTACAGCCCCCAATATCTTCATGGTCAAAATCAGTTCTCTTCCGACCAAGACCACCTTCTACAGATCTTGATCTTCTACTTTTTTTTTTGGATTGGATCTTCTACTCAAATTTAAGCCAGATCTTGAGGATATTTAAGACTCTCGGCAGCACCGATCTTCCTCTTGAGAGACGTTTTTCACTCTTGACAATGAGACGATCCTTTTTAGTAGATTCACTCTAGAATTCCCCATGAATGTTGTTAAAAGGAAAGAAGCAATTGGAAATATGCAACTACTGGAAAGCATTAGCATAGATCGTGAAGGTAGATCATCAACATTTTGTTTTGGATTTTTTGTCAAGGTGAGAACGATAATCATGATCATGATCTAGTAGTCTCAAATTTTCGATATCATCAAATTCGTCCATTTTTTCAGTTAGTTTCTTCAAAGGCTGCTCATAGTCGTTATTATTAGTGATTTTACTATTTTCTTCGACTACATTTTCATTAACTTTAGCTGACTCGGACGACTACGACTGGGAAGTCATCTATAAAAGAGCACTTCTACAGATGAGAACTACCTTAACAATAAATTTCACAGATAATGAAGATCTTCAGAATTCTAAGAACAAAGACGAGCCTCTTTATCTACCGCTATCCGTGCATAATTGGGACTACAAAGATGTCTATAAGGACAGAAGATGAGTGACTTCACCCAAAAAAGTAAATACGCATGAACTACAAAACGACATTCTCAGTCAATATTTAGCAGCTATATTCTCTAAATCTTTCACATCGTACATGCATGGATGATGATTATGATATACCCAGATCAAATTTGGATCGGGTGTGAACAAGTGTTATTGTTTAATTATTTATTGCATTTGTTGCATTCACTTTTATGCTTTCTCCATTTCCCCATGAATTCTGCTTTGATGACTCAAATGAACGAGGAAAGTCATGATCTAGCAGAGGTCTGTCATATCTTGCAAACTAACAACATTCACCAGTGTCTGTCTTACTTAAGTCGAGTAAGTCGAAAGCGTATCCTCTCCTCCTGCGTTGGCGGACGGGGTTACCCCAGTAGTGGTGGTGCTAACTCCACGACCGGTTTCGCATTGAGCTACGTCTTGTCGAGGAACGTCCGTCTCCTGTGCTGGGGCTTCATTCCTTGTTGTTCCATGCTGATCATGTTCCTGATCACGACCAGTAAGAGTCATCAAAGTGCCACTATTCGTACTAGGACCATCATCGTGCGCCATTGTTTTAAAGGTCTGCAGTCACTGTGGTCGCTAATGCTGAACGGAAGAGACCACCTTCAAAGCTCTCCCCTTTTCCCTTCGTCTTTTTCCCCTCTTGGTTCTCTCAAGAAGGGGTCTCCTCTTCGATCTCAGTGACTAACCTCATAGTGAGCAATGAATGTTGCGCCTTAATACTTGTTGTATCATCAACATCTTTAATATCTTCTTGCATCCTGCACCTCCACGTCTGCTCTCCTGTCGAATCCGAGCCGGGAAATCCTCGTGCCGCACTACTAGTACCACCTAAAAAAGCCCGTTCTAATATGAGTGCCACCTCTTGTTCTTCCGTCAAAGTCATGTACACGTCGTTTGAGGACACGCCTCCGCAGGGTCTCTTAGAACAAGGACAATATTATGTTGGACGGGAAGTAGATCATAGACTTAGACTTATAGAGGTGAAGTTTTCTAATTGGTTGCTTTACTTAGTGCTTTGAGCGTCGCAGGATCTGTATCGTAGCATATAGGAGGAGGATGATGATGATGATGATGAGGACAATATTATAGGAGAATATTATACATAGGGGACATGAGCAGCTCGACACATTCAAATATATGTCATGAGTGACTCAGCATTCCTTTGTCATGTCATGGAACCTCGTTTTACGTCAGTCTTCCTTCACGACTCCTTTCTTTACCCAAAATAGTTCGCGGAGTTAGCATTAGTATCTATATGTAACCGGTGATGCTGATATGTCCCTAGTAGTCGTCGTAGTAGTAGTAGTAGTAAACCCAATCCAGGGGTATGTCTTACGTTTGTTTTGGGAAGGGTTTTAATTGTTTATCTGGGAGGAAAGATTGCATTTTTCTTGTGTGTTGTTTTGTTTGACTTGTTTGTTTAATTTTGAGCATAAAAGTAACAGTATGCACTATTTGAGGTAACGTTGAAAACAGCAACTCAAAACAAGCATAATAAATGGAAAACAGCAAGAACATTCTTCTCCGCCTTCTTGAGATGTCCTCCGACGTTGGCAACACTTTTTCAAACCCTTCCAAGCTCGACTGCACGCCCCCTCCACTAGTCCTGCATGTGCGATGGCAGTTGGAACCGCGAGACCTTAGGAGAGGACGAGAGAGCTAAAACCTCATAACCAGATAGATTAAAGTCTTCGAGTAGTTGAAACTATTTGGAGTCTACTTTCGTAGATTCTCGTCCATGTTGAACTTTTTATCAGCGGGGATGTGTGTTTTGCTCAAGTTCTATTTTTTAGGTCGAAAAGTTCATAGACCTCTACTTTTAACCATAAACACAGACGCAAATGGACCAAGAAGTGCTGAGATATACGCACTTTCGGGACATTCTGTCGCACGATATGAACACCATCGGGGTAACTCCAAATCCCCACAGGAATAAGAGCGCAAAGCTTAATATTGCAACAGCATTCTGCAGCTTCCGTGCTGGTGCAACTCGCGTCTCGTGGAGTTCCCAGAGTGTGACTGCTAAACTAGCTGATGCACTTTCTTCGCTAATTCTTTCTTTTTCAGACGGGGTGTGAGTGCTGTGTGTCCTCGTTGTGCTAGATATAGATTTAGATTTCTTAGTGTTAGTTGTAGCATGCACGCATCCTTGTTGGTCCTCTTGTTGTAAATCTTCTGCTTGGTTCTTCTCCTGCTGTTGTACTACCCTTCCAATCTGTAATGCCTCTTCTTCCAGCTTCTGCTTCAGTATTGTTGTTGCCATACTCTCGCACTGCTCAAGCAGTTCCTTAGGCACTTGTCCTCTGTACCACGTAAATGCTCTGGTCAATCTTGACTTAAGGCGCCGAAGGATATTCTTTCTTGGTTTCTTGGCATCTTTTCCATCGTCTCTATGCTTCTCGTCATGCTCATCGTCCACCTCAGAGGGAGTGATAGTAGAAGAACGTTTTGTTCGACTTCTGCTTTCATCTCCCGAAGAAAACTTTGACTTTTTCTTCGCTTGCAATAGCAAATTCCCCTTCACCTTCTCACTGATTCCTGCAAATTTCGCGCATCTGTTGTTGCGAACATCGATAACAAAACCTCCAAAATTGCAGTCATTGTAAACAACCTCTAGCATTGTTAGACCTTCCGTAGATCACCCCTCTTAGTCAGCATCTTGACCTCCGTTTTCTCGTATAAAAAATCAAACAGGGCTTCTAAAATGCTGGGTAAGATAAGTCCTTAGACTTTTTCAAGCCTTAACATTGGTCTACATATCACATCCGAATTCCTTGAACCATTCACCCCAGCTCGTTCGACTGTCAAAACGTCGCTATTGAGGACTAGTGGTGGAGGCTGCGTCCCATCCTGCCGCATGCACAGGTCTATCGCGGCTAGATCCAATGCCAGCTGCTGCAATTTTTCAATCTGCTTCACGACTGTGCGAGCACGACTACATCTTTCACGACCTTTGTCGTTGTCGTTGTGTGCTCTGCTACTCGTGCTAGTCCCGCTAGTAGTAGTTCTTCGAGAAGTGCTCGTCGAACTAGGAGTCGGAATTTTTGTAATATGAAGATTACTACTACTACTACTACTACTTGTTGATGTAGTGGCCCTAGCTGTAGCTGCACCAGAAGTAGATGCCGCTTCCGTGCTGCGGCTTGAGACTTCTCCTGGAAGCGCTTTACTAGGACTATGATGCGCAGGAGGGAACGGGAAACAAGCGGCAGAGGGAGAGAGATAGAACTCTGCTAGGACCGACCAAAATTAGAGCTACCGCCTCGCATCCCTGTTGAGACGAGCATAATTCCTGGGAGGTCCTTTTTCCCCTTGAAAAAAAGACCAAGTAGGATGTCATCCTGAGAATGCTTCAGTCGCTGTCTCAACACAAAGGCGTATTTTCGATGCGGTCAAAAGCTTTCGGCAGTCTCATCATGAAACCCATTGCTTGTTTGTGAACTGCTCTGCGCAATTCATCGTCCAGCATTTCCTCGTCTTGCCTTCGACGAGAAGAAGATGTAGACGAGTGGTCCTTTGAACAGCAGTTGTGAGCTCCTCTCTGATCCTGTAGTGGTAGCAGCATTCTCTCTTCTTGTTGTGGCCGACAGCGATAGAAGTCTTCCCTTGCTTGTTCACGTAGACCAATACTGTCAACAAGTGGGGACTCGGAGTCCTCGTCTGGGCCAACGTGAGTAACAGGAGTATGTCTGCACTTGTTAGAAGAGTGAGTGAACCTACTTAAGACCTTCTACTTATAAGAATCTAGCATCTTCTAAATCCAAAAATAAGTATCCAAAAATAAGTATCCTAATGTAGAAGGACTCATCGAAGTCGGCTCCGTCGTGATCTGGTTCGCCCCTCGTCCCTTCGCCCTCCATATCCACAACTACGAAAGGATCAGAGCTAGCTGCCATGTTGCTGTTACGCATTACCACATCCAAATGGACATGTTGGAGCCCATGTACTTCAGCGATCCGCCTAGTGACTCCACCTGGATCCCGTATATAGTTGCTCACCAAGGACTTTGCCCTGCATTGTGGGCAGTGTCGCATGATTGGCGTTCGAAAACCTTTGCCTTGTAAACAGTCAAGGCAAAACCTGTGACTACACTCGTACGGACCATCTGCAAAAAGGGCAAAACCTGAAGTGCTGCTGGCTGACAAATACGATGTCGCTGGCGGCCCTTCTTCCTCGAGGCACAGAGGACAGTATGCCGCTTCTGTAGGTACCTCCGCAGGACTTGTGGAAGGCAACCGTAGATCTCCATTTCCATGTCGATGAAGGTCCGACTCAGACTCATCATGTAATGGTGGTATCACAGAAGGTTGCGGTAGTTGTGGTTTCCCATACAATGCGGGCCGCACTGCAGAATGAGGTGGAGAGGATCGTAAGCGTAGAGCATGTACTCCCACTAAGTAAGCCAGCTTGCGCAGGAACGGAAACCATGTTGCTGTTGACATTCTTGCGTTTTTACCTATGTTGATCCTTGATTATCATACTGCAACTGAAAACATCAACACTTCTCTCAAACGTATTGTCGCGATCTCTGGTCCTACGTCTCAGCTATCCATGCAGTGGACTTTCCTTTCTTGCAAAGGCTCAGTTACTCGCTACTTTGGATCTACCATTGTTCCTGCTAAAGCTGAAATAGTAATTGTATTTGCTATTCTTGTAGTTCTTGAACACTAAAGAACATCAAATGATGCAGATCGAAGTCCTCTGAAGTGCCATGCTGACTCATTCTAAATCAGTAAGCCTGAGCTTCTCCCCAGTCGTCTATCAAACCACGCAAATCTTCGATTCATTATACTTACTGGTTCATCATAAAAGCAGGCATCTGCATCTAGTGCAATCGGCATTTCTCAACGAGTATTGGTCTTGCTTCCAATCAGTTCGTTGTCGTAAAAATCAAACTACGGCATCAAGCAGTACAATTTAAGTAGAAACCAATCGTTAAAATATGAGACGAAGTCTCCTCTACCAATATGATTTTCGCATGATTGCAGTCTTCTTCATTCAAGGTCGTTAATATCTGTTGTAATACCTGCTTCAATTTCTACTTCTCTAACTCCAGCGTCACTGTCTCTTCCAGTTCAGTAAGCATTCATGATACTCGGTCGATCGAAGCACATCGACCTGCTTACGCTTGTGGTAAGTTGTAGTCTCATGTATGTCCATACATAAGCTAAAGTGAAAAATCAGAGGGAGACATCGACATGCTTCACACAAACGTGATTTCCAGGTACCCTGAACGCGACTCCTAGGTTCTCTACGAAAAAACTATATTCTCATGAGCAAAGCATTTCTTTTTCTACAGTGCTGACGTTGAGAAAAGGAAACAACAAACACATGCAGACCATAGCATCGCACATGCCTGGCGTAAAGTATGTAACTTGATGGTGCAAATAAAGACACCGATTTCTCCGATGTGTTATTCCAAAAGAGACGAATATGTTCATCTTTCAAAACAAATCTAGCACCAAGTATGTCTAAATGAAACAAATTGAATAAACACCTATGTACTATTGCTTGCCGGTATTAGAGACAACGCATTGAATGCCCGAGTTGCTTGCCGAGCCCTGTCTTCTCCGTCGTTCCGTTCCGATCGTATCACGATTACGTTTACGTTGCCTCCAGGCGAGACATCTGGTCGCCTTTGTCCGAAGAAACTCTCTAGGCTGATGTCACGCATTCCCGGCAAACCTGTGGAAGCTGAGGACTCCTGTGCTCCTGAGTTATTTCTGGATGCAGCTACTTCAGCTCGCTCGCGACCAAGCAATGCGGCATAGTAACTAGAACCACTTTGTACTCGGTGATTTGAAACTTCACTCCTTCCTGGTGCGTTGTTCTCAAGCTTTTAGACGAGAAGCGCTTAGGATCATTTGAGGTCTTGTCGATTATGATTTGAGGCCAAGTCAAGTCTCAGATCAATCAATCAAGCCAAGTCTCCCTGTTTCTCACCCCGGTTCTCAAGCCGGCGTTTTTTTTTTGAGTTAGGACTATATGCCGCCGCCCTTTTACTCACTTAAACATGTCTGTTACATAATTAGACAATTTACATACTGGCGTTTCTTTGTTCCCATAGGACTATGTGCTGCCCCCTTTTAATCATAATGGAATGGAATGTTGCCCAGATCAGTACTCCCTTTTAATCAATGATCAATAATTACTTCAACTTCTTTCAAACAACCATCAATATTTAAGTAGACATACTGGACTTGCGCAATCTTAAACTTCCGCGACAACCGAAGTTATAGCGCTGCGACACAGCGGACAGCAGCCTTGGGCATTTCTCGAAGGTGCCCTCGATTCGTTTGCGTTGATAACAATATTCACTCTCGGCTGCTCGGTGCTCCTATTCGTGGGGTGACTTAGAAGGAGAAGCGTAGGGTTCATGAGAGTGCTAGATGCACGCGGCTTGTGATGAAGGTTGAGTGAGTGAATGAATGTGCCTAGCGCGAGGTGGTCAAGAGGAGTACGAACATCCTGCCCTTGCTACTTGTTTTGCCGCTCTTAGTCTCCTTTACAGTGAGGACAGTGCTCTTCTCATTCAACATTGGTTCAGTCGAACAACAGTCACAGAGATTTCTTATACGTTCCTTAAAAGTTGTCCCACCACATGCCTAACCGAGTCCGTCACAAGCTCCCTCGCCGTCGAAAAAGCCAAATGCTGCCAGTCCACAAGCGTCACTTGCTGTTCCGCACTGGCTAACGAGGGGAAGGGGTTTTAGAATTTCTTGCTACTTGCTTTTACAGTCTAGGATATTCAATTATCATCTGCTGATGGAATTTAGAGGGTACTACTTTTACAGTCTAGGATATTTGATGATCATCTATTGATAAAATTACACACGTTGTACCCTACCTCCCATTTTCATCCTGCTCACGACATATTAGTAAACAGACTACTTAATTCTCTTCCCAGCATACAAGTAAAAAAATAAGCAAATACAACAACAACAGCCCCTCAGAAGTTACCCCTTATAAACCACAGGAATTACTATAATAGATGGAACAGGTACAAGTAGATTAGTGAAAAGAGAACCTATTTCAAACAGATGGCCACTAAATTCATAAAGATGCATGATGCTACTTTGTTGCCCCCTCTCTGTCACTTCTGACACGGGACCTGCCCACCCAAAGTGTGGAAGGAGCCCTCTCGGTCTCCAAATAACATTAGAGGACCTTCTTGCGCAATTACATTCTCCAGGTCATGATCCTTGTGCTTGACTACTATGACTTCTTTCCTAATACTTATTGGAAAGTACTACTAAGTCGAGAAAGGTAGTGGAGGATGCAATTTGGTGACCCTTATCAACAGGAGGTCTGGCGGGAGGACGTCGAGGAGCTGCGTCGGGTGAACGAGGAACTGCCTTTCCGTCAGGTGAGTCCTGGCTATTTGCGTCGTCATTTTGTGAGCGTGGTTGAGTCCTCGGTGGTGGTTGATATTAGACCTAGAGATAGATATTCTGATATTAGAACCACAGCAGTCTATTTTCAAGAGTTGTCGCAATAGATATATATTCAGTTGATGAAACAATCGCCACGTCTTCTAAACTTCTACTCTGTTTTTGACACTTGATGTTCCTTCGAGGAGTCTTTTGCATCGTTCCTATGAGAGTTGCATCAACTTCTCCCCCAACACTGTCTAAATCTTTCTTCATAATGCATAATGCCCACAGCTATCCTTTTAGGTTGCGGAGCCGTTGATACAGCCACCCAACGGGCCAGGCAATCGGCGTGAAACCTATGCCCACACTGCAGTCGGACAGGGAATGAGTCCTCGTTTGAGGGCTCCCCAGGTGATTCTTGCGATCTAGTTGTATTCCGCTCGTCGCCGCTATCTTCAGAAGGTACTTGTGTTCTATTCACATCAGGTGTTGTGTTATGGCTTTCAGATCTGCGGCGACTTCCTCTGCTATATCGTGCTGTCTGACTATCTACAATTGTTCTCCCCGTGTCCGTAGCTGTCGTCGTGGCAGAAGTGGCCCTGGCAGTTGTAAGATCCGCATCAAAATTTTGCAAGCATATCGCACAACATGACTGAGAGGATTCATTATCTTCTTGGGCCACGGTCCCGCCAGCATGTTGTACTTGCGGTGATGCTTCTTCCCCTTGAGGAGCAATTCTTGTTGCGCCATCTTCAACAATCATTTCATCATCCCCTTCTCCATCAGTTATTTCATCTCCTCGCTCGTCCACCATCAGTTCCTCGCTAACCGCGTCCATTGCCGCATCCCACGAAGCTGCGCTGTCTTCGTCAGATGATCCAAACGAGGCATTTCTAGAAGGTGTAGCATCTCCTGCTCTTGGGCGTGTAGCATCTCCTGCTCTTGGAGGTCTGGGCTCTCCTACCACGATGTTGTCAGAATGATCTCCTACGACAACGATGCTGTTATCACTCAAATCTCCAGCATCCCTTGAGGAGAATAGATGACTGGAGGGATTACTACCACTTCTAGGCTCTTGACGTGATGAAGACGATGGTGTCTGCTCTTCCGCTGTCTGATGCGAAGATTGTCCGCTTGGCTGTTCCGATACTGCTTCATTCCCTCTACTTTGTGGCGTAGTTGTAGATAAAGAACTTCTTGCTCCATACCAAACTAAAAAAAAGTACTTATACTGAAAAATCAAAAATGTTGATTTAGAAAGTAAGCTAGGTGGTGGCTAAAGTAGCTCATTCAACTAGCTAGCTAGGTAAGCGTCTCGCTGAGCCGATGAGGCGAAACGATCTGGAGTCTGTGAAGCCTTGGGCGTCACCTGACGCCCAGGCCTCGGAGATGCCAGATCTCCCGGCTCTGATCGGCTCATCGAGACGCTTACTTACCTAGCTCGTTAAAATAGGTAGTTCATTAAGCCAATTTAGCCTCTAAATCAAAATTTTTGATTTCTATAAGGAAAAGTACTATTTTTTGTTTGATACTCTTTGCGGACGAGCTGAAATCAGCCTGTCGATGCTGATCTCTGGAAAGAAATCATTCCAAGAACGTTGTGGTCGTAGTGGGTTGTTGTCAGGAGGTGGGATCACCCCAAATGGTAGGAAAGATATTCCTCCTTCTCCATATACTTGGTCACTTGAACTCCCAGTAGCTCGCCCAGCACTTGCAAGCACTTCGTCTGCCTCAGCACTGTGCTGCGGGAGAAACGTTCGCAATGCGTGGATCCCTGGCAGCAAGGAGCCAAGAACAAGAAGTACAGCAAGTCGAACGAAATGACGCGACATTTTCTCAAATCAACAATTTGGATTGCTACTTCTTCTAAAGCCTAAGACCAGCAGTAGACGCGAAAACGAATACGTGAAGCAGCTTCTTATACTTGTATAAAGGAATTGTCTGCCAACTTTGCACTGACTGTCGTGTAGGTCATAAGTATGTTCATTTGATCTTGAAATGTATATCTGATACAGGAAGATCACGATTCGTCTACGATCCAAACAGCATCAGAAGTTTTTGCGGCCACCGCATTTCAGCGAGAAACCTTGTTTTCTGTCGGAGCAATGTATCACCCATGAGGTCATCAAGAACCAGCTCACTGGTCGTCAGATATACGTGACACCCACAGTAAGAGAGGGGGAATAAACATCAAGGTCCTCTGAAGAGATTTTTTCATCTGAGACTGAATAACGGAACGTCTTCCACCAACGACAACCAGCAAAATTCCTGTGAAGATGTTCATGTTTATCATTATCTGCAATTTACTATAAGTACAAGTATTCCTGTGATGAACGTCCTCTTCTTCAACAAGAAGTAGTAGGACTAGGACGTTTCTTTCGTACAGTTATAACATTTGTTCCCTTCTTCACAATTCTTGGAATCCACAGTCCATGTGGTCCACTTTTGTTTTCGTAATGTCCTCCACACCTAGCCTACTTGTCGTCCTAGTACACCGGATGAGCTAGGCGATTCATCTTGTCAATGGCGCTGTCCAAAAAGCCGAAAACGTGTCGCGTCGATATGAAAAGAGAGTAGAAGAAGCCTACTACTTCTGGGCAAAAGAGACCACAGGGTAGAACATACGTCTGAGGGTTTAGGGTTGAAAAAAGAAGGAGAAAGATTACGACTTTCTTCTTCTCATTCTTCAAACTACAACTAGAACTCCTTCCACACGACGGCACACGCATACCGTTTGTGGAAGGAATACGGCACACGCATACCGCTAATTAAGGTTAGGTCAGGTGGGGGCCCACCAGAAAAACTAGCAAGCAAGGAAAAACTAATTCTAATTAAAAATCCAGAAATAAACCTCTTTTTTTCCAACTAAATTCTCACATATTCATCACAAACAAAATGAAATAAACCCATAAGCAAATACCTCCAGTCGTCCTCGTCGTGGTGGAGGTACATGATGTACATCATCTTCCACAAGAACATGGGTATCGGAGCCGTCCCACTCATCGTGGTCGACAACTGCAAATAAAAAAGCAATTAGAAGAGATACTTGTTTGTACTCAAGTAATACTAGATTAGATTGATTGATTGTAGTACTAGTAAACCCAATCCAGGGGTACTACGTCTATCGTTTGTACAAGTAACACTAAATTAGCTTAGATTAGATGAGATTGGGCTCCTGCCTCAGCCCTGCAGTGTGCTGCACTACAGTTAGTTGTCAGTTGTCAGCTGTTCCGAGAGTTTGTTAGTATGGACTAGTCTCTCTCCGAATGAAAAATACTGCCTCGATTAGGCTTACTAGGGAGTGGAGGAGGAGAGAGCATAAATAGGAATTTCACAAGAGATATGGGATGCCGTAATTCAACTTTGGACGCGCAGCATTCAACCACAAGGTCCATAAATCCATCAATTGTTTCATCCCCTGATTGATTGATTGATTGATCGATTGATTGACTGATGGGCTTTTTTTCGACAGTTATACAGGGGTTTTTGTCTTCGGTAGGACTGCAGTTCCGTAAGTAATACGGGGTTTTTGTTTTTTTCAGTAGGACTAGGACTACATGCAGGACTACATGCTTAGGATAGGATAGGAGTTGGGTCACCTTCTCGCTAACTTTCATTCCCAGGCATTATGATTCTTTATTCATACCAGTATTCTGACGCATGTAGTCCTAGTCCTACAGTGCGGTTTTTTTTTCCCTAGGACTAGGACTACATGCTTCCTCCCTGTTAAGCACTTAAAGAGTTATTCGAAAAACTGAAAAATGCGAGGAACCGACCAGAATAACCGAGAGACTGAACAAGGAAGCGTAGCCCTCTAAAGCTACATCCCGCCTTATTTCAGTCAGTAACTCGGTCATTTCCAGTTTTCGGTTACTATCTTTAAGTTTTCCAATACATGAAAGGGTCACAATTAACTAAGTGAGTTGATGAAACATGATGATGATTGTACTAGAGATGATTGTACCTAATATACTAGAGATGATTGTACCTAATATACTAGAGAATGAGATGCTACTTCTTCCACGTTGGGGACCTACATGCTTCAACTTTTACGTGAGCAGAGAGCCGAGAATTTCGATTTAAAAATATATAAAAAAAAAACCGCGCTCGGGGCATATCTTTTGCACATTAGAAGATATTTTCCTCTAGAATCCATCCCAAGAAAATAGGGAAAGAACAAAGAAAACGGATACTTATCTCTCGTCATTTTCACAACCGATCAGATAGACATTTGGATGCCATCTCTTTGCCCAACAGACTCTTGGATGGATTCAATGGCGCCATAACCACAGCGAGCGAATTGGACTGGTTACTTTGCAAGCGCCTTTCAGAGCTCCAGAAGCCGTATTGCCTCTTAGAAATGCTCGCGGGATCGATCTCCATGATCGATCTTCAAGTATCTGTCTACAACAAGAACAAGAAAGAAGATATAAAGCATCAACAGCTACCCAATCAAGTTCAAGAGGCTCTATAATGGGTTACTGATCCTCTGCACTTTTCGACGTCTACCACTGTTTCCTTCTGTTAGTAACATTCTCTTCATCTACCAATACTGTTACAGGAACTAACACGACTTCAAAGTGCAACAAATCAAGACATCTTCATCTACTCCTGTTACAACTATTTAGTTCAGGAATAGATCGACACATGCACCATAAGCCTACAGACTGCTTGATTTTCCCCCAACCGGTCAGCTTTTTGTTTTCCTCAACGTCGCTTCCTTAGAGGAGAAGACGTCGTATCAAAATGCTGTTACCCAGACGTCCTCGTTGATCCTGTATTATTGTGGTAATACAAGATTACAAGAATACAAGATTTATTCCTGTTCGCCATAATCTTGCTCATCCTCCTGCTCCTTGTCCTCCTTTTCCTTCTTTTCCTTCTTTTTCCCATCCTGTTCGCCTTTTTCTTTCTCCTCCTTCTCTTTCTTGTTCTCCCCCTTCTCCTTGCCCTTCACTTTCTTTTCCGCCTTGCGGATTTGACGTCGCAGTTGCAACACAGAATTGCGCAACAGTTAGAGGGACGAGCTTCAAAGATCCAGCAAGAATGGATCATTTAAATACTCAGGGAGGACGTTGATCTCGAGCCTAAAAGAGACCAAATATCTCTCGCAAAAGAGACCAAATATCTCTCGCAAAAGAGACCAAATATCTCTCGCAAAAGAGACCAAGATTTGATCAGGCGTATGAGAACTCACCATGACCAGGTGTATTCCGGAATAACTGTCGACGGGACTGTTCAATACCAGACTTAATCTCATGATTGTAGTTCTTAAAATAACTTACAGGATTAAGAACTTAATATTCTCGATATGATCGTGACATGATTGTAGTTCTTGAAATGACTTACAGGATCATTATAGGAACTTATAATATCCTCGACATGAATCTTAAAACGACTCCTCCTCAGCCTCTTGTAGCAATGCGCCTGTCGTGTCGAAATCCATAGCATGAGCTGAAAGGTAAAGCATCTCAATAGCCGCCATCAAGTAGACCACAACCGCCGTTCCCGTGAAAATCTTTTTCAAAAAAAGCGGATTGAAAAGATTAGAGAATGACGAGGCCAGTGAAACTGAAGATAGAAAAACGCCCTTTCAAATTGTCAGCATCACCTGGAGTGCCAGTATTTTGCTGTAGAAATTGAGTGAGTCACGAGAGCGAGACGAAACCAAAAGTCATGATAATAAGCCTCAGGAAGAAGTCGACGGATTAGATTCGATGTTGAACATTTTGAAGTAATATCAATAGATAATCATATACACTGTCTTGGTAAATGATTGGGAATCAATTTACACAAGATGAGATCTTCAGCAACAGTTGTGATCAACATCCATTTGACGAGTCGTAGTTGTGAAAGTATGCATCTCAAAAAGTGAGGAGGAGTACAACTGTTAAACGTAAGTAGGTGGCCATAATTGGTCGTCCTGATGCGGTTTCATCTCGTCTCCGCGACTTGCAGGACCGACTCCATCGTAGTTTAGAAGAGATTTGGTCCAAAACGAGGAGGGATGAAATCAAGACACAAGAGGTTCTTCTAGTCGTGCTTATGACCGACTCGATCATGTTGATGGTAGGGACACACAAGAGCCTCTTCTACTTTTGCACCAAAACGAGGAGGGATGAAATCAAGCCACTGCTGAAAACCATCATAAGAGATGCTTTCGAGCAGGCACCCACTAGACTCCTAGAGCTTCCCTGATCGACTACAGGACTGCCGGAATTAGAACTGAGAGAAATCCATCTTCAGCAGCATCCTGGGCCCCCTTTTCGTCCCTTGGAAGAAAACGGGAAGACCAAGATGCTTGTGAAAATGGGAGATTTCTTGTAGCCTTAATTGAGCTTCCAAATGAAGAGCCACCATGTCTTCTAATTGAGGAGCCACCACGTCCTAGGTCGCAGGCTTCGAGTGTTCTCCAGTGGGCCTCCTCTTCCTCGCTAGCCTCGATCTCGAACGAAAGCGAATTCCACAGCATCTTGTAGTTGGTCTTGCTTAGTCTATTCGGTTTTAGTACCTACATTGTCAAGGATGAATTGAAGTACAACTGTACTGACCCTGTACTTGAAGTACGAGAGACAGAGAGAGGAGAAAAAAATCTCCCGAAAGCAACATACCACCAGAATATCTTCTTGTTTCATTGGACAAAACTGCAACTGAATTTCTATTTGCTTTTATTTGACCACCCTAGTAGGTTGTTCTTGTTTCGTTGCCGGTTTGCTCTATTTCCCGATCCACCTTTTGGTATAAACGAGCCCGCTTCTATACTTTTCTCCGTCGCTCTTTGCCGACTGCGCTCTTCTCTCACTCTTCGAACTTAGGAATTATACAGTACACCTACGAATCCCCATTCCAGGAAAAAGAATCCGTAGTCCTACGAACAGAACAAGACCAAGAGCTCGAATACCGCAGTAGCAGCTCATCTTCACGCAATGCAGTACTCACTCCTGCTGCATGGAGGGTTGCTTTTTCTTTTCTCTTGTCTGATGTCTACAGTAGACATTCATTCATTCATTCAGACATTGCGGTCTTATTCTTTCACAAGTCCATTTCTTAAATTGCAGCATTTTGATGTTCTTATAATATAGATCTCTCAAGATGACGAACTACATCATACATTTCTTACCCACGATGTGTTCATTGGGCTAAAGACCCATCTGTTGATATTCTGAGTTCCTCCAACAACATCATCACAGTCTTCATCACCCATGTATCGCAGGCGCGATTGTATTCATCCATTGCAAGAGCTGGGGTAGTTCATCCGTTTCTGCGACTGCTCGACCTGAATTCCAAAACGTGAGTGATCCCACTTTACCCTCTATCTGCCAGTTCCCTTGACTTTGGGTTTGATGCCCAATTTGGGTTTGGCTGTCGTTTTTCTTCAACACATAGGCTTTCATTTTCCCATCTGAAGCAACATCCATCTGCTCACCCTTCAGTTCGCGACCGCGGAAAGTGGATATGACTTCTGTTGAGGATGCTGATGATGTAGGCATCTGCTCCTTTGCAGACGATGTAGAAGTTGTACAACTAATTATAGATGATGCAGCTTGCTTTGATGAAGGTAATGAGGAATCATGGTCCACCTTTTTAGTAGAAGTACCTTCCTCTACTACTACTACTTGATCTACCGCTTTCTTCATCTCTGGCGCAGCGGTCTCACTTTCCTCGCCAGAAGAAGATTCTTTTTTCACCACATCGTTCCCATTGTTCTTGCTCAAGATGTTCTTGCCGTCTCCACTTTCCACTCCACCTCCCACAAGGAAGTACTTGCTTACTGGGCAGCTTCCGTCGTGCTCGATATGAAATGGAAGGCTGTGCACCTCGAAGAGGGCAGTAGAGGAATGGCAAGGTTGCATTTCCGAAGACGAGGAGGAGGTGGACGAGGACATGTTATTGTATTTTCTACTTTATTTTGTTCGCGTTATGTTTTACCCGAAGTAAGAGAAGCGTCATATACATATGTTGTATCCAGTCCTTACTTTAAGTACCGGAGCTGGAAGTTAGTACTTAGAGCAAAGAAACCATGACGTTGTAGAATTGTGGAAGTGTAGGAAGTTACTTCGAGTGGAGCTAAGTTGATGCTGATGCAGACAGTCTACCTACTTCGAGCATACCCTTACCCACGACTATGATGTTGAGACGCACGCATGAGCAGCTTGACTAGAAACAAGATAAATTATAAAGAAACAACCGAAGCAAAACAACATTATATTGGAGATTCGGATAACCGGATCGGCAAGGGGGAATGGCACCTCATTGGCAAGAGAAGATCATGGATTTGGAGTTGAAGATGTCACATTAAAAACGTCTTACTCCATTTTCACTCATGGAATTCCGTTCTGCAAATGCGGCACAAAGCCGGAAAGTGCGGCACAACGCTGTCACTTCTGCAAAGCACCCGAACACTGTCACTTCTGCAACGAAATTGGCCACTCGAATCACCATCTAGAAGACGTGTTCGAGACTAATTTTGCCTGGTTTAGACCTATGCTTCTGGAGAACCAGAAACTTTGTCCAGATAGAACATTGCGCGCACACGGAAATCGCGCTCAGTTCCTTTTTGTTTTTTGTTCCCCGGTGAAGATTTCACATATCTTACCAGCATCAAAGCTAGTGCCTCTCGTTCTGGTATTCCCTCCGCCTCTCTAGCGGTGTCAAAAAACCGAACGAAGTAGGACGGGGAGGCCTGAGTAGAAACCAATCGCTCAAATTGATATAGTTTTTCTAATCCGCCAGACGTGTGGACGTATTTCGCGGACCACTCGTCCCGCAATTTAGACGAGAGGTCTATCACCTTCGCCTGTGTGATCGGCTCCATAATGGCTCTGAAGCGTAAGCCAGCGCCAACGGTGAACTGACGTTCTTTCGAGGAGATGGGCACCTCGGTCTTGGCCCCATCCTTCAACGTCCGGCTCCGGTCCTCACTCTCATTGTCGTTCGAGAACCCGAATTCGCGAAAGAAGCCGTCTGTGGAAAAAGCCTGATACAACACTACCAATGCGTCACCTGGACTGGAAGGACTGATGCCAGTTGGCTGGCCCAAAACTTGCTCGTATGACGATCCAGCGTGACGCAACAGGTGCTCGAAGTCTGGAGCGTTCCTGCCGGAAAAGACGACATCTCGCTTGTCCTGAAAATTCTCGATTGATACACCAGGTGGAAGCTTCAGCGTGTACACGAAACTGCTACTATCCAAAGCACCCTCACCTTCTTCTTCTTCTTCTTCTTCTCCTCCAGAGAAATCCTGCGCAGACTCACCTGCAGATCCACTAGCCAAAGCATTCAGAACCTTGGTGACGTCGTTCTTTGTCGATTCACAACTTTCCTTCATTAGCGTTATTGCCTTCGCATCCCTGGCCTCATCCTTGACCTTGATGACCCCTTTTCTTACTTGGAAAAGAGGCCAAAGATGACGTTGAGGATGCAGTTCCGCCAGCCTTAACTTGAGACCTTCATCAACCTTGCTCGCAGACGTATCACTTGCCGAACTGCCATGTAGAAGAGCCAAAGCACTGAGACACATTGCGACCCCGCTTATCCGGTCGAGGTCTTCTTCTCTCACCAGTTTGGCGAGCTCATGTATGCCACTCTTTGTGTTCGTTGCCTCCCTCTCCTGCACGAACGAGCCCAGGACAGGGTCGACACCAGCTACACGTTCTTGAATTTCCGCATCAGGAGATTCAGAGTTGTATAAAACAACTCCCTCATCGAGGACATCCGTGTCGAGACCCCAGACAACAGTGTTATGACTGTGGTCTTCAGAAACCTCATTCCTCAATCCGGTCGTGTTCGTTGCCTCCGCCTCCTGCACGAACGAGCCCACGACAGGGTCACCACCATGTGAACCCGGAGTATCGACAGCCTGGAACTCATAGTAGTCTGCTTCGTCATCCATGTCGAGCTCATGAAGATCGTCGTCATGACCCTTTGCGGCATCCACATATTAGACCTTCCAAACCATAAATCCATGCTATAAGACAATATCCTGACACCTCTCTCCCCTTCAGCTTCACCATCTTGAGATCACATTTGTAGCCAAAGAGTGTAAGCGATTGATTTTCACGAACTTGAAATAAAGCATCCTGGGACTTCTCTTGTGCCCTTTCAGTAGTAGTGGTAGTAGTGATAGTAGGTTGTCGGAGTCTAGAGGTTAAAATGATTACGATGATGATGATGATGATGATGATGATGTTAGTCGAAGTCGAGTCAGGTAAAATGATATGAGGATACTCCCGAAGATGGATGTGTGGAGGCCTTAAGCATACTCCGAGCTCTGGACCAGCTCCAGGAAGGCGTCTTCGAACATTTTGCGTTCATACATTTTGCGTTTTTTGTTGTTGATCTCGTACATGACAAAAGGATTTCCATGCGAAGTCACTTCCACAAGCCTTGCCACGACGCCGCTCGGCGCCAGCGGATAGAGAAAGAGCAAGCACCGCATTTTAGGTTGTCGGATGAACTAAAGTAGACAGGATGAACGAAACTCAGCAAACCAAGTAACGAATAGCGCAGCACACAAGTAAACAAAACCTATGGATTCTCTCAGCACGAACTCAATAAACGTCCTGCCACAGGACAGACACCGAGCATGAGTGCAGTCCTTCTTGTTGTGTTACAACAGCTATAATGAGTTGACCAAAGTTAGACATCAAATTTAGAGAACAGCGAAAGACTCAAGGCAGCTGGAAAAACGCGGCGGTCTGCACTACAAAACAGACACTTGGTGCTCTTCGCATTGTTTTCAACTTTCATTCAACATGTCGTGCTAGATGAAGTTTTTCACTATGTTTGACTTTGATTGAGTTCTAAAAATTGGTTATTTGGTGGCTCCCACTCCCACACTAAACGCGGAAAGTAAGATTTGGGTGAAAAAATAAGCGTCCATACGACATCACAACATGCACTTGAACATCAGCAAAAACGATCCACCAGGACTTGGGGATACCAAGAAAGAAAGTCTTTCACCATCTTTATCATGAACTCATCTCCCACATGGAAAAAAGTAGCTCTACTATTATTGTACTTTAGGTTTTTATGTTGAGAGGGAGGGAAAACATAAAGAAAAACATCATGAGCACAACAAGGAGTGAGATGACGACTTTGCTTATTTGTGAGTGAATACTTACCACGTCGTTTTTGTGTGTGAGAATGGCATGAGGTGGTTATGAATCTTAGTGCCATACAACAAGAGCGCGAACAAATTTTTCGCATCATGATTCGTGCCAGGAGGTAGTCGAACAAGTTGTTGTATTCTCATTTGGTTAAGTTGTACTAGCGCACATGCTGCACGACCCTGAAGAACTATTCAACAGGAGGAGTAAGGGAAGATGAAGAAGAAACTACTTATCAACAACTTGTTATACATAGTACTTAGACAAGTTGCCTTGTAGTTCCACTTTGCTCCTCCACTAGTAACTTCTTGGATTCAACATCTAGTCCTTCTTCTCTCCCTTAGGACCCCCTCCTGCAACTGGAGCGTTCTTCGGCAACAGCCATGAGAATTGATCCTCCAAGCACAAGGCAAAAAATTCGTGTTCGATTGCTTTTTCAGGTGAGATTCGTGCTGCTGGATCCAAAGACAAACAGCTGTTGATCAAATCCGCGAACGCCAGGATCATCTTCTCAGTGGCTGGCTGCATCCTCGATTGCCCATCCTTCGATAGAGCGGCGTTTCTAAGATCCTTACCCGCGATATCCCTAGGTTGCAAGATGCGGGTGGAGATGATAGTCGGTGGCGGCTTCTCAGGTTCCGGTTGCCCGGGTTGCACTGGGGGCACTGGGGCGTCGTCGTGGAGAAGAAAATCGCCAGTGACTTTGTCGAAATGCTCGGAGAGAGATTAGAAGAAGTGAGGAGAGATAGATTGATCATTGGATGTTAGATAGATTCAGATTGATCATTGAATGTTAGTGAATCAATCATGTAGCATTAGTCTGTTGACAACTACATTAAAGCTACTAACAACTACAACACTATTAATGTGGATACTACTTTTACTTGTAGTAGTAGTTCTGTATCATTTCAAACGAACATCAAATCATAAGTGTATTTCCCTTGCTTTGTCGCGATGTTGAATGGCATTCCTCCTCGTACTTCCATCATTTTCTGGAGCATCGTGTTATCGTTTGACCCCTGGAACAAAATCCTGCCGCATGCTACTTCAAACAAGGTACAGCCAAACGACCACATGTCGATTCCTGTGTCGTAGTGGTGACCGAGGATCACCTCTGGTGCTCGGTAATATCTTGGCTGCACGTTTTTATCCCGGATGATTTCCCGAGTGTACATAGACGTGCCAAAATCGCAGATTTTCGCGGTCTGCTTGTCGTCGGAGAGAAGAACGTTGTCTGGCTTGAGATCGGCGTGAATGATGCCCAATCGCTTCAAACAACGAAGGCCGTAGAGGATCTGGATGCCCCACCTGTGTTGAGATGAGATTAAGTGACGTTGTTAAAGGTTCATCGCAGAAACAAACAGTTATACAGAACAAGAGCGATGTTCTGCCGATGAGAATCAAGAAGATCATTGACACTAGCCACAACTACAACATACTACATCTTCAGTCCAAAAGCCACAACTACAACATACTACATCTTCAGTCCAACAGCTACAACTACATACTACATACTACATCTTCAGTTGTCATACAAAATTTTTCCAAAGCTACGGTCATGTAAAAAAATTCCAAAGCTACTACATCTTCAAATTTTTCCAAAGCAATTTACAGTCATGTAAAAATTAGTACAATGCCACAGTTGCAAGTGGGAATCCTCTATGGCACTTGTAGTATTCCATCGCTGTCCTCAAGTCAAACCGCATCAACTCGAAAACCATTGCCCTCTGGCCGTGGTGGATGAAATGGTCGTCGTTGTAGAGAACCATGATACACGTAGAGCCGAACGTATCCCGCTTCTTCGCCTCCTTGTACATGTACTGATAAACCGCGACCTCCTTGACGGCCACTGTGTCCATCATAGCCAGTTTTCGGATGATTTTAACTGCTACTTCGACGCAGGTTAGAACGGGTTTTGGTGTTGAGATGGAGGAGACTAGGGTTACTTCCTTGCAGTACTTAAGTTTATCAAAAGGGTTACTTGACAGTATAAGTGTATTTTAAAGAGAAGATAAAGTCGGGCTGCAATACATAGGAGATAACTTGAAGAAATTAGTATTCAACAACCATCAGCAAAAAAAAAGAAATCAGTATTCAACAAAAACAATCTTTGCCATAAATCCTTCCTCTCTTTCTCGTCGAAGACCTTGCATTTGAAGACCGAAGAGTAGACGCCGAGACCCAACTTGCTCACACACGTATACACGGAGCCACTACTTCCTTCTAGCTTCTCCTCAGGAACGCAGATGTAGTACTCTTTTGCGTCTCGTTCTCCCTTCTTTCCTGCCGACTTCATCTGCATAAACTCCAGTTGGAGTCTGTTCTTTTCGTCTTTCACTTTGTCCCGACCAGCTAAGATGTCTGAGATTAGCTTAGACCTAGCTGCTCCTGGAGGTCCTGCTGCAGCTCCTCCGGTTTTACTGCTCTTGTCAGTTGCTGTAGTTGTAGTTGTGTTTTTGTTCTTTCCACCGGCTCCGTCGGTAGGGCTTTCATTTGCTGAAGGGAAGTGATTTGCTCCGGGATAACCGCCTAGCAAACCGCTAGGGCCTGCGATTCCAGCTCTTGCTGCACTAGAACCCTGGCGACCTGGCGTGTTGGCGTTTCGTAGTTGGTCACTAAATCCTCCTTGAAACCCGGATTGGAACAGAGATGTCTTCTTACTAGTACCACTGCCACCTTCTCCTTCATTTCTCCTGTCCTTGTCGTCTTTCGCGCTGTCCTTCTTCGCATCTTTGCGGTCACGACTGTCACGACCTCTATCCCGGTCGCGCCCTCGGTCTCGGTCGCGACCTCGATCCCGACCACCAGCACCCCTATCACGGTCCCGATCTCTGCCGCCATCTCTGTCCCTACGATCACGGTCTCTGCCTTGATCTCTGCCATCTCTCCCTTTGTTCGCGTTCTTTTCCCTTGACCGTGATCTGTCTCTATGCCCTTTTTTATCATCTTCTTTGTCATCTTCATGTTGATCGGCACCTCGAGAGGACTCTTTGATGTTTTTGTCATCTTGATGTTGTTCTCCTCTCGCTTTTGTCGAAGAAGAACTACCACCAACTGCGGCATTAGCGCCTCCAGCAGCGGCCGCGCCAGAGCTACAGGAAGCGGTGGTGCTACCACCTATTGAGGCTGCGGCTGCGCCCTTGCCATCACGCTCATCCTTCGCGCGGTCGCGACCTCGACTACGGGAACGCCTCGTTCGCTTGCGCTTGCGATCGTCGTCATCTGTAGTGGATCAAAAAGTATTTTTTGTGAAGATAATTCATCTTGTTGTATAATCACTGATCCTCAGAGATCTTGATGTATAACTTTGATTCAAAATAAAACGAGAACAAAAACCTACTTTTACGAAATTGCATCGATATCTGAATCCAGAACTAATTAATTAAATGCTCAGATGTACCTTTATCCGCCACTTCCTCTTTGCTTCTAATTTTCGATCGTCTGCTTCCCTTTTTCTGCTGTTTCCGAAAATTCGGAAGATGAACAGTTACGATTGAGCGGTCGCTCTTGACACACTTGCCGTCGGGAGTGCATTTTTCGCGGTCCCTAGCTGTGCAAAAATCCACTTTATCTTTGCTATACAGGTCATCGAGTAAGCCGGATGCGTCCTGTGTTCATTTGGGCGAGAGGGAGCAGTGGAGAAGTAGATCATAGTAGAGGTTGATGATACACATTTTTATAGCGAAGAAACTTTACGTTGTACAACAGTACTTCTCTACAGTGTCGTGATCATTTAGCCTTCCAAATTCAAGAATGCATCAAAACCTAAACAGCTTATAAACAATCAAAATTGAAACAAATTTGAACTAAAAAATTAAAACCAAAAAAATCAGGAGTACCCGAATATGATTATCTCCTAGCGCCAGCCAGAAAACGCGATGCGGCTTATCCTCATTGACTCTGCGCCAGCTGATGACCAAGTTGTGCACTGCTCGGACTATGTGTCTAGCTGAGGAGTCCGTGAAGTCGTTATCCTCCAAGTCTAGCCGTTGCAAGACTGGACACATCCCCAACAATTTCAACAATACATCCCGATCGTCGTCGCAGAGACCCGTTCCCGACCTGTGAGAAAGGTAAGAAGAGGTGGCTAGAGAAATTCAAGAATGCATCAAAACCTAACCAAGAATGCATCAAAACCTAAACAACTAAGGTAAGAACACGTGGCTAGGATAAAAGGATCCTCAGATGTGCTACGAGTCAAGGTGCTGTCACTCAGTGTCGATACACACGAAGTTTAAGATGGTGTTGTTCTCTGTAACCGAGTTGGAAGGAATGTTGTGGGACTATGTGTAGGTTAAATCGGTCCCAGAAATATATGGAGATGTAAGAAGGCGATCAAAAAAATAGAGTAGTGTTTTGTATGCATTTGTGAACGTCATCTAGGAAAATGAGCAGTAGAGTTAAGATCATTTCTTCTGCACCGCTTGATAAGAAAACGACCAACAACCTTACACGTGACCAAAACTAGTAGTAGCAAAAGTTCTTGCTCTTGCGCTAGACGACTAGTTTCAATACATTGCTTGAGGGGATAAACCTAGGAAATAGAGGGAAAGCTGGCCGGCTGCTTTACTTATGTTTCGTAGGACCTAACCCCTAACCCCTGACCTTATAAAAAGGAAAGTTTAAGGGTACTAATTTCTTAATCTAAATGTACTACTTGTTTCTTAGACCAGGGGAAATGTACTACTTTCTTAGCTGAACGGAGTCTGTGATTTGCCTATCTAGGAAGAGACGGAGCCACGGGAAAGAATGAAACAAGACAACAGCAACGAAGCAAGGAGAACAAGACGACAAAAAAAGGGATCAAGGAAAGGAAAGCGTCGATCGCTGGAGATGCTGAGCTTTTGAGTGGCAAGCTAAAGGCGTTGACGTTGATGTGCTCCATCTCCGTTTGAAGCCTTAGTACGCTTTTTATGATGATGGTAGAAAGTACAACCTTTTACCACAGATCGTCCGCAAGTCGTTTTTATCATGGCCTAACCATCCGCCTCAAGAGAGCTGCAGCATTATCCTCTTCAAAATCATCACAAGATCTTCTTCTGAACTTCGGCACTGTCCCAACAATTTCGTGCCCTTTCAATTGCTGTTTGTGTAACAATTTGATTGCCACTGGAGTGAAATCTTTAGTACTAGAGAATGGAAGATCACGAGGTTGATACAGGTAGAAAATTTCGTCTTCAGAACATTCCAATTCAGTACCTAGAAAAAGAAGCAAGCTATAGAAAGATTCTAAGTATGCTGAATGCAAAATTTCAGATCAGAACTGCTATTTCAAGAATTCATCGCGATGAAACCCGACCGGAGATGTGATACCGCTTTTTTTCTGCTTCCGTCATTGATGTTGTGAGGATGCCGTTCATGATAATTTGCTCCCGAGTTGTTGAAGTAAATGTAGTGCATGCAGATCTTGTCGTTACGCGCGGGTGTCAGGTGAAAAAGCCAGTAGGTGGAAAATGCTCTGCAGAGGGTTCCTGCCCCATCAGACATCAGGATGTCGCAATTCATTCATCGCGCTGCTTTAGATATTCGCTTTGCAACTTTCCCTCCTCAAGAAGCTAGGCTTGCTAACACAAGGACAAAGGCAGAAAGAAGCAACGAAACGGAAGGGCGGAACAAAAGAGAGAGCAACAGACGAGGGGAGAAAAGACACGGAAAAAAAAAAAAAAAACAACTTGGTTGAAGCAGAAAAGCCAGTAGATGAAAGATTGGAGAGGAAATAAAGAGCAACAGAGTGGGATTGTGAGTATAAAAAAAAAAGTCTGCGTTACCGTCTCTCGAGACCGGCGTCGAAGCCACCTAGAAGAAATTAGGATAAAAGATCGAGATTCAGATTGCTCCATTTTTATAGGTTTATTATGATCTTTCTTTCTTCTCAGTAGTTGGTAGGAGCTAAGAGGTCAATTTAATAAGTTATAGCAGTCAGATTCATTTAGTCGAGTACTAGTAACCAACTGGTGTCTAGTAATTTTCAATCTTCCTATCTACAATTGATGTTTTCATCACAGAGGGAACAAAAACCATATTCTGTATCAAATCAACAAGAAAAAACGTACAGGTTCAGCTGCTCGAGTGTATCGCCATGTTCAGTAGCGAGTTTTGATGCTCGCTCTCTAAACCCCTTAGAGAGGTCCTCTCCTCGAAGACTCACGCTTTTCGACATCGGCGCAACGACCATCGGATTTTCTTAACAATTGAAACTGATGTAAGTTCCTTTTGGATAGTAGGAATGTAAGTAGTATGAGTGGGGACTCAATTATTCCTTTCGGGACTCAATGATGTAAGTTCCTTTTGGGACTCAATTATTCCTTTTGATAGTAGGAGAGTACGAGTGGGGAGGGGTTATCAAATATGGTGGAAGAAACCGACGGGGTTTGGGTTATCAAATACAACGAACGAATTGATAGGACTAGTTTTTATGTTCTCAGGTACAGAAGTCAGTCGCGATCACAAATCAAGAGAAACGAAAGTTACTTCTTCATCGAGTAAGCAGTTGATCTTCCTCCACGTCGAAATAGGACTCATCCTGAAAGAAGAGTAGGTGCAACTTTCCTAGTCTAGAGGAAGCCACGTTCTTGTAGTTGCGACGATTCACCAAAAGTTCGGCTTGCTCAACAAAGAAACGCTAATTCCTCTCCGACCTAACCCATTTCAGTTTTTGAGATGAAGATGAATACCCTGATGAGTTTTCTTGTTCCCGTTCATCACAACTAGTATTCAATCGATCATCATACCATAGAACTCCTGAAACTCACTTCCAAAATATTCAACTCTATCAAACTTGCGAATCAAAGGAAAAAGCGGGTGCGGCCCGTGCCAAAGCGAAACAAGGCTCCTGCGAAAACGAGGAAAATCAAACTTTGATAAGGAGTATCAATAATATCGATGACGATATCAATTTGATTGAAAAAGCGATATCTATGGTCAAGTCACGAGAAACGATGAAATGGGAATATCATGAGCACGTTATCTTGTTGATGAACATAGCAAAGGCGACAAAAAGGCACTTCATCACCAATGCACGAAAACGAATTTCAATTCTCTGAGTGGAAGAACGACTCGTCGAATCGGAACACGGTAGTATTTCTTTGTGACGTAATATTTGCATTCGGTTTATTGCACTTCCCAGAATGTATTACATTGGATTTTGATTCGCATGCCACATTCCACTTTGCCGTCGGATTTAGAACTCTTTTATTCCGAGAAGGAGAACATAGACCTTACCTCTATGATGACTCGTCTTCATAGAGCTGGATTCTTCCACGCATCAAGAGCTCGTCTACTCTCAGAAGCCTTTAATTAACTTCCTATTTTTAAGAACACATTCGCTCATCAAGAGGAGAAGGACACTTTCCCCTCTACGGTCGTCCAAAGACGCTGCGTACACCACTCACTATAGTAGATGAGAGCCATCTGTAGAAGATTGAAACGTAAACATTCACGAACTGTGAATAGACCCTCAATTAAGTTGTTAGTTATAATTATGGTTGCAAGATATACAAAATTGGTAAACAAAGGAGGTATACTGGCGTTTGAATGCGGGCGGCATTCAAACAATACGCCCTTCTACGATAAGTTTGAGTTTCTAATTCATTCTATAAAGCAAGATGCTATGCCGATATGACACATGAGAAAACTAGTATGTTGAAAAAAAAGAGAAACGGAAACCAAGTAGATGTTAGACTATGTCGTGTGTGGGTCTGCGTGTCTGCGTATGCCTTGCTGAATCAATGTGATATAGATGCGAGGTATGCGTTCTCGAATATGACATGCGAGAGCGAGAAGAAAGTGAAAGCAATCGCAAAGGTATACTAAAAATCATTCTAGGACAGGAAAATCATTCTCGTGCGCCCAGCGTGGAACATGTACACGTAGAACTTTATGTTGAGGGGGCGCAATTACACATAAGCTCTACGTAGACGTATGCTGATCTTGATGTTGCTGCTGATGAACCTGCTGCTCTCCCTCTAGCAGCTTGATGTTGATGTTCATGCTCAACATCTTGACAAAAGTACTGCTTGTAATCACCCAGCGCCAGAACCTGATGTTTAGTGTGGTGTTGGTTGTGAACGGGAGTTGAGCTGGATGATGGGTAACCAAATGTGCGCCTGATCATCGCTAGAATGATCTGGGGTAAAATTCTCTGATACTATGCCGGCTCCTTACAACCTCGAAAGAAACGAGAAATATTCCCTTTTGGCCAATGCTGCGTCTACTGTGGCATCCACAGCTTTGTAGTGCAGACAAAATGCCGCAAGAACAAAGAGATGCCATATCACATGGAAAAACGGCAAGTGTCTCTGCAGAAAGAAATAGACGCCGGCTACGTAGCCAGCTCCGCCAGCAATAATGAGTGCCTTGGCCCACCAGAAGTCACTGCGGATTTTTTTTTCCAATTCCTCTACTTTTCTCGTGTTCTTGCTTTGATCCGGAGAGAGTTGGGAGTGTTGTTGTTTTCTTGTCGTGTTGTTTTGTTGTCGTCTTGTTGCTGTTGATGATGTATTAGGAGGATTAGAGGCAGTACTATTTTTGTTGTTGGATTGCGCTGCAGCATTCGAAAGAACTCCCTGTTCTTGCGCTGCTTCTTGAGTACCACGACTTTCCCCCGCATGTGTTGCCAGAAAAGCGGTAGCAGTGGAACAAGGTGGACTCGTGGAGGAGGGCGTATCTGTTGAGTGTGAGAGATGAACAGCAGAAGATTGCTGTTCGCCCTCTATTTTTGCATTTCTACTCCTACTCGGTGATGTTGTGCGACCTGTTGTGGAACCAAGTTGCAGTTGTGCGCCAGCTCTAGCAGCTTCCCCTGCTTGACTCGTATTCGAGGATGTTGACGACGTAGTTCCCAGTTCATCCCCAAAGCATTGGCTGAAGATATAGGGTGCTCCGGCAAATCCCATCACCAAATAGGCCAACACGATAAAATGCGCGTACCAGCGCTTATGCGAACACGCCACAGAAATGGCGAACCCGATGAAGGTGAGCAGTCCGTAACAGGCTGTCAAGATCATGGGACCGTAGTTGAAGGATCTGGTGTCATCATCGAGTCCCGCGCTTCCTGCAGCCGCTGAGTAGTTCAAGTCTTTGCAACCAATTGTGATAATCGGATAGTAAGTCCCAGATATGAGCAGGTAAATCCCGCTATGGTCGAGAATCTGCATTGCTTTCACGACCGAAACAACGTAGAACAGGCTGTGATACGTGGCACTACACAGAAACATCAAGGCGCCACAAAACAAAAACGTGCCAAGAGACAACGCCGCATTAGGGCAGTTCAGCATCGAATCTGCATCTCCCCCTTGAAACTTCGTGTACAAGCGTTGGGCCAGAAAAGGTATGATCAACACTCCTAAGCCATGCGTGATGGCGTTCAGGACTTCGCTAGTCATGAAATTTCCGTATTGGATACTGACACTGCAATTCTGCATCGCTCGTGGGCCGCAACACCTCAGGCAATAGTCGATTTCGCAATCCTCGGATGTCGTATTGTCTTCACTTAGAGGTAGGTTTTTGGTGCTCGCGGGTTCCCCCGCTTTTTATGCCTTTCTCCTCCTAAGGGAGAGAGGCATAAAAAGCGGCAAGAAAAGCACCTTTAACCTACTTACTCTTAATTCACCTCGGATGTCTTCTTGGTTCGTACTCGGACCATCTCCCATCTCTTGGGCTTCGGTTGAGGAGTTCTTCGTACCTCGTGACCTTCTAAAAGCCAAAGACGCCCAAGCAGCTGGACTCTCCTCTGCTTCTTCTGCGCAGAGGAACGGGTCGTCTATTCTTGATTGAGACTTGTTTCTAGTAGCTCCTCCTGAGGAGAAAAGTAGAGAAGCACGACTGCTTTTGTTTCTCGAAAATGCGCTGTTGAATAGACCTCCTCCACTTTCTGCCATGTTTGTACTACTACTGCCACTAGAAGCAGAAGCTGAAGCGGAAGACGTAGAAGTTGTAGGTTTTACCGGTCTCGAGGAGTCAGATGCTGAGCAAGCAGACATAGCAGCAAGAAGCAAGCCATCATCCTCGTACTTAGCGTCAGTATTACTCTCTCTGCGATAGGTCGCCATAGAGGTTGCTTGTCTTTCTTCGGTAGCAGAGGGATAAGCTGCGGCACTGGCGCGTCTAACAGAGGCTGCTGAGGTCTCGTCGTTGTTCCCAGAAAGGCTATCTCCTGCTGGGGTGTGGTCGTTCCCATCAACCACGGCAGTACCGCTTGTATCATGATGCTGACGAGCAGCTTTCATCCCTCCGACGTGGACTGCAGGATTCCTAAAGCATTTTTTGACTGACTCTGCGCCTCCTCCTTCCAGAGCCAACTGCTTCTTCCGCACTTTCTTCATCGTCTTCGTGCGTTTCTTCATGCCTGCAATGAAGATCCGCATGCCTCGTTCGGGGAGAAGATTCTGGGTTATATCAACGTTTTGTAAACGCGGGCACACCGCTATTGCCTTCGATAGCATGAAAACTCCCAATAAGTCACCCGCTGCGGCGATCCTATTGCCTCGTAAATCTAGACTTTCCAAGTGGGAAGAAAAGCGCCACCTCACGAGGGCTAGCGAGATGTAACTAGCGCCACGACTGCGGATACCGCAGAAGGATAGTCGCAGGGACAATTAGAAGTATAACGGGTGTTTACGAGGAGATTCGAAGCATGACCGTCAAGATCTCGTGACATTAATTCTACCGTGGGACCTACCTAAAAACGGTCCAAATTTTCATCCCTGATTACCCCTTCTGCATCATCAACTACACCTTTAACTGATACTACGAACTTACTCTGATTTTTTGTCATCTCTTCTACATCATCAACTACAGCTTTCATCAGAAGTCTTAACTTCTCAACTGCAGTAACGAATCGAAACCCGCGTTCAGCAAAGCACATCCGACATCGCCGATTTGCGTTCCTCGTAGGTCCAAATGTTTTACGAAAGCTGATACCCTGAGCTGCAAACACCGCATCAAAGGGTAGAGCATCAACGGACCGTCAAGATGGGCCTTATCGTAATCGGTAGAGCTGCCAGACGAGGACACTGATGCCTCTAATTCGAACGACGGTCTCGGAACTGGTGGCGCTGTTGAACTGGAAGTTGATGTAGGGGGTCCTGTACTTGAGGAAGATGATGATGCGCCTGGTCCGGAAGAAGTGCCAGCTCGTTGTTCACTACCTTCATTTTGCAACAGTTTTCGCAGTCCTGTTTCGTCGAAAAGCATGTGCATGAGAGACCTAGCAGACGCCTTTCGCATCTGACAGGTCGCAAGGCCTAGCTGGAATCCTATCACCACGTGGCCGCAAACGCGCGTACCGTACTTTCGGCACTGCGCTTGGTAGTACGAGGCCAGTTCAGTAAAGCTTATGGCTTCTTCTTCTGCGCGAGTGAAGTCTGGATTTGACCCCAGCATCACCGGAGGCTGTGACATGTAAACTTCCCTCAGCTGCTCAGCGGCATCCTCTACGGCTAGTAAGGCTTCGACTTCCGCGTCTAGACTTGAGTTCCATCCATGTGATTTAAACCTTTTCCTTCTACTCCCTTCGGCGCCGGTGATAAAGGAGGGAATGTAGTCCATCTGAGGTGGTCCGTTTGCCTGCGCCTCAGGATGAGTTCTTCTGGTCGATGAGGCAATATTGCCATCTTTTTCCAGCATCCTGCTACTTTTAGAGCTCACCCTAATCCATCTCCAAGTCCATCCTGAGACTGTTTTCCCCTTGAAAACGTCGCTACAATGCTTCCGAAGATGGATTAGGGGAAGTCCTAATACTTTCAAGTTCTTCACCCGAAGTTCCTACTTTCATAGACTCGTATACTCGGATCGTAGAGGTTGCGGCTCTAGACCAGAGCGGAGCTTCCTCGTCGTCATTTCGGATTTGGTTACCAGCATCTTCTGCTTCAGCATTTGTTGCCAGTGGTCTAGAAGCACTTGCACTATTTTTAACCACGCTGCTCTTTGAAGACGTTGCCACCGTAGTTACTACCAAATATTCCAATCCAACCTCCGCATCCTGCTCTAATGGCAATTCTTGCCCTTGGTGTTGTTGTTCCTCCGTGAACGGAAAGTCCTCCTCTCCAAGGAGAAGGACGTCTGAGATCTTATCGTTCGCTGTGAAGGCGACCATTATTTCTTGTGAACAAGAATTCTAGGTAGAAGTATGTGAATGTGATGAAAAAGTAAATAAAGAGGTAAAAAATATTAAGGTGGTTAATAAAGCTTATAGTTCCTTATAGTATAGATGCCGAACAACATGGGGATGGAGTTGGAACTGAGAGCATTCTTCTCTGCTATGGTTAGGTTAGGTTGGGGTCCACCATCCGATGTGGCAGACTTCCACGGCTACTGAAGAGCCTAGCGACACTGGTATCTAGATCAGAAACAACTACTGCTATTATCTTCTCCATTATCTCTTATTGTTGCATAAAAAATTACCCCATTAACGCTGACATAAGTATATGGTGCGCTAATTTTTCCTTGTCTGGATCGGATGCATCATAGGCTAATAGATGCGGGACCAGGTAGTAAAAAAATCATTTTTTTGCTTCTCTACTACTAGCCCAATTTGCAGCGGAGAACGGGAAGTAAATGAACTGTAACGTGAGTAGAAGAAGAACTCTGTGCTGCGTAATAAACCGACCCATTTCGCTACTTGCTACGAACAGTCTATCACCATCAAAATGAGCTTAGACCCTGGGCAAGGATCTGAGGCTAGCGACATTGTCCTACTAATAGATCTCAGTCTCACGCGGCTGCTGCGCACCTCCAAGACGAGCTGACAATGAATATAGAAAGACCCCAGACACTTGTTCTCAAATGGGGGCAGATAGAACACGACGCAAAAACAAGATAGTTAGAACACGCTTCGCAGAAGGACAAGCCACGACGCAAAGCCGAAGGAGCGAGTGCGAGCACAACGGCAACACTCAGCCTGTATAATTTTCCAACTGTAACTATACTAGTGATGTTGTCAAAAAATGCGAAGTGCAGTTAGCAGTCTTTTGCAGGTTGTCATCACACAAATTTGATGGTGCCTTCTTCTAGGCAGCGCGACAACTAGAAGAGTGTCCTCCTACATCGATAACTCTTTATCTTGCTGCTCTTCTATAGAAGTTGCGAGACGATTCCACAGAACAAAGAAAGTTAAAAGTGCTGACTAGGCAGTCATACATGGAAAAGCAAACTGTTTTTAGAGTTTGCTTTTCCAGATGAAGAAGAAAAATATAAGTACTATATTCAGAGACATAAGACGAGGACTAGCAGAAGTCTGTCAGGATGAAAGCGAATTTGATGGATTCTAGGCGTTAGGGCTTAGGGTTAGCATAGGACTGCAACATCAATCCAAGAAGCGAGCGCCATAGGAATACTAACAAACTTTTATCAACAAAAATGCGCACATGACTTTGTGCGCTCCTTCGTGGTCAACTAACTTTCGTATTAGGTGAGTACCATAATCGATACTTTGTAGTTTTCTTCTAGTTTCTTGTCCTACTCCTAGCGTCTCTTGTCGTAACTACTTAAAAGAAGCGAGATACTGAACAACGAAGAGTAGCCCTGTCAAAGCTACCTCCCTTATTTCAGTCAGCAACTCGGTTATTTTCAGTTTTCGAGTACAAAAATGACAATGTCGCCAAAGAGTCTCACATCGAAGACAAGAAACTTTGACAGTAACAACTTCACCAGTAAGTAGTCATACAACTGAAGAACACTGTTTCACCATAGTAGTCGCACTACTAATCTCAGCCGCAATGTATAATACGTGCTGTCCTAGATGGCAGAATAGCATGATTATACATAGTTGTTACTTCATTAGACTCTAATATCGCAGCTGATAGGTATTTCATTACTCTATGACTGCTTCAACGCAGCCATCGAGCGCGTCACACGACTCAATCACGGATACTGAGAGGCGCGATCCCTCCTGCTGGTAGAAGCAAGCAGCCTTGTAAAAAAAACCTGAGTCCGATTCCGAAAGAGAAAAAGATGACTGTAACTAAATGAAGAATACGACATCGTCTTCTTCATTAGTGCTGATAGGACAAGAGAAACATTGATGCTAAGGTCACAACTATAAGTGTGACTATAAGGAAAAACTCCAATAACTCTTGAACAATGGACGAAGCAAATATTCATCTATCCACTTGTTGTTGTACTTCTTGGTACTTGTTGTTGACTGTTGATCGTAAACCTTTGATGACTGGTCTTGTTGAACTCCTGCTCTAGTTGTGAGTACCTAAATGTAAAAATGATAACGTAATACTTGTTTTAGCAGAATTCTGACTTGTACGCAACTAAGCCTAAACGGTAAGAAAACAAAGCGTAGTTTCCGGTGGTGCCCATTCATAGCTGCTGTATCGTACGCGGATGCGCCTGCACGGGGCTCAAGCATGACAGCCACTACGCTAAAACGTCTACCACCAGTTCCCACTGCCTCCTAGTTCCCACCAAAATAGGAATGTCGTAGACACAGCTTCGCGCTAAGTCGTCGCATTGGGTCGTATTTCATGATTTGCTCTAGCAAATCGCAAGCCTCTAGGCCTAGAGTGTTCTCGAGGTCGCGGATTTTTGTCCATCTGAGGGTTCATGAGCGGGTGCTTGTATTGAAGAAACATCGAAATTATCCGTACGATGTGATAAAAGCGTTTGGTGCCGATAATAGATGATCACAATCAATTGATAATAAATAGATCTTCATCATCCTACCATCAAAATCCAAAACTCCTCGTCTGACAAATAATCAAAACTACACGGTAATTAGTAAGTAGTAAGTAGTAATCAAAAGTAAGTAGTAAGTAGTAATCAAAAGGAAGTAGTAAGTAATAATCAAAAGTAAGTTGTAAGTAGTAGTATAGTAATCAAAAGTAAGTAGTAAGTAGTACGGTTTCTTCTTCCACTTCGGAAATGTATGCTTCATATCTGGCAACTCATAGAGCGTGTTCCAGTCCTCCTCTGATGGCGTCCCGAGTTTCTGGAAGATCTTGAATATCGTATCTATCTCGCTATCTCCCGCAAAAATTAGAACTCACCCTTATGGCCAAAGATGGATAGGCCAATATTGAGGCCGCTTTTTCAACATCCCCTTGCATACAGGAACAGGAAGCCTCTTCTTCAGTGATGTGAGTGATAAATGAGTGAAGAAAGAGGCTCAATGAGTGAAAAAGTCTTCAGGATGCCTCACGAAGTGAGATAAATGATAACCCTTTGAGTGAGATTAAGGGTCTAAGCCTTAAAAAAAGAGGCTGTCCACTACCCATTTCCGCGAATATGCAGCCGCAACTCCATATGTCGACTGGTAAGGCGTAGAGCTCCTGTCCTAACAGGATCTCTGGCGACGTTAGAGGGGTACCACTAGGAATGCTTAAGAGGAGCTGCTCTAGGGGATCTTACTATCATTTCCGACGGAGTCAAGGCATGGCAAGAAAGTGGTCGCGGCAATCAACAAAGTGGTCAAGTCAACTTCTAGTAAACTAAAGTATTAAACATGTAGTCAAGTCAACTAGTAAACTAAAGATGTATTTCTATTTTTCCGCTCAGATTTCCACGCCTCGTATTCTCCTCATAATGACCGGTACCACACGGTGACTACTTCATGCGTGTACTTCGGCATTGGGACTGAGTATGTCCTCGCTAAACCGAAATCCGCTAGTTTCAGCCGGCCGCTGTCTGTCACCTGGTGGATAGTGATGAAGACAAAATCCGAAATCAAAATGGCAGCAGCTGTTCGAAAATCCGAAACCAAAATCCGAAATCAAAATCCGAAATCATTACTCTGTTCTGCGGCATCGAAGGCCAGCCACTAGTTTCAAAAACACATACAACCGTTCTGGTTTTTTCGCACGCATGTGATTGCAACATGCAGACCTTTTCTAAGGTAAAAACCAAAAGCCAAGCCATGGAGTGAGTGTTAAAAAATACTCTGCTTCTATTATAAGTACCAACAAATTCTGTGGCTTCAGATCCCTATGGATAATTCTCCTCTCGTGGCAGAAATATATCCCCTGGAGCATCTGCTTTACGAAGCTTTTCGCAGTATCAGGAGGCAATGGGCCTGAACCGTTTTTTCTCATGTACCTGTTGTTATAAACGAAAGGTGATACATAGAGATGAAAGTATCTTATTTTCAAATCGATCTCCAGGTATGGATTCAAAGACACTAACATCTACTAGTAGACAGAGTACTTCTTCAAGTCCATCTATTAACCTAGCTACTTAAGTAACTAGTTAAACCAGTTAAAAAATCAAAAATCTGAATTTATATCTTTTCCTACATTACCCTGTTTATCCTGGTCATATATCCAAACTCCCGAAGAAATTAGCTAAAAGTACTTTTTCAAATCGCTTTCCACGTATTCGAATATGAGGAGGAGCTTATTCTGCGTACAGCAGACGTCCAACAACTTCACCACGTTTGGATGATGCAGTTCTTTCAATATCGCAACTTCCCTTATTGCCGTAGATGGAACGCCCTCCTCCTCATCCTGAAGCTTCATCCTCTTCATCGCCAATATTTCGCCAGTCTCCGCATTTTTTACCTTGTGAAGGGGAGTGAGGTGAAGATGTTGATTAACGACGTGTATAGAGAAAAAAGGTGAGGTCGCTCAGTAGACAATGTCGACAAGGATTAAAGTACCTTGTAAACTTCCCCATACGTTCCCTCTCCTAGTGGTGTCCTGTCCACCTTCTGGTACTTTTGCTCGAATGTGGCCGCCATCTTCGCTGGTGGTTTGCAGTCACAATTTCACCCAGTTCCGGAAGTCGTGCCAATGATATCTATTGCCAGCACTCCAGCTAGAACGCTACGTGCGTCAGCCTGGCGAAATTATAACTCAGCGGCTTTGCTCCTCCTGAGTTACGCGTTGACTGCCACGTCTTTGCTGAGCCACACGCGAGCACCCAGGCCTCTCGTCAGCCACACGTCAACTGGGCTTACAAGCTACACACCTCTTAGGAGGTGTCATTTTCGCAAGAGCACATTTATCATATATGAAACCCTGGTGTCATCTGATATTAGTACTACTCTGTAAGTATAATCATAAGTGGGGAATCCAAGAAACTTAAACATAATTAAACCATACTATAAATATACAACATTGAGGATCATCTTCCATGTAGGTACTTCATAAGAGGCGAGTACGTATAGCACGAAAGAATTTGAAGTTCCCTTTTGCTTTTTGTTTCATCTCTCAATTCATTGTAGCTCTGATACTACTCTCTCGTTTCGCTTCTCCATTTTCCTTTTACACGTATTTGCCTCGGTAATGTTCTCGATCGCTCACCAACGAAACACTACAACTTCCGACTAAAAATGTGGTAATGGTATGAGGCCCGGATCACTCTGAAAATTCCGACTAAAAAGGTCACTAACATTTACTTTTACTGTTAATCAAATTTGTGAATTGCAATCAAAACACATGATCCCGTTAGTTTCAACAAGCAGACCCAAATAAATGTTGTCAGACAGATTGTCCAGATCTTCGGAAAATTATTCTCAAAAAAAACATACAAGAAGCACGCTTAAGTAGCGCGCAAGTATTTTAATCCAAATTTTTTGAAATTATATCTTTTCAAGCGCTTACCTTTACACTGTAATGTTTTCGACAGCCTATACCTACACAATATAAAAATGTAAGAACTATGAATAACGTATAAATTCGCCATGAATTCGCGCTTTTTTCTCCGACCAGATGCCTCAAGCACAACGGCCGAATCACGCCCCGCGCGATGAAGATGATCGTGCTCTCGAAAGCAATGGAGCACGAAACAAATGGTCGCCCTCCAACTCTGTGGTCCCGAAAAGCTCTTGTTCCTTCGAGTTTCTGAATAAACGTAAAAGCCGCCTTGCACCACCACCACCTCCCGAAGAAGAATTACCTCCTCCATCTACTTCTACTCCTGAACTAAACATCTCACCTCCACCTACTCCCAAATCAGAATTACCATGTTCTACCAGGTATTCTACGAAAGCATCCCTCAGCGATTTTCCTCTAAATCCTGTCGCTACCAACCTTTGGTACTCAGTGCCGTAGTCTGTTTGTCGCCAGTCGATGCAGGGTTCTGTCCATCGAAAACCGTCCCACACCCACGCAGTTGCCAGAAAGTCCTGTTGTTCGGTTATTTCTTCTGCTGTTTCCCATCCGAGACCGAATATTCGGGATAACGGGTGATTAGAGACTTCAAAAAGAAATTGATTCTTCAAAAGCAAGCGTTAGTGGAAAGGGTAGGTGTCGGTAACTAGGCATGTGGACGACCTCGCTTCACAGCACAGGAGCTCGCTGGAAAGGACGAACCTATAATATAAACGACTCCAAATCTTCCTTCACAAGTCTATTAAGATAAATATCAATGAGACTTACATCACCTTGAAATGATGCGAATCTACGGATCTACGGTGAATGCCGTAAACGAGTCATTCAAAAGCAAGATGACCGGGTCGATGAAGAGCAACACTACGCCTCCCACAGGTCTCCGCGTGATGGGATAATCGTCCCGTTCCTCGATCTCTTGTTTTGCTCGTTCCAGCAGCGCTGGCGAAAGAGAGCAAAGAGAAGAGAACTCAGCAGGAGTTAAGGATGAAGATGAAGGCGAAGAAGATGTTCCACTAGCGATTCCCGCATCACTGCAGATCAACATACCTTAGAGGTAGGTTTTTGGTGCTCGCGGGTAGTTCCCCCGCTTTTTATGCCCCCTTTCTCTCTCCCTTAGGGTTGAGAGAGGCATAAAAAGCGGTAAGAAAAGCACGTTAAAGGGTAAACCTACCCTTAAATACCAGTTCCTTCTCCTTGAGCTTTATCCTCTTCTAGTGCGCAATCAGAGTACTGGGATCCGTTGAAAACCTCCTCAACCTTCCAGCGCGGCGGGTCAAGAACTGTGCGACCAAGCGATGTCGTTCTCCAGTCTTTGGTCGGCATGCGCCATCCAAAACTGTTAATTATAAATGGATAATTATAAATTTAAGTACATCAGACAGTAGCCTTTGATACGAGGCAAACAAACGTTAGTACTATCAGTGCTTCGTTCATTTCAGTAGACCTTAGAGTTCTTTCTATTCTGTGCATCCCAAATAGGCATATAGCACCTACCGGCAGGATGAATCGATGTGAATTACATATACAGCAAGACGACCATAACACCAGGTGTGGCTCGTATACCCAGAAATAATCAGTGACTGGTTTCTCCAAAGGCCACCTCCTGTCTCCAGCATCACCGTTTTCCACTGCCATCCTGAGGTAGTCTGCCACTACCGTAGGCGCGAAAACAAAGATACCTCCATACTCTCGAAATTTGCGCTCCACGGATCTTCGTAAACAGAAATATAGTGCCTTCGCGTCTTCTTCCTCTTTCCAGTTATCTAAATGGTTGACGTCACAGGATGGATTCGTCTGTTGCGAGTCGTCTTGTTGTGGAGAAGATGTTGGTCTTGGCAATTCTGCTCCTCCGTCTGGGCCGCTCATTGCTACATCCCTGTCGGCAATTCCAGTATGGTCTACTGGCATGCTGTTAGCAGTTGCAAGAATTGGATATTCCAGTCTGTCACTTTCTTTCGTGGAATAAAGTTCATTGAAATATGCTCTTAAATATATCTATTCCTCTCTCTCTTGAAAGGCTCTCTTGAAAGGCTCATATGCCCTTACTAGCTGGGTCAACTTGCAACGGCCTTAATGCTAGCGTTCTCTGCCAGCCAGGAGCTTACGTCTGCCAGCCAGGAGCTTACATTTCCTTCTCCCCCTTCGTTTTCCTTCTCCCGATTCGTCGCAGGTGCATCAGCCTCGCCATTGCTACTCCCGTGATGGTGGGCAAATTGATGTACTACTGGCGGAAGCAGACCGCCAGCGCAGCAGGAGAGAGCAATCAACGCTTTTGTCAATGGCGTACAGCGCTGCTGTTGCCCAACAGGTGTCGTGTGTCCAGTTGGTCGTGCCGTGTCTTCGGTTGAGCAGCTTGATAGATTTTCTAGTGCTGCTGGAGAGGAGTCGTGATTGGTGCTGGAGACACTGGCGGATGAAGAAGCATGACTGTCACCCGATCGAGCTGATTCAGGTCGTTCCAGGCCTCTGCCAAGTGTTCTAGCAACTGCGACAGTCGGGACAGCCGAAATTGCACTAGCTGTCAAGCAGGTTGTGCTTGAAGACGTACTCGGCTGCAACCTCGACTGCAACCTTAATGCCAATACAGGACCGCCAAGAGCGAGCAGGAGACAAAGCAACGTGAATTTTTGCAACCTCAACATTTTCAAGTAGGACGATGACACTTTTTTCCTTCAGTCTCAGTCAAATGCTCGTCGTGCCTTTAGTAGTGATCTCTCTTCATTCGTTGACTATAGCACCGGAGAGAATAGGATCGCCTAGGATAGGATACTGTAGGGGCAACCTATAGCATGTTCCGACTTGCAACTTGCCAATCTGATCGATCAAAAAGAGGAATTACAGGTGTTATCCATGCTCCTGGCTGAAAAGTGGATGCTCCTTCTAGCTGTCTTGCTGTCCTTTTGTCTGCGCCTGCTCTATTTTCAGGAGAACAAAAGAGATCTTTCGATATTGTTGAAGGACATCACACAGCACAGATTTAGAATCCCTTCCTCTAGCATACAATGTCCTCTGTCGCTCGATTTTTGATTGTTGTCGTCTGTCATCACTACTTGCATTTTTTCCTTCTAAAATATATACAACTAATTTCTAATGATATAAGCAACTAATTTCTAAACTATTCGCGGTCACACACCTATTACTAGGTCAAAATTCCAAGATGCAGCATTCTCTTGTACTCCCTAGCATTCAACATTCACTGTAAAACTGGCTACTATCTAAATGCATCCTATCCCAGGATGCATGGAAAAAAGCTATTTCCTATAAGAACTAACTCTGCGCTGTGGCAGGGACTTATATTTCCTATAAGAACTAACTCTGCGCTGTGGCAGCTACGTATTTTCTATAAGAACTAACTCTGCGCTGTGGCTGTTACGTATTTTCTATAAGAACTAACTCTGCGCTGTGGCTGGTACGTATTTTCTATAAGAACTAACTCTGCGCTGTGGCAGGGACTTATTTCATGGCACAAGGAAAAATTAACAGATAGTTCCAAGTTCAGATCAAAAGCTACTGCTCTTCTATGGAAATATACACTCACTTCTTTATGTTCAAATGTCACTGCAGATAGACACTCACTCCCACGACGAGGAGTAGTTCGCACGAAGATCATATTTACGACCCTAAAATTTTACACGTCTGAACATTCCTTTTCTTTCTACTAGTGATGCTCCTATGCATGTTAAGGTCCTAGGGACAATGCAGCATAAGCTTCAGCATGACTATAGCAACGCTTCTTACACCTCTTTCCCCTTCGGAGGTTTCCATTGCGACTGCACTCTCTAAAGCGCAAGTAGAGGTATAATAACAACCCTCTTTACACCTCCTTCTCCTTCGGTTTCCATAGCGGCACTGGTACTCCGTTGACGAATTGCGTGTCGTGAGCGACCATTGTCATGCCGGTGTGCGGGTCTACCACCTCGTGTCCGACGCTAGCCACCGGCTTCATCGCGATTTTTCCTCCTGCGGCTTCGAGTTCGTCAGTGTGGATCACCAGAGAGTGAGCGCTGGCTCGTTTGCCGAAGTGAATCGAAGCATCATTAGCGATTGCAGAGAAGAACAATCCATTTCTTGCTCTGTCCTTCATTTCTTCTCCAACACAACCCCAACCCTTGAGAAAAGAGAGAAGAGAACGAGGACCTCCGTTGGAAATAGTATATAACCGTTGTTCCCCTTGATGTATGAGTACTGACTAACCGTTGGAAATGAATTATTCGAAAAACTGAAATAACCGAGTAACTATTGAAAATAAGGGAGATACTGAAAGAAGAGGAATGTAGTCAAGCCTCTCTTATTTCAGTCAGTAGCTCGCTTATTTTGAGTTTTCGAATACAACACAACCCCAACGTTTGAGAAAAGAGAGAAGAGAACGAGGACCTCCGTTGGAAATGAATTATTTATGTCCTCGTCGTGTCAAGCCTTAACATTAGCACGCTTCACCAAGGCCAGGCAATACAGAACGGCGTTGGTCGCATACATGATCAATTGCTGCACAAAGCAGAAGCCGATGCAACACGAGCAACCAATGAAGCAACCAGTGTAGAATCCGTGGAGGACGCCTTTTTTGTCGAGATCATTCACCGTGTCCCAGTCAGCGATCAGGATGGTCAAAATCAACCCAAAAATCGGCCCAAATCCGAACCCGGTTACGAACAGGTACATCAAGAAAATCAACAAGAATTCGATGAAAATGGAAATGTTCAGTTTCTCGTCTCCGAAAATGCCATGCTCCATTGCGTTGTCCTGGTGAGACAAGAGGTTTTATTTGATGAGAGAAGTCAGTCTATGGATAGACAACTAGTTATGGTTAAGTACAACCCCAACAAGTTTTTATGTAAAAACTAAGTATTGCATGTTGAAGTAGGGATATTGAACCTGTTGTTTGATAGAAGAAGAGTACTAGTTACTAGTTGTACTAGTTGAAGTTTTTTATAATTTAATTCAGAAGTTGTACCATCCAAACCCATAGTTACTAGTAGTTGAAGTCCTCTATAATCTAGAAGTACCATCCAAACCCATCCGAGCATCCCGAAAGCAACTGCCAGCGTTGTGGAATGCAAGCTGAAGACGTTCGACAGGACTTGATCCTGTACCACGAAGCCGCCACCTGACTTCTCCTCGTCCGCGTTCAAGACCTTCCAAACCTTTCGAGAGATCGCGCAAATGCCGCCTCCCGTAAAGGTGTGCCCGATCACAAGATACTTGCTGAAGGACTCCACGCATTGACCCATGCAGAGCCACAGACCCAAAGAAACAATGTCGATCGGAGCGCAGCAACAGCAACAAAGCATCCACGGTTGCTGCTTGATGCGGTCGGCTCGAGACTTGATTTCGTTCAGGATCGTCGAAATGATGGCCACGAACATGTTCATTCCACACATGGACGTGTAGGACCATACGAAGCCACGCTGTGCAGGAGCCTCCGGAGCTGGCCCTGCGTAATGGTGCTCATCGTCCTCGTGGGCTGGGTCGTGAAAATACCACTTTCCCACTCCACAGGTGCAGATGATCAGCAGCACCTGCTTCAGGAACATCGTGAGGGGCATGAAAACTGCGAAGATTAGAGCTGCTCACCTATGTACTTATATTGTTCAAAGGGATAAGAAACCCTAGGGACGATAGAGGTGAAACCTAGAAGGAAGCCGGCTGTTTTACTTTACAGTGCTTTAAGCGTCGCTGGACCTAAACCACATCCTTGGCGCCCTTTTCCCTTGAAAAAGGAGACACCGAAGATGCTCCTCCTCAAGGTGAGTAATTAAATACGGTAAATAATAAGCCTTAAGAAGAGAATCCACTGAAAGGCCTTCGCGCCTTCCGAGGTCACTAGACTGCATTTCATGTTCAGGGATTGGCCAGTAGACCCCAAGGCAAGTGACATGCCCGAACTGGTGTCCACCTCTACCCAATTGCCGGTCTCAATAAAAGCGCTCAGCCAAATGGCGAGGAAGGAGCCGAAGATCAACAATTGCAAGGTGGACATCAACAAAACGTCGGCCGCCGAGGCGAGACAGAGAATCGCGTTGCTGGCCGCATCCGCTGCTTCCATGATCGACTTGTAGTAGTAGATCGCAATGCCGCAGACTGCTACACCGGGAACGAGGATAATCCACAATTAAAGGTCGACATTCATTGGTCACTGATTCTGAAAGAAAAATGCCCCAACATGCCTCTCCCCTTGTTCTCCCTTCGTTCTTGTTTTCCCCTGTTCTCTAAGGAGGGCCCCTCTGCGATCTCAGTGACGAACCCCCATGACCAATGAAAGTTGAGCCTTAACACAACACACCCTCGCTGACAATGACCAGAACCACTGGAAATCCCAGAGCGCCTATGGCGATCGATCCGAAAATAATCGCGTTCGGCACTTTGTATAAAGCATAAGCGTACCCAATCGTGACAAAAGCGAAAGCCAAAAAAAGGACACAAGGAACGTGCCAGTGGTCTCCCATCGATTCCCAAACCGACGTTTGATCGTTCTTAGATGACGAACTTAAGCGACGGCGAACGGCGCGGGTCAACTTGGGCTCCACGTGCGGGTTGAGGCTTTTCTCGTTCTGCAAATAGTTCACTGCATGAGCAAGAGTTGAGAGGCCGATTTGTCGCATGATATCGTGACTGTGCTCCGAAGATGAACCAGATGAGACAGCACCTCCGGATGAAACAAGTTGACGGGCTCCATCATTCTCCTGAAACTCTCCTCCATCATTCGAAACCGCACCTGCTTCCGACAAGGCACGACGGGCGCAAGGGGACTTTCTCAGCTCTTCGTACAAATCTTTGTGGATACAGGGAATATCCCTCAAGTTTGACCCCGACGCATAGGCAGAAGAGGGTACCTCATACGGATTCCAGTAGTAATCGTCCCCACAAGCGTCGTCGAGGCATGCGTGAGGATCACTGCTATTCAAGGGGCAGTTCCCAGTGACCATTTTCTTATTGCCAGCTGCAAAAACCACAATAAAAGATATTACTAAGAGAGCACAGCAGAGGTAGAACAACACTGCACAGAACAATTCAAACGGACTCTGAGGCGGGCGATTTTCCCACTCGATAGCACAGTCCAATTCTTCAGCTGTCATCTCCCGGATCTTCTTGGGCTGCACTTCCTCATTCTTATCAGGGTTGTCTGAGTATTCAACAGAGCCTGCCTCCACATTGACTGCAGCCAATTCGACTGCGCCACCAGTGGCGGAATTGTAAGCTGGCGTTGGATCCATCTTCTCTTCTTAGCTAAGTAGAATAGAGATACAAAATCAACTTATATATAGTGAAGCTATTGAAATAGCGAAGTCACTACGTAACTACGTAGAACTAGAAGGTTTTTCGTGTGCTCCTCCCTGACTTAGTCTCGAAGTCACAATAGGGGCGGTATTCAAACACCTAACGGGTTATGATTTTTCAACCACTAGAAGATTTTTCAAGTCTTCAAGAACTCTTTCGATTGCTTTTCTGTTCGTGGTAAAATAAAAACTGTAGAATTGGAGGAAGGCTCGATAGAAAAATTCTCGCCGAAGGAGAAAAATTCTTCGAATTATGGGGAAATATGACAAGCCTGTCGTGATGATGAAAGTGCCAAAATCTTTTTTCCTTGCTGTTCACTTAATACGAGGAGCGGAACTAAAATATCGTCAATAGTACAGAATCCTTCTTGTGCTCTCCATGTTAATATCATACAAAATCACGACCGTGACAGTCAACACAGGTCACAGAATGCAGTCTACTCCAATGATCCGCGAAATATCGTAAAGAACTCAAAAAATCGAGATTAATTACAAAAAGTTTGTAATTTCCAAAGTTTGTAGCAAAGTCGAACTATACGGGAAAAAAGAAACAAACTGGAGACACCCTGGCAAGAGTTTGTTAAAGTTTGTAGAGAATTTGTAATAGTTTGTAAGACTTTGTAGGCGTTCGATTTTCTGCCTCGATTTTGTAAAAATCGAAAATAAATCGAAATTAAATCGATGGCAAAAATCGTCTGCAATTACAAACTTTACAAATTTTGTAAGGAGCCCCGCCACCGACCCTATTTCTATAATGCCACTACCCCCGCCAGCCACACAGGCCGGCGAGACTCACCCACACAGCGCAGAGTCTGCCAGACTCCCTAACGCGGCGCGGGCACACGCAGGCAAAGCAGTAGCAGACCGACCCACCCACCCAGCGCGCCAAGACCAAGGCTAAGCCCGCTCGCGCGGTGGTCGGTGACTGACTCAAGCTACGCAGCCCATCCACCGAGCGACCCACGCAGCGCGGAAAGACTCAGAGCCCCCACAATGCAGACCCACCCACGCAACGCCGACCCACTCACACAACGCCGACGCGCTCCCACACGCAGCGCAGACCCACTCACGCGGAGCAGACTCACCCACGCAGCGCAGAGGCCAGACTCGCTCGCGCAGCGCAAACAAGACCCGCCCGCA